TTTTTTTTTTTGATGCTTTATTGGTATCTGCATAACTTGACTTGAGAGTCTCTGACATACCCATCTATAGAGTGATGCCTCATGCAAGCACCTGGAAATCCGGCCCCATGTCTATAGGCTAATTGAGTCATAGTCTTTCGCAGGTGAAGGTGAACCGAAGATACGGCAGGCCGTCGGCCGCCCGGGTGTCATACTGAAGTTGGTTTGCCTTGACGTATCCTTGTGTGAAATGTTATTTGGTGCTGAACTGCGTAATAACGCTCTCCAGCACAGAACTACAAATTCAAAGTTCAAATATCAAAAATTGTTTCTTTGATAGACACGGCGTCATTATGGCCATTGGTCTCCTGCATCACCATACTCACACAAATCGCTTCTTCTCGCTCTGCTCATTCTCTCCAAAGTAGCATAATGCGTTGGACCACGGTGTGTTCTCTATATTTCTCGACATTAATATGCTCGAACTCCATCTACAATATCAGATCCGGAAGCTTGTTCGGAACCGAAACACACTTGGCACCTCCGGAACCGAACATACAGGAGGAACATCCGGCGGAAGTGACAACCATACAACACCGGCAAACTACGCTGATTTTCCCCGAAGCTTTGCCCGAATCACCTCATTCCCCGGATTTTGAAAGTATGAATCGCTGATCCAATTACAGCCAGCAAAACAGAGCCCTCTGGGCCGTGTGTATGCCGAGGAGGACAAGTTCCCTACCGCAGATGCCGATACTTACTTCAGAGGATGCCGAATTGTTGCCAGACCAAGTCAAAAATGCCTCTCCGGTTTTCACCCCAGACTGCGCTAGTATGCATTTGAAAATATGGGATTAGGGCGGTCTGATTCCGGTCTGATGTCAGTTTTTGGGTTTGGGCTCTGGTCCCGGAGTATATCTATCAGGGGCGGTTCCGTTGTTTTTGTTATGGGGCTAGAGAAAGTTTTCTCAAATTGTCATTGAAGACATATTACTCGTTTTCAAATCCCTCGCAGTCATGACCAGGAGTTACACGCTGAGCCAGCCATACTTTGGCTTGAAGGGAGGATGGTTGACGTTCTGGGTTACTGTTGCATGTGCAACAGATATGATGCTTTTTGGCTATGACCAGGGTGTTTTCGGTATGCTATTTCATGCATATCATGGCTTGCTAGATGGTGGTTCATTGTACTGACTTCTTGTCTTTCTATTCAGCCGGTGTCATCGTCACCAAGGACTTTTTGAACGTACACGGCCTCAACAATAACGAAAGCCTCATCGGAACCGTCACCGCACTATATGATGTCGGTTGCTTCTTCGGGGCAATCGGTGCCATGTGGCTTGGTGAAAGACTAGGTCGGAAGAAGTCTATCCTCACAGGAACCTCGATCATGACCATCGGCGCGATCTTGCAAATTGCCTCGTACAGCGTCCCTCAGATGATTGTTGGTCGGGTCGTTGCTGGAATCGGGAACGGTATCAACACCTCCACAGCACCTGTCTGGCAGGGCGAGACTTCCCAGATCAAGTGGCGAGGAAAGTTGGTGATTATTGAACTGGTCATGAACGTTGCTGGCTATTCGTTATCCAACTGGATGACATTTGCCTTTTCATTTGTTCCTGGGCCAGCGTCGTGGCGATTCCCTCTTGCGTTCCAAATTGTGTTCATTATCGTCCTCTATGCGACTGTCCCGTGGCTCCCCGAGTCACCTCGATGGCTGATCAGCTGTGACCGTGACCAAGCAAACGAGGCTCAACAGATCATCGCCGACCTGGAAGGCAAAGACATCAACGACCCCTACATTATTACAGCCTACTCCGAGATCATTGCCACCGTCGAGTATGAAAGAGCACACGACGTCTCCTGGGGCCAGCTGCTCCGCGGCAAGACAGGCGAGAACAACGGTGATACCCAGCCACTCCGCCGTATGATCCTGGGTGCTGGCGCCCAGGCAATGCAACAATTAGCCGGTATCAACGTAACGTCCTATTACCTCCCCACCGTCCTGATGCAATCTGTCGGACTATCTGAGATGCTCGCCCGTCTGCTGGCAGCATGTAATTCGGTTTCCTATCTCCTGGCAAGTATGGTGGCCATTCCCAAGATTGAGCACTGGGGTCGACGCTCGATACTTATGTTTGCCGCCTTGGGCCAGGGGACGTGCTACCTACTGATTACTGTTCTCCTCCGGTTCAATGAAAAAGAAAACTACCCACACCACAGGGAGGTGGCGTCTGCTGCAGTGGCTTTCTTTTTTGCTTACTATGTTTTCTTCGGCTGCAGCTACCAGGGTATCGGATGGTTGCTTCCCGTCGAGCTGAACTCCCTCAGCATGCGTACCAAAGGCGCAGCCCTGGGTACCGCAACGAACTGGGCAACAAATTTCATGGTTGTCGAAGTCACCCCCGTCGGCATCAAGAATCTTGGATGGAAGTTCTATATCATTTGGACTGTTTTCAACTTTGCTTTCATTCCCACAGTGTATTTCTTCTACCCTGAGACGGCTAATCGATCTCTGGAGGATATTGACCGCTTCTTCCATGAGAATTCGAGTCTATTTGTCAATGGTAACCCCGAGGCTGTTAACATTAAGCGGCCGGCCCGCTATGTTGAAATTGAGAAGGAGTTGGTCAACCAGAGTGCTACTGTTGCTAGTGCTAAGCAGGAGATGAGCGGTTTGGAGGGACAGGCTGGGCATGTTGAGGTTGTTTAATCATGTCATTTGCTTGACGAAATTTGTGTATACGACGGTTATATCACTGTTCTTAGAACACCCTGTACTCTCAGCACCTGATTATGTATATATACCTATGATGTCAATTGAGATCTCCCATCAGCAGAACCACTATATCTCCCACATAACCCCTCCTGGTAAACAAACGAGCCATGGTTAAAACAACCTGCAACCAGGAACTCCGCACGTGCCATGACTAATCACTCTCCACACTGTGGGGAACGCGGGGAAAATAAGCCGACTGTCTCGTAAAATTTAACCATCAGCAATCTCCTGCGATTCGGAATACAGTGGCTACAGCCATGGCGCTGGACCAAGATCAGGACCTCGTTGAGGTACAAGAGCAGACCAATGGCCATGCAATACCGGAACAGAGTCCAGAAGCTTTATGGGTGAAGAGGAGGCGGGTTAGTCGTTCGGTGCTGCCGACTCGGGTCAGCAGCGCGTGCGAAAGATGTCGGCATCATAAGTCGCGAGTAAGAAATCGTCAGATAGGGCAATGGGTTGTATGCTAAAGTTGAAGATAATATAGTGCGATCCATTCCGGCCTTGTTCGTTATGTATCCGCGCGAATGTGGATTGTCGACCGATTTCGGCGCCGACGCAGAAGCAGAATTCGCGGTAAACTGTTGCGCATGGCACATATTGTAGACTCGCATGCTAATGTTTGATGGTGTGGTAGTAACAGGAAACCTAGACGCCGTCGTCCCAATCCCTCGCGAACAACTCCTACTGATGAAACCTGGAATATTGACAACGCTCCTCAAAATGACACGGAATCTCGAGCGGCAACCGCTCCCGCTCCCGCTCCAGCAGTAGACAGCGACACCGCTGCTTCAACAGACATGAGCCCACAATCATCACTCGACTGTGGCGAAGCGGAATCGGCAATAGGCATTGCGCGCAAGATCTGCGAACTGGGTAGCCAGCACATCGATGAGCGGACTACATCTGCTATACCGGGCTATCGAGCGAGCACCAGTGCGCCCGTTACATACTCCGCGACAATCGGACAACGGTTACCGATATCGTCAATTTTGGGCCAGCCGCTACCTCCTATGGAACTTGTGTATGGGCTGTTGGAGGACTACTTTGATTCCGTACATTGGTTCTCGCTGGTGATTTATGAGGCGAAGTTTCGGAGGAAGCTGGCTTCGGTCGCGGATGGGTTTGCGTATCCGTCGCAGAGGCCTTTCCTTATACTGTTGACCGTGATGCTTGGGATGGCGGCGTGGTATAGGTCTCAGAGAAGTGGTACAGAGATGGGTAATGGCCCAGACTGGAGAAAATGGAGCGCAGATCTGGTCAAGCTTGTCGAGGGTGACTTGGTGGAATTGATGGATCAGCCATCCATTACTGCTGCGCAGACGTGTATTCTGCTTGGGTCGTATCATGTTTATCATGGCCGCCCTAATCTCTCTTTTTCGTTGCTGGGTGCGACTATCAAGATGTCCCAGGCTCTGGGGATGCATCGGGAACCTTTGAGAGGAAAATTTGAGGATATCGAGGAGAGGAAAAGGGTTTGGTGGACGATTTACACATGGGACCGATTCGCTTCAATCACCTATGGAAGACCACTGGGAATCAACGACAAGGACTGTAACATCAACATGCCAGCAGACGTATGGGAGAACCAATCGTTTGTCTTACCAAGAGCAGAGCAGGCCAATTCGATATGCTATTCTCCCTACCAGCGGGAGCTGAACCGTCTCTACTTGATCGCATCGCCAGCCCTGGAGATTATCTTTGGTTCACGCACCTTGAGGGCCTCCAATCAACTGGTCGGAGATACGTACGCCGCTTTGGTCAAGGAAGCCACGCAGAACCTCCAAAAATGGCGAAACGGTCTACCAAATCACCTTGTCCTGGATCTTCAGCGCGATTTCCACTCTGACGGCGGTTCAGACGCAAAAGCATATGCCTTGCAGTCGTTATCGCTGCACCTGACATATGATAATGTCCTCATCGTCATGCACCGACCACTTCTAGCACGGCAAGTTGACCATCTATCCACGACTACAAACGGGCCCTCACCAGGATCATGCGAGATAGACCCCATGACCGCCGCATCTCCCAAACCGAATCTCTCCCAAACAGCCAGTTCAGAACTCTGGATGAACGCCGCAGTGCGAACATCCCGAGTGACAGAACTACCGGTTCTTGCTCAGTTGGCTACCGACAGCCACCTCGTCGCCTTCCTCGCCATCAACCTCTTCAACGCTGCCATCGTCCTAGCCGTAATGGCCCTCTCAGAACCCCTCTCCAATACCGCGCAGGACGTAAAACGTACTATCACGCGCATCCTTCGTCTTCAAGATCTACTTGGTAAACGGTCCGCATTATCGAAACAGAGTACTACAGTGCTGAAAAATGTCGTTACGATGCTCCTTCGTCGTGAATCAGCAGCTATGTTGGCTCCGATTACAGGGACGAATCAGTCGATGGGACAACAGGGGGATAAAAATAAACAAAACCTGGGCGATCCGTGTTGTATGTCTGTCGAGGATACGCTGAGATTACCGCTTGATGCGTCGTTGGAGTTGTCGGATCCGCTTGCGGGGAGTCAGGGGTGGTTGGATGTTAGTAGGGCGCATCGATTGAATGAGAGTTTGACGTCTGTTCAGTGTGGTATGTACCTTCTTTTGTGCTTGGATCAGAACAGGTTGCTAATGTGGTTAGTTATGGCACCGGGTGATGTTAATGTGCCTGTCCAAAGTGAGCAACAGTACGTATCGTCGGAGCAAATGCAGCCACAGAGTGTTTGGCAAGTACCGGCGGAATATGAGTGGAATGGAACTGGAACCTCTCCTAGGGGTGTAGAAGACAGCTATCGGGACGTTGAAAGTGGATTGTACTGGTTATGGGACATGACATGGAATGGAACAGGTGGGTAATTATATTTTTTCTTTTATCTATCCCCTTCAAATCTAACTGTCTATAGAACAATAACCTAAGCTGCTGTTTTCGCCATGTTCTCATCAATCTCCGGTCCATAAATCACAGTTTTGATACCAGCACGCCCAAGGACGTTCTTGAACGCATCCTCGACCTGCGAGAATGGGTACTCATGGGTAACAATACCCTCCAAATTAATCCGCTTCGAGTTCAACAACCCAACAGCCAACTTGAAGTCTCCAGGCCCATACCGGAAGCAACCTTTGAACACAACCTCCTTATCACAAATCTGACCAACAGGAATGGAAAGATTCGACTTCCCAAGTCCCACTTGCACAAACGTCCCCCCAGGTGCAACCGCATGCACACCAGTGTTCACGCACGGTTCCGCACCCGTAGCCTCAAGAACCACATTTGCACCGTGCTCCAACCCAGTGCTCTTCAAAAGCGCCTCGGCATTCTCCTCCGGCGAACCAGCGCCCATCTGATACGTATGCGTAGCCCCATACTTTAACGCACTCTCCAACCGACTTGTCACAATATCTACCACAACAACCGTACTCGCCCCAAACGCCCTCGCAACAGCAACACACAACAACCCGACAGGGCCCGCCCCAAACACAACAACCGCCTTATCCTGCATATCCCCACCAAGCCGACACCCATGCACCGCAACACCAAGCGGCTCGACCAACGCGCCGTCCCGCAGCGAGATATGCGGAGGCAGCTTGTAGCAGCATTCAGCGGGAACGCGGTAGTACATGCACAGCGTGCCATCGATGGGCGGGGTTGCGGCGAAGACCATGTGGTGGCAGAGGTTGTATCGTCCGGCACGGCAGGGTGGGCATGTGTTACAGGCGACGCCAGGTTCGAGGGCGACGCGGTCGCCGACTGTGAGACCCTCTGCTTCTGCCCTGGGACCGAGGGAGGCGATTATGCCGGAGGATTCGTGTCCAAGGAGGAGGGGGTCTGTGACGACGTAGCGGCCGAGTTGGCCGTTGTGCCAGTAGTGGACCTACACGTTATCAATATGGGATCTTCTTTTCTTCAAATTTTTGCTGGGTTCTGGTAAACGTACATCAGAACCACAGAGACCGGTTGCAACGACTCGAACGATTACATCGCGGTCTGACTTGAGTGTTGGGATATCACGGGTTTCATAGCGAAATGTACTCTGGGGAACAAGCACGCAGGATTGGTTGGTAGTCTGCACTCGTTAGCAACAATTCCATCAGAATCATCAAGACTATAGAGAACAAACGTGTTGAATACCCGACATCTTGTCTTCTTCCTTGTGTCAAGTGTAGTATGTAAACAGAGAGTTGACAAAAGTCAGAAAACCCACGGGGACCACAGCTATTTCAACCCCCGCTTACAACCCCCAATCCCACATTTATTTTTAGTGCCGCCATTTGTGCACTCCGTATTTGTCGGTCGGTCTTTTTCGGTTTATTCAGCCTGATTGTTCCCACTGCCCGGTTCCGTTGGTTGTAATGTTATGCTTGGTTTCTCGGTTCCGGAGGGGAGACAGGCCGTGGCTGATCCGGTTCCGCAGGGAGATAAGATAAGGCGAGGGTCCGTAATGACCGTGGTTAAATGGGTGCCGGGTAATTGTGCGGGTAAATTGGTGTCACTACGGCGTCATGGGTTGAGAGAGTTCGGTAATTTGTTATTATTCATGTTGGGTTATATTTATTTTCTTTTTGGAAGAGATTCTACTATAATAGAGCAGTTAAGATTTGACGCCAAGGAAAATAGCATGTACAGCAGCATTGTATATTCGCAAGTACGGGTTCCATTTACCTGACAGACGCCAGTACCAATGACTGCAGCATGGTGAATCATGTCTCCTTGTTCTCCGGAAGTTTATAAGCCAAATAGGAATCAGTTTTTGATAGATTAGGGTTGATATGTGAGATGATTCTTGAATCTAGAGCGGGACAAAGGAAACATGTATATCTAATCGACAGCCCACCAGTTTTCACATCCTCTATAGGTATAGACATTCGTAACAGCATACATCAAATCACTTGTCTCATGTCACTGTTTACCTCTGGCCAAACAAGGACAGAGGAAATTCTGCTCTCCTTCCTGCTTGTTTCTTTAACGGTGCGCATTGCTTTTGATATTCCCCCAGCATCAGATTCAATAAACCCCCTGGGAAAGGAAGGCCAACTAAAAAACGTATCTGAAATATGAAATAAACAAAAATAGAACAAAAGAAACATAAAAAGGCGAACCACCTGAACGCCAGCCTGATGCCACTCTGCTTGGTTCCCATCATTCAAGAAACCCGCGCAGTATGGCGGGCAATACTAACATGAAAGAGAAAAAGACGTTCCCGTTACGGAGGGGTCGCAGCACATGGGTATTTATTTTGCGACGGCCGCACTAGAGATTCGTTAATGATGTTGATCAATCAATAAGCAGGGGGAGAACGAACCTCAGGACTTGTGTCCGGAAGAATGCACCCTTGGTCTTCTCAATGACCTGTTGGTACACTGACTGAGGAGGGTGATTCATGATGACAGTACCCTCCTGGTAGTCAATCTTGGCATCGACACGAGTGTTGCGGATCAGGTTGACAATCCACTTCTCACCCTCATCCTGGTTCAGACCAAGGCGGGTCGACAGATCCCTGTACATCGTTAGTTTCAAACGATTTGTAAATCTAGCAAGGGGCGAACGAACTTGATGTCAATCCGTTGGTGGATCTTGCAATAGCTCTCCGAGATCAAGTGGCGAGCAGCCTCAATGAAAGCATCGGCAGCCGAAACGAGGAAGAAGTCGCCCCGGAGCACATTCTCAGCCTCACCCAGCTTCTTCTGGGCTTCCTCGAAGTCAAAGTCGACATAAAGCGCCTTGACAAAGTCGGTGATAGGGTCGCTGTATTCGTAGTCCTCCTGACGCACAACACGGATGAGGTCCTTCAGTTGCCTGTGGTACAAGCTGCTGTTGCGGTGGGCACGGTTGCGGTTGGTGATGACGGCGGCGGCCAGGTAGCGGAGAACCCAGGGGCAGTGAGTCTGGATGGTGTTGATGTAGGCGGGAGAGAAGAAGAGGTCGGTCAGGACATCGCGGGCGGGGTCGTGGTTGAAGAAGGGGAAGAGGGACCAGTGGATCAACCAGGAACGGTTCTGGAGCTGGCCCAGAGGGTTGTTGAATAACCGGGTCTCGATCGAGTCCTTGGCCTTCTGAACTTCCTCCATCGCACCCTCCCAGCTGGTGGTCAGGATCTCCGACGCCAACTTACCCCATGTGGCCGAGGCAACCTTGTCATTGTCGGTGGACAAAACACGGAACTGGTAGAGCAATTCGGCGGCATTTCCGTAGCTTCCGCAACTGTATTGGAATCGTCCGTAGTCGTAGAGGCTGTTGACCATCTCGTTGGTGACACCGTGCTCCTCCTCAAGGAACTTCAAGTTGGCAACCTTGTCACTCCGCAAGTTGCCCACGACGCCCTCATCCTGCAGCAATTCGGTGATCTTGGCGCTCTCATCTTGGTACTGTTGCATCTTGGCCAGAACCTCCTCACGCTTCTTCGCGAACTCGTCGGGGATGGAGTCCGAGTCGTTGATGTCCTGCCAGAGGTTGGCCACATAGTCGGTCATGTTCGTGTGCTTGAGGAGCTCATATTTCGCACGGGTGAGTTCCTTCTCGTCCTCCTGCCCCGAGCCGAATTCGAGCAGAGGGAACACCAGATGGCGGTCGAGGAAGGGGATCAACTTAGGCAGCAGGTCATACTGGTTGGCGATCTCTTCAGCGGTCTTGGGTGGGTGAGCGGCGGCACCACTGAGTAGCGTCTCCGCGGTGGGGGGAGCGTTGGCTGCCATGGCAGCTATATGAATAAGATGTAGAGGGAAGATAAAGGGAAAAGGAAGAAAGAGACAAGCGTGGACGGCGACGGGGTCTGGTGGTCGAAGTCACTGTGCGGGCGTCGTCTTTGTCGCTGGTGAAAAATGTGGGCGGGAGGGCTGGCGGTGACACTAGTCCAAAAAGGGATTAGTGGAGTGAGCTTCGGCGCGGCGCAAAGAAAATCGCGAGAGAAAAGAGAAACCGGATCCCCGACTGGATTGCTTTATTTGTGACCTGCAGACTTATCCCAGAGCCTCAACGGTGGCAGAGCTCTTGAAGTTTGCAGTTTGATACCTGGGCTGCTCTATCGGGTTGATTGCTTCCACTTATACCATTGTGAACCACTACCACCAAAATGTCCTCCTTCCTCCACCTCCCGGTCTCATCGGCTGTTCGCAAGCAGTCCACCACAATGCCTCTGCGTCTAAATCCCTCCTCCATTGCCTCATCAAAGACAAACACATTCTCAACATTATGTTCTTCGTCCTCTAGACTCCCCAAGCCCCGTAAGTCACCTCCCGCGTTGCCAGTCCCATCGCATCGCCCGTCACACCATCCCACCACGGACCAAGGGCATACAGAAAATCACCTCACATTTACTGACCCCAATCCCAGAAACCCCCCTCCAACGCTCCAATCCCACACCAGCTCTTCCGACCCAACAAACCCGCTCCTTCCTGGCCCAGATCCGCCGCCAAACGCAAGCCCAAGCCCACAAAGAGCACACCACCACGACCTCCATCCCCCCGCCCTCTGCCGCCGACTTGCAACTCACCAACCTCCCTTACTTCATCCGTCGTACCCCTTCGAATCAATACCCTGTATACCTTGTTACGAAAGCCGGCGGTACCAAGCGGCAGACGAAGGTTCAAAAGACCGAGGGGGATTTGGACGCATTAAGGAGTGATCTTGCGCGGTATTTGGGGTTTGAGTCGGGTGATCTGCGTGCGCCGAAGAGTGCGGATGTTGCGGTTAACCGAGTTACTGGGCATATAATTGTTAAGGTATTTGGGTTCCGGTTATTTTCAGTGTGGTATAAGAAATGGTGCTAACTCATTACAGGGCTGGAGGAAACCTGAGATCCTCAAGTTCCTATCGGAACGCAACTTCTAATCTAAAAAGTACCCTCGAATTGATTTATCTGCATCTTATCCGCGTACAACCTCACTCTTATCTACTTCATATTACTCGGAATGAACGGGCGAAACGCACACCCCGCCCTTAAAAAAGCAAAAATTGTTGGGAAATGTTGGACATGACGAGAAAAGAAACAAAAAAGAAACTTTATACCTCGAGAACAAGGACAGCAGAATGACTCGAGATCAAGACCGTTTTCCTTATTATCCCTGTATTATTTTTATTTTTGTTGGCGTTTTGCTATTTTCCATCTCGCTTGTTTCTCTGCACCTACTGCTCTCCTTGTACATGTCAATGTCTGTCCATGAACTATGACCTTTTACTCCTTCTTATCTCTTCTTGTGTTATGGTTGGCTTTGTGTCTTTTTCTCGCTTTCCAGTTTTCTTTAATGGAGACGGCGCAAAAGTAGTTATTTGTTTTTGTCTGGGTATTTATCATCTATGTTTACTGCTTTGATCTACCTGGATCTAAAATTTAAAAAAAGAAAATGGAATGAACTGATGCTAAACATTTCAAGATTATTCTATTTATCCACAATTGAATCTGCCTTTTATTTGCTTCAATGACAATTAAGCAAAATCAACATACTCATACCATTCAACAAGACCCAGGCAAGACTAAACTAAAAATAACTCAAATGATAAATTTACCGTAGACAACATCATGCATGAAATGAATAATGGAAAAAAAAAAAAAAAAAAAAAAAAAAAAAAAAAAAAAAAAGTCTCCTCTTCGCCCCGAAGGGGGTATTGAGCATTGTACAGTGATAAACAGATACATTTATATGGTCATGACCCGACAATAATCATCCCAATCCCACCGGACCGGCGCCAAACGACATCAAATGTAGCAAAAGAAGAGAAATGAGGCTTTGAATACTTGGCTTTATATGGTGTAAAAAAGAAGAGAGGACAAGAAAGAAATGAGGAAAGGAGGAAGGTTTAAGTATGGAAGGAAGAAAGGACACGGGAGAAACGAAAGAGATGATAAATAGTACCAGTTAGTAGGCTCCTTCCGCTTATAAAAAAGACATGAAATAGCAAAGAAGTCACAAAACACACACGACGCCCTCTAGAAATAGCAAATGAACACTTGGGTCAATCCGCTAGCCGCGCATAAGTTAACAGCTGCCGAATAACGCCTGGATCCACTTGGGGCATCAGCAATGCCCCGAGTAAACTCTCTTTCTTCGGGACGATCCCGGATGGGAATCGTAACCCGGATGTGTCATCAACTTGCTTCGACTTTTCTGCAAGCCGGCGCAGGATCGCCAAGCCTCGGTTGATGATCGAGCTATATGCATACGCTTCCTCTGCTTGTGCTCTCGCAACCTGGTTCTGGCGAGCGTGTGGATTGAATGGCGGTGGAACGCGTTCCGTGCTCATTAGGCACGTAAGTCGGAGAAGGTGGACTGCGAATCCATCTGTCGATTCAAGCCACGATTTGGCCAAAGGCGCATCGGCATATCCAGCGAGAACATCAGCCGCAAGTAATCCTTGAAGCAGAAAGACCTTGCGAGCATCCGCAAAAGCGAGCGGCTTCCGCGGTTGGTCAGGGATAGCGCAAATGGCCAGGCCAAATGCACGTGTGAGTAATTCCGGTTGCGGTGTCGAAGACGCATCTCCCAAGAAAATGGCACGGAAGTTTGACCGATTTGGATCATCCCGCGCCAACAGCTTGGCTAGAGCATCCGTCGCTGCGGGTGTGTATTTGTGAATGGCGGCATTATATGGCGTGAACATGATGCTCCCTTCGGGAAAGAAAGTAGGTAGCGGGAACGGGGCGAACGATAGGATGAAATGTAAGAGACAGTGAGCCTCGTCTTTTCCGGATAACTGGATGAAATGACCAAGATTACTCAGAAAGATGACAGCGTCCTTCATAAAATCCAATGTGTTTTGATGCGTTCGCAAGAGCATATTTCGGGTTCCCAGATAGCGGATAATCGTGGCGATAAGGTTGACGACCGTAGGGTTGGCCAGTACGCCAAAGTTCGACTCAGTGAACGAGAAATTTCGCAGAATAGTGGTGATACAAATCAAACGATCTACCGCCCGGTCTAGCTCGTAGTCCAGGCTTCCAAATTCCGGAACATCGGCTAGGGATGTCCATTCAGTCTGACACCCGCGGATAATCTCTTCATACGAAGAGAGGAGCATGACGTCTGATACTTCGGCCGCATGCTCTGCCAGCAGTTCAACCTGTTCTTCAGCACATTCGACTAGACTGTCGACCAAATCATCGCAGTGTTCCAGCGATATGGGGACGTTCGGCTCGCTGGCAAGCAATGTCAGAGTATCTAATGCCATGCGCATTTCTGCATGGATCCCTGACTTGACGCTCATAGTAAGAGCATGAATGTCAATCACGCCAAGCTCCCCAAATGCTGGCACGTTGGGCTTCAACCTTGAGATATCCTCACCGAGCTGGGCGAATTCATCTACCTGGATAGGGCCATGAAGTTGGCTCTCGGGTAGAACCGTCGGCTTGAAAGTCTCCTCAATTGGATGTTGTAACGGCTGATCAGACGACGTGTCAATGGGTTCAGATGGCTTCCCTGGTTGCGCCCCAGGGATCTTTCCAGACTGTGCGGCCGGCTGACCTGGTAATTGACTAGTTGGATCTTGTGGTGTCCCTGGGGTTTGTGAAATGCTAAGGCGATGTTGTGGTGGCTTATTCGGAACCTTGGCTTGGGAGGGTGCCGCAAACCCATTCGATGCACTGTGTCCGATATTATTCGATACCACCGCCGCATTGCCGGCTGGGGGTTGTGCGAGGGGCTGCGATGCGTCGAAACCTTGGCCCGCCTTATTCGTTGGGGACTGAAATTGCATCGCAGAAGGGTCGCTTACGGTTCGGGGCAACGGGTTTTGTGGCTGCTGTTGTTGTTGCTGCTGCTGTTGCTGTTGCATTGGATCCCCCGATTGCTTCTGTTGAGTGCTGAGGAAAGCTTGCTCATACGCTGCAAGATTTCGCGCATAGTGTTCTCGAAGTTCCTGGACAGCCATCTGAAATTGCATTGGAGGAAAGTGTAATTGCTGCGCAATTACAGGCCACATGTTGGCTGCTGAGACCTTCTTCGAACCACCCAACTTCATCACCGCCGCATATAGCTGGACCAGGTTAATTGGACGACCGCAAACAATGGGTTGAAGATCCAAATGCAGATTGCGCGACATCATGAACTTTTGTAATGATCTCATGAAGCCCTCCGGACTCGACGGTTTCTGCTGCTGCATCCGAAGAGCTGCCACCTGCTGGGGAGCCATGGGATTCATTCCAGGGGCCATAGGTCTACCCATCATGGCTGGATTCATATTCATAGGCCGTGCGGGATTCTGCATCTGCATGGCTTGCAGTCGCTGCTGCTGAAGAGCCATGGCCTGTTGATACCCCTGGGGCACCGCGCCAAACGGCGCCTGCATGGGTGGTTGAACGCCAGCCGAGGTCATGGTCGGTGGTGTCGGAGTGAATTGCGGTCCGACAGCCTGTGCGAAGGGTTGATTGGGTGGCATAAACGTGCTGCTTTGCGGCGTGTTTACGCGGCTTGGATGATCCGATTGTGAGGGGGACATCTGCGAGCCAACATGCGGGCCAGCGGGCGAGAACGGACTTGGGGAGGCGGTTCCCATTCGCTGGACACTGTTCTGGTCGAAATCCTGCATGACTGGAGACTGCGTGACGCTGGGAGAGGCGCCGCGCTGGAGGTGCTGATACGGAGTAGGATGGGCGGGAAACTGCGGTGTGCCATTCGCTGGCGGTTGATATCCCGGGAAGGACACTTGGTGTGGTGTTTGCGAGCGCGACGCTATTATACCCCCAGGCGCTGGTCGCGGGGACATGGCGACCCCATCCTCGGGGCGCGGTCGTTTGGAGGGGATTACTTGGTTCGGGTTCTGGAAACCGGGAGAAACATTTCGCGACAAGCCATTGAACATGCGCTGTTGGAATTGGCTGGGGTCCGGAGTAGGAGAGGGATTGAGGAAGGCAGCGGAAGGATCAATGGTCGTCGGATTAAAAGTACCATTGTCATGGCTTGGGAGGTTCGGGGCGTCGGCTAGCCAGGCATTCATGTCGTGTGATTTTGCCAACCCATCTGTAGAGCGATAACTCGGAAGGACATGGTTAGCAACTGTTCCAGCAAGGAATGATCCACCGCGTAACAAAGCGACAATGACAGCACCCCCAATTCGGCATCACTAGCATTTCTGGCCAGAATAACAACCCAGACTCGGTGCGACTAGACCAATGATAGATTGGGGAACGAACAGACCAGTCTAGACGCGTCGAATTTCTGAGGAGGGTGTATACGTATGCATGTATGTGTAATGGGGAATAGTGGTTGGTGAAAGTATGGTGGTTGAGTCGCGCTTTGTTCTGCGACACGAGGCGAACGAGCAAGCGCAACACCGTCACCAGCGGGTGGTGCGAGTGTGGCCTCTCCCAAAGAAAACGCGATCAAAAACAGACAGGAATGAAATACATACCGACAAAAGGCTGGACAACTCTAAATGCCGACTTGCAAGCGGGGGGGGAAAAAGCCGGATTCCGAGAGGAGGAGCAGCAGCCAACACAAGCAAAGTAAGCAGGAGAGGGAGAGAAAGTGAGTGAGAAGAACGAGCAAGAGGCTGAGAACGGTCGGGCACGTGACACTCAGAATGAGCTTGGCTGGTCACGGGATCACGACGGAAGAGAGACGAGGTCTGCCATTAAGCAGGGTTAGTATGGACAGAAAATGGAATCTATTTTCGAGAAGAACGATCATAATTAGGGCCAGCATCCCTAGATCCTCCATCCAAGCCCCAGCTAGTCCTCTGCAACATGCTTGGGTGCAGTGCCGGAGACCGAGAAAAGTGCGTGGTCCCAGTGTGGAACGAATGTGGTCATAAGACAAGCTGTGACAACAAGCAAACCACAGAGCAGGGTGTGTCCGTTTAGGGTAAAGATGGTGTATGTATGGGATACGTACCAAGAATCGTAGATTACCGTCCGATTATTACTTTAAAATATAACCTCATACAGTCCGGGGAAAGTGACCAAGATCGTAGAGACTGTCAGAGAGCGAACCGAACCTAGGGAAATGCCAGTCCGAGTGGAGGCAACCGGGGGAAAATAGAAAAGGGCCGTGGAGAAAAAATTGATAACTAATTCCAAGACCCGGTAATTATGATAATGCCGAGGAACAAACCGTCTTGATCAATAATAATAATGAACGGACTGGAATGGCTGCTGGATGAACGAGAGGAACGTATGGGAAAAGGAGCAGAAAGTCGGTCCTGCGGTTTTGCCGCCGCTGCCGGTGTGCATAGTGCAGCTCCATAAAGATGACTAATTATGCGTTTCTCATCTACATAGTACCCCTGTACAAATTAGACCACTCCATCGAATAACACTCTGCACCACCATGCTACTTGTTCCGGTACCAGAGAAATAAAAGGACCGCAACAAGGTCAGATGAATTGGCAAGGATAGTAACAGCCACCGTAATGTCTGTTGGGTTGCAGTCAGCTTTGCCCTAATGGCCAATAGTCAATCACTCAATCTATGAAATTCCCCGAGAGAAAATGAAGTGGACAATAGTATGCTAGCTCTGCTGACAATTGATTTTCTATTGTATGTGACATTAAAATTCATTTTCACTCGTAATAAATTTCAATGACTCTCGTTGTCGACCATGGATATGACCAGGGCTATCGAAACCAGTTCACGTATTCAGTATCATGTAACAGGCCAGAGACCGACGCTCTACATACCTATAAGCGTATTGTCAAGAGCCCAGTTTGAACTACCCAAGCAACAATATTTTAGGGCTCAGCTGGTTCCACGGCTCAGTTGTCTCCCTATAATGCCATTATCATTACCATACCAACAACTCAGATATATTTGACTCCATAGACTAATGGCAACTCGTTGAAGAAGCCAACCACCACGAGCCGCAAAGGCAATAACCAATCGTTAGGAATACATTAGACATCTCGCTGCAATCTTAAACCCGGTTTCCCATGTGGATTTTCCGTACTTGGATCCTTCCGATCATGACAAGTTCTCCATTAGATGCCATCCGTTGATGATAAAGGATGATGGCAGCTACCCTATACAATTAAAATCATGCTTCTTCGCCCCTCTTTCGAGAGAGACTCTTGACCGGTATCCAGTCGACCTCGATTGCGATGGAAACGAATTTTCCTATTGTGATATCCATGGAGAGTTCAAGACAATGATATAATGTCTAAAGAGCTGGCGAATGTAAATCACCCCTTGTGAAGTGCGGCATTCTGAAATATCTTATGAGCTGGGGGCTTGATGAGTGTCCCAGATGGACATACCCTAGACTCGCTCACGGATTGGTATTCATGGTAATTGGAAGATATTTGAGGTATATAACCATCGTACTGATCTTATTCAGTGAATGCAATCGGACATGGGGACCTGAGAAGAGTTGCAAGCTCGCATTAAGCCATGACCTCCCACATACAACGCTCATCTTAAGAGAACACAATTCAAGGAGAAGAGAAGTTGCTTCGCGGCGAGGTCCTTGCTATTGTTGCGGCTATACAAAAAGACTTGCGCCGCCTGGCCCATGTGAGCATAAGACTTTTCCTGTGAGTGTCCATCTCAATAGACGACAGCAGTATCTTCTAGCTAACGAATACTCGAATCCTTGTATTTTCTTTTATGGCACCTCTACATGGCAGAATCCTGCAGGCTGTCTACGATGGAATCATGGTCGACATATGGAAGATGGGACTATCTGACTTTAGGACCCCAGAAAGAGAGCAGAGCTTCCAGATATATTTGCAATAGCTGACAATTGGAAATACCAAAGACCTGCCCATGGTGGAATCCTTGGGGCATCTTTCGCGCCAAAGATAGTCAAAGTCAGTCCTTGAGCTGGATTAGCCAGATAATAAACAAATTATGCCGCTGCGCTTTTCCTTTAATTGCGTTTTTCACGAGTGATAATGGGACCTTCATAGGTAATAATATGAGATTCATGTTATTATTGTAGCGTCGAAAGGAAGCGCAAGTGGTGGAATTTAATCTACCCGAGCTCCTGATCACGTGATGCGATGGCAAGCTACGTGACTGAGCCGGGCATCATCAAGCAAAAGCTCCATCGGACGACGAACCTCTACCTCTCGCATACGACTATATACGTGCTTTCCGTACTCCTTTTCATATATCCTTTTCCTACCGACTTTCTTTTTACTCCTACTGAGAAGATCTCACCATCATGGCCGACGTCGCCGTGGAGAATCCGGCGAACAACGTCACGCTTCACAACAAGCCAACTCCGTTGGATACCATCCCCAACATCGACTCCTTGGAAGGCACAGGGTCTGATGGAGGCGACGAATATGCCACTTTGAAGAGATTGCAGAGGCATTTAGAGTATGTCCTTTTGGGTTTCGTGTCAAGTGGTTTAGTGTGGTGGCTTGTACTAACCACTTGAATTGCAGGTACATTCAACTCCAAGAGGAATACATCAAGGATGAACAGAGGCAAGTATCTATTTCTTCGCTTTAAACTTTGCAATTATTTATAGAGAAGACACGAAACTGATTGGCGCCTTGTCTACAGGAGTTTGAAGCGGGAGCTTGTTCGTGCGCAGGAGGAGATCAAGCGGATACAAAGTGTTCCTTTGGTGATCGGACAATTCATGGAAGCGATTGACCAAAAGTATGGACACATCACCGATGTCTCATAAAGTGATTGCTGACAGGAGTTGTAGCACCGGTATCGTACAGTCCTCGACCGGTTCGAATTATGTCGTCCGTATCCTGTCCACTCTCGACCGCGAAAAGCTCAAGCCGTCCTCCTCGGTCGCTCTCCACCGTCACTCCAATGCTCTCGTTGACATCCTGCCTCCCGAGGCCGACTCTTCTATTGCGATGCTGGGCGAAGATGAGAAGCCCGACGTGACATACGCTGATGTTGGTGGTATGGATATGCAGAAGCAGGAGATCAGGGAGGCTGTTGAACTTCCCTTGACACACTTCGACCTTTACCGGCAGATTGGTGCGTTGAATTGGATTGAAAGATGGTAAATGACAGTGATGAGCATGTTACTGACTGGTGGATCAGGTATCGATCCTCCTCGTGGTGTCCTGCTGTACGGTCCCCCGGGTACCGGAAAAACTATGTTGGTCAAGGCTGTGGCCAACAGCACAACCGCCAGCTTCATTCGAGTAAACGGTTCGGAATTCGTTCAGAAATACTTGGGTGAGGGTCCCCGTATGGTCCGTGACGTCTTCCGGATGGCCCGTGAGAACTCGCCCGCTATTATTTTCATTGACGAAATCGATGCCATTGCCACGAAGCGTTTCGACGCCCAGACCGGTGCAGACCGTGAAGTGCAGCGTATTCTGCTGGAACTTCTCAACCAGATGGATGGTTTTGAGCAGACAAGCAATGTCAAGGTCATCATGGCCACTAACCGAGCGGATACCCTGGACCCTGCGTTGTTGCGTCCCGGTCGTCTGGACCGGAAGATCGAATTCCCTTCGCTACGTGACCGACGGGAGCGTCGTCTGATCTTCACTACGATCGCCTCCCGGATGTCGCTTTCGCCTGAGGTGGATCTGGACTCGCTGATCGTCCGCAACGAGCCTTTGTCGGGTGCCGTTATTGCGGCCATCATGCAGGAGGCTGGTTTGCGGGCAGTGCGGAAGAACCGATACCAAATCATACAGTCAGACCTTGATGATGCTTACGCCGCGCAAGTGAAGACTGGCCAGGAATCAGACCGGTACGTTTCTTATTCTGAAGATGTGTTGTCCACCGTTACTAATCTGATATACTTTAGACCCGAGTTCTACCGCTAATCAGGCTACCGCCTTCTTCCTTTTACTTTCTTCTTGTGTTATGGGCTGGACTAGGTTGAGCATGGCGCATCATATCTACGCTAGAAGTACAATAAATAACTCTTCAAGGTGACTCGATACCGACACTGTCCCCCGTAGATAACAGCCATGATAATGTCAGGTACTTAAACGGCCAACAGTATCGGTGTAAACCCAGGTGCCAAGAGTGACTAGCCGGAATCGGCCGGTTGCATCATCCAGCTCAGCGATACGATACAAAACATCGAATACGCGGCTATAATTTGCTGTAGCAGTGAAGCATGAAATAACAGACATTCTCAGGGAGACCTAAATAGTCTAGTTTACAGTACAATACAACCCCGTGATCAGCACCCCCAAGTGACGCAGTTGAGACCCGCTGATCTGATTGGCCGGCCCGTAGCCTGCAGTCGCTCCGCAACCAGATCGGAGTCACGCTCACCCGCATCACCTCCTCTCCGTCTCCAACCTCCATCCTTCTTCTACCTCTCTCCCCTTCTTGTCGTTCATCCCATCTCCATTCATCCCTTATCGTTTATTTCCATCGCAGATACTCACATTCTTTCATCGGAACTGGTTCGTTTTTTGTTTTACTTATTTGAGTCTTATCGCCAATATGAAGGCACCCTTTATCGCTGCTGCTGCCCTGCTCGCGGGTGGTGCATCCGCCGAAGTTCACAAGTTGAAGCTCAACAAGGTCCCTTTGGAAGAGCAGTTGGTGAGTTTGACCTATTTTGCATCTCCTGGAAGCTCTGGGATATATGAAAAGTGATTGCAATGTCACGATTGCGATCCAGATAGCTAATCTAAGCTCCCATTTCTATAGTACACCCATAACATCGATGCTCATGTCCGCTCTCTTTCCCAGAAGTACATGGGTATTCGCCCTTCTGCCCACGAGGAACTGCTCCAGGATCAGTCCATCAAGGAGCAGGGTCGCCACAATGTGTTGGTTGACAACTTCTTGAATGCCCAATGTATGATTGACCCTTGCAAACGCCCACCAATAGCGCCTATGCTAACGCGTATTGATTCTTTCTAGACTTCAGCGAGATCGAGATTGGTACCCCTCCCCAGAAGTTCAAAGTTGTCCTTGACACCGGTAGCTCGAACTTGTGGGTGCCCTCGTCCGAGTGTGGTTCCATCGCCTGCTACCTTCACAACAAATACGACTCCTCTGCGTCGTCCACGAGCAAGAAGAACGGCTCCGAGTTTTCCATTCAGTATGGATCCGGAAGTCTGAGTGGCTTCGTGTCCGAAGACACCGTGAAGATTGGAGACCTCAAAATTGATAATCAGCTATTCGCCGAGGCTACCAGCGAGCCGGGCCTTGCCTTCGCCTTTGGCCGTTTCGACGGTATCTTGGGATTAGGCTATGACACCATCTCGGTCAACAAGATTGTCCCTCCCTTCTACAGCCTGGTCAACCAGAAGAAGGTTGATGAGGCCGTCTTTGCCTTCTACCTGGGCGATGCCAACAAGGACGGTGACACCTCGGAGGTCACTTTCGGCGGTGTTGACGAGGACCACTACACCGGCGAACTGACCAAGATTCCCCTTCGCCGTCAGGCCTACTGGGAGGTCGACTTCAACTCCATTGCCCTCGGTGACAACGTTGCTGAGCTTGACAACACTGGTGTCATTTTGGACACTGGCACTTCGCTCATCGCGCTGCCTTCTACTCTTGCTGAGCTTCTGTGAGTCTTTTATACACTGATGCACACGAATCGAGCTAACCTTTGTGAACAGTAACAAGGAGATTGGTGCTACCAAGAACTTCATGGGTCAGTACAACGTTGACTGCGAGAAGCGCTCCTCTCTTCCTGACCTCACTCTTCAACTGGGTGGCCACAACTTCACAATCACTCCTTATGACTACACCTTGGAAGTCCAGGGCAGCTGCATGAGCTCCTTCATGGGCATGGACTTTCCTGAGCCCGTTGGACCCTTGGCCATTCTGGGAGACTCCTTCTTGCGCAAGTGGTACAGCGTGTATGACCTTGCTAACGGCGAGGTTGGTCTTGCCAAGGCCAAATAAATGATCAGCTCCAATGCCTTTTCACGAGCACAAGGTGATTAGGGGGGATGATTTATCTCATGGTTTTATGCGTAAATAGGTATATCACAGGTTGCTTTGATTTTTATATGATCGCTTGGAGACGAGGACGATTCCCGCAGATGGTTGCAAGCATATGCTTGAAACTTGCTTTTTAATGAGCTATTAATGGAATTCTTTGAGTTTAATTGATATCACGGGCTTACAGCCTAGAATTGCTACAAGTCCATAATGGTAGAATGACTTTCAATAAATGCCGAGTGTTTCTTTCCATTGCATTTATTTTTAGCCTCAAGACTGTAGTCTGCCTTTATGCAGCATCGTATATTCTTTATAGAAGCAGAATGGCGAGGGATAGAGAACCGTGGTTCCAATCCTGGTTCTTTGACATTAAACGGTCCCCGCACGAGCCTCAGGCATGAACATTTCTGCCACTGCCACTGCCTTGCTGCCTTAATGTCATCTCTCTTCTTCATCCTTCTCTTCCTCTTTCACTCTTCTTTTTTTCTCCCAACTCAAGTATAAAGCTCTACTTTTCACCACAAATACAGATATTATAACTCCTATAACCGTTCTATATCTTCGATAGCTATTGCGCACGACGCTACCAATCCTTCTGGCCAAACCGCTTCGCGTCATCTCGTGGCGATTGCTTGCAGCGACAACCACGCCGTCATTATCTCCTCCGCAAAACAAAGCAGTTAGCCTGACTCGAGTGATCAAGTTTTATCGCGTCGCCTATTTCCACACATTCGCTCAAGTTCACCGACTTCGCTGCCCCGTCAAACTTATAACTAGTTTCGCAGACCCCAAAGTCCGCCTCGGCCGTGGTCGTGTGCCGCCGGTTGTTTTCATCTGATTCGGGCGCATTTTTCAGTCTGATATGGCTCCATAGCCTTTACAACTTCGAGGTTCTTTGACAATATCCCAATCGCCTGCCGAATCTCTGAATGTACGGTTCTAGTCAAAGGCTTGGGTCTTAGGAGACGGAATTGATAACAAAGAGAGAAGATCAGAGAAAGAGAAGGACCAATTGGAGTCGAGAATATGCTTCTCCGTCTACCGTACGGTCTCCATTACCCGATCACCGTGACATCGCTGCTGAAGCAGCCGGGGGATTCGGTCGAGCGGGATGAGGCATTATTCTGGTATGTTTATCAAACGACCGTCACCGAGGGTGATGGGTTGGGCAATAAGATTGAGGTGCAGCGCAAGTTTCCGACCAAGTTCGAGTCGACGGTTGATGGGGAGCTTGTGCAGTGGAAGATTAAGAAAGGTGATGTGATTGAGTTTCCGTGAGTTTCGTTCCCCTGTGATTCGAGGCAAGCTTAGGAACTAACCTGTTGGTCTACAGGATTGATGTTGTTGAGATCGATGAACCATGTGCTCACGAGGTTCAGTTTGGGGGACTTTGCGCGGAGTGTGGGAAGGATATGACCGAGTGAGTTTTGGAGTTTTGACGTTTTGCACCATGGAGTTGTTGTACATGAATGGGACTGAATTTTCTTCCTCTACGTAGGGCGACCTATAACACCGAAACGATGGACTCAATGCGCGCCCCCATCCAAATGGTACACGATAACACTGCGCTTACCGTGAGCGCGAAGGAGGCTACGCGTGTTGAAGAGGATGCAAAGCGCCGTTTGCTGGCAAGCAGAAAATTGTCTCTGGTTGTGGATCTTGATCAAACCATCATCCATGCTACGGTCGATCCTACGGTTGGAGAGTGGATGCAGGACAAGGACAACCCGAACTTCAAGGCTCTGAGTGATGTCCGACCATTTCAATTGATGGAAGACGGACCGGGCATGCGTGGTTGCTGGTACTACGTCAAGCTACGACCAGGTTTGGAATCGTTTTTGCACAACGTATCACAGCTTTTTGAATTGCATATCTACACTATGGGCACTAGATCCTACGCGCAACAGATTGCCAAGATCGTTGATCCGAAGAGGACACTTTTCGGGGATCGCATTCTCAGTCGTGACGAGAGTGGAAACCTAACGGCCAAGAACCTCCATCGCCTGTTCCCGGTTGACACGAAAATGGTGGTTATCATCGACGACCGTGGAGACGTGTGGCGCTGGAACCCCAACCTTATTAAAGTGTCTCCCTATGATTTCTTTGTTGGCATTGGTGATATCAACTCGAGTTTCTTGCCTCAAAAGCAGGAGCTAGCGGCCCCAGCAACTTCAGAAGCCAACAAGCCAGAAGATAAGTCCAAGGAGGTGAAGGAGAAAGCACCACCCGCACCACCAGCACCTCAACCAAATAGTACAACTGGGAAAGCAGAGTCTGGAACAGCAGATGTGTCGGCCTTGGAACAACTAGTGACCATGGGTGGCGGGGACAATCCCAGGTTATTGCAAGAACAGAGTACTGCGCAACAAGAAACGATCATGCACCAGGTGGAGGATCGCCCATTACTGCAGAAGCAAAAGGAACTGGAAGCGGAAGATGACGGTGATGTGAGCAGCGAATCTTCGACAAGTGTGGATGAATCGGCACAAGATCTTAGCAAGCAGCGGCACCACTTACTCGAGGATAACGACCAGGAGCTCCTTCAGCTGGAAGATCGGTTGGATCGTGTACATCGACACTTCTTTGACGAATACGATAAGAGGCGATCACGGGCACTTGGCGGGCGAGTAGCAGCTCTGCGGGGTGAGAGGACGCCGATGAAAGAGAAGGATGTCGATTTGAAACTCGTTCCTGATGTACAGGATATCATGCCCCTGATCAAACGACAAGTCCTTGGCGGAGTAGTTGTGGTGTTCTCTGGAGTTCTGCCCCTTGGAACGGATACACAGAATGCCGACATCTCATTATGGGCGAAAAGTTTTGGCGTTATCGTCTCGAACAAGATCAACATCCGTACAACACATCTGGTAGCCGGACGCAACCGCACGGCCAAAGTACGCGAGGCGACCCGGTATCCAAACGTCAAGATCGTCACGACACAGTGGCTGTTAGATTCGTTGACTCAATGGAGCCACCTGGACGAGGACCCGTATCTCCTTCCTGTGCACCCGGATGACCGCGGAGAGCCGATCTCGCCAAATTCGAGGGAAGCAGCGGAGAGTGGTTGGTTGTCATCTTCTGACGAAGCGACAGGAACAGATGACGATGCGATGGACGACATCTTCAAATCGGTGGGGCTCACGGAGATGGCGCAAATCGGTTACGATAAGGACGAAGAAGATGCCATTCATGATGAATTGAAGGAGTTCCTGGGTAGCGATGATGAAAGTGAGAGTGATATCGAAAGTGAGCAGGATGTGTCGCAGTTGGCAGATGAAGCCGGCGCAACTAAGAAACGGAAGCGCGACGGCGAAGGCGACGACAGTGATGGCGGATCCAGTGCCAACAGCAGTGACAACGAGACAGATGGAGAAAGCGATAAGGGGTCACGGCTGGCACAGCGGATCAAACGTTCGCACGCGCGTAGCACAGGTCTTAAAGAGGTTGCCACGGCAAGCAGCACGAGCGCGGCGGAAACGTCAAGAACAAGCCTGCCAACTGAGCGGACCAGTGCTAATGCAGACGACAAAGAAAACGCCGAAGAGCCCGCAGCCAAGGGCCAAGATGTGAGCTATCCGGAAGATCCAGCGGATGATGAGGACGAACTGGAGCGGGAGATGTTGGCTGCGTTTGAAGATGGGGATTATGATGAGAAGGCGGAGGGGGATATTGCGGAGGAGAATGGTTGAGTTTCCCCTTTCATTTCTTTTTGTATATTTGTAGGAGTCGATTTGGGTTTTCTCTATTTGCCTATCTGTTTGAGTTCTGGTTGTTGCGATGCAGTGGCATAGCGACGGCGTTGGTGTGAGTACTGATACTGATATGTTAAGTCAGAGTAACTGTTCATATACCAGAGAAATCAATTTTCTTTCATAAATATTAGCCATAGATCATACACCAAACACATCAGTCATGAAAAAAAGGAAAAAAAACATCACGCAACATCGCGATGCACTCGCCACGACATAATAACCATCCACAAAAAGAAAATCACCCCAATCAACTCAAACGCAAACGCCGTTTTCCAACAATTGCCTGCGCCAGTTAGTTAGCCATGCCATTTCTCATAAACACCTTATTGGAAAAGGAGGGAACGTACAAATAGTAATCTGCGTCAACCACGCCAACGCCTCAATACTTTCCCCATGAATCCCATTGCCCTCAACCCAATACTTGCAACTATCATTCACACTCCCCACAACACCGTAAAGTTGCAGTGCCGTCTCAACGAGACCGGTTAACCACAGCACGAAGAGCACGAAGCTCCCCACAATGATGATACCGGGGAGCAGGAAGCGCTGCATGGCCAGGATTAGGATTAGGGCTATGAAGAAGATGCCTAGCGCGCCGGAGACGATCATGAAGGGGAAGAGCCTGTGCTTGTTAGTGCCTATATTTAGGTAGGGAGGGGGAAGGAGAGAGGCAAAGGGAGGAGGTACCATGGAGTCCCGAGCTTAAGCTGCGATTGCACAGCCATTAACCAAGCGAAAATACCGAGATTGATACATGAGGCAGCGAGGACGATGAAGAGCCAGCAGTTGAGTTGGAGTTCAGGCCAGTGGTATCTGCGGTAGACTCTTCGGACGGCCATTTTTGTCTCTTTGTCTAATTTGCTTAAGACTTTGGTTGGACGCTGTGTCAGGTACCGGGATATATAGTTATGTGTATGCGGCGCGTGCCAAAGTGAAGCTGACGAGGGATTAATATTAAAAGTGACAGTGACAGGGACCGGCAGAATGACAGCGCATCACCGCTGTAGCTGTAGGTATTCCTGTTTTTCAATTGATCAATTGAAAAAGAGCTGTATTGGGCGCTTGTAAGGTACGTAGTGCTAAAGCGCTGCAGGGAAAGTGGTGGAATAGATGTGTTGGCGATGGAGATAAGATGTGGAGCGATCCAGACCAGACCAGACTCAATTGAATATTTGCGAGAATACTCTGACTGGAATGAAAACTTGATAAAGTGACAGGGTGAAATTGTGAAGATGCAGTTTCTCTGCACATAGCCCGCTGTATAGAAATTCTGGTGGCAGGGAGAAATAGCGGTGGCAGGGGAGATGATGCTGATACATACAGCTACAACGGATCAGGGTGTTGGAAAATAGCTTATTCTTGTCTTTGATTCGTTGTGCCTGTGCCTTTTTCCATGTAATTTAATATTTTCTACTCTTTACTCTATATCCTGTTGTAAAACAGCAATTCGAGCCTTATACCACCTGACTTCATCTAATTCGACACTCAACTTCAACACCACCACACTGACTGTAATTCACAGAAATAGATAACTCTAAATATCCTTGGTCAGTCATAATCAGAAATTTGATGGATTCTTGAATAAAAGGATTGATAATTGTTAATACCCGATCTCCATTCGCATTGCTCAAGTGCAATCAATCCTGCACTAACTGATCTCTGAAAACACCTTGAACTCCACAAGTCTCACTCTCTGCTCCCTCTTTGGCACAAAGACAATCCTAATGCACTCAGTCGCAACTTCATCCCACGATGCAATGGTAATCCCATTCGCGACTGGTTCCGTATAATGCGCACCGCTTACCTCCACCCACCCACCACTATCAAGAACCTCAACCCGACAACCTTCAGGAGCATCAAATCCCTGCGTCTCATTCGCAAAGAAAGCGAGCTCAGCACTGGCAGTGGTCGTGCTAATACCAAACTTGATTTGGTACCATATCTCGCTTCCATTACCAACAGGCGTGTCCCATCCATTAGCGATATCCGCCTCAGGGAAGAACCAGACTCGTCCGTCGATAGCAGCATGAATGCTTTCGGGATCTGCACCCGTGACTGAAACGCTCCCTCGTGGCCACGCAGAATCAGACTGGAGCTGGATTGATTTGGCCATTGGGCGTTGAATTGCAGGCGGTTTGTTGCGAGTGATGTTCACTGTTAGACGGGTTAAGTCTGGCGCGCTGGCTGCGGTTTCGCCGTCGATTATGATGATTAACCCTGCGGTACCGTATTGCTCCCCTGATGTGTCCCATTGTACGGCTATATCATGGCCGTGGTAAAGGATGTTCTCTGCACGGAAGAACGAGACGGAATCTCCATCAGCCAGCGGGTTCACCTCGAGCACATCATCTGCGCGAGGTCGAATTCCAACAAAACCTGACAGGATGAGGTCAATGAATCCTGAGTGGAAATAATGCGGAGATCGCGCGAGACCGACAATAGGCCGTCCCGTATCGGCATCATAGTCCTCTTCTAGATCGAGCGCACCACCGCGGTCAGGATTATAGTGCAGCTCAGCATACTGTACGAGTAGGTCTGTGTAATCCTTGCGGGTAACTATCCCCAAATTAGACGAAACCGGATAATGGTCAAGAAGATTCGCCAGACCTATCAAAACCTGCGTAATCTGGTACGGCCAGGCAGGTCCATTCCATTGACATTCACGCTGCGAGCCTTCATATCGATACTGGCGCATGAAATACTCATAACTCGGCTCACTGGTGCGCAGGCTATTTGAACCAGCAAATTTCTCAGAATCAAGCAGATGAACCCAGGCCTGCGCGAATGTCTCATTATCGTCAGGCAAGTCGTGAGTCCAGGGCACATAGCCCACCAACTCTCGCCCGCGGATGTAGTTCCAGTACGTGACGTTCTCGTTTTCAACCTGGTACCGATCGATAAAGTGCTCAAACGTGCTGTTCCATAGCGACTTCTGCACATTGGCTTTGATCGCATGTGCTCGATTCTCGTACTCTTCGGCAAGGGCTTGGTCACCACCCAGCTCCGCAAGCCTTGCAATAGCCAACGCATTCGCAAATTGATAACTGTTAACACTCGGCCTGAACGAATCCCCCCCAATAAACCCATCAACCCCGCCACTCGCATCAATGCTCGCAATTGTATACTCTGTTGCATCTGTCAACGGCTGAATCCAAAACAACCCCTTCTCCCCATCAAACCCCCCAGTCCCAGCCTCCGTCATATTCCCCTCCCACCCTCCAAACACATCCACCAACCTATCCAACTTTGCAACAGCAGAATCAACATCCCCATCCACCAAATGTCCCTCCCAAATGGAATCCGCAACCCACTCCGAGAACTGATACATATCCCCCCTTTCCCCATCAAGCATAAACCCCACATAATCCCCGTTAAACCTGCGATCCCGACACCAGCGTCCCTCACGGAGATGGAAACCCGCTGCGTCGACGAGAGATGCGTAGGGCTGTGTCTGCCAGCTGACGTCGTTGAGGAATTCGGTGGTGATGTAACCATCGGGACCGAGGTCGCGTTGGTGGGCGCGGTAGAGAGACCAGCGGTAGTAGTAGACTTCGGTGAGGGTGGAGAGGGAGGATGTAAAGAGGGGAATGCGGGGGGTGTACCAGGGAGTGTCGTTGTGGAAGTAGGTGGGTAGGGCGGCTGTGGTTATTGTTGTTGTGTTTAGGCTTAGAATGCCCTGGATGAGGGCCAGTATTATGAGGGGTGATTTCATTGTTTTGGGTTGGATTTGGGTGATGGGAATGGAGACTGCCTGGGGCATCTTATCTTATTTTATAGTCCTGTCATAGCAATCTGATTCGGGTTCATACAATATAGAGTACATGCATCTAGCGGGGAACTTGGCGATGACCAAAGTTACTCTGACACAAGGCCAATCAATGTGAATGAAGTATATTCGATATGGCGGTTAAAGCGTATATTGAACTATTAACCGAGATGCCAGTTTACAAAGGGTAATTGAGATGCGGAGAACCTGTATAAGAGTTTAATGTATTTACGAACAATGGCTGGTTTCGCATCAGGAATCGATCACATATTTTACCTCACTGGCATCAGGCTAATGCATATCCATCGTATCTATAGAAATAAAAAGGAGCAAAATCACAGCAGGGTATCACCCAAAGCACTCCTGACTAACGAACATCCAGCCCGAATGGTCTCCGTAGCTCCCTTCTCCTCCAAGCTGGGGTTCACCTCAACCAGATCCATGGCCACTAGGTTACCCGTCTCATGCACGCATTCACAGATAAAGTCACCCTCACGCAGGGTCAAACCGCCTCGCACGGGAGTACCGGTGCTGGGAGCCCATTGAGGGTCCAAGCCATCGACGTCAAAAGAGAGATGGATCGGGGTGTCATTGCCAATATGGGCGAGGGCCATTTCAACCACGCGGCCGATGCCGTGTCTAGATCTCTAGTTAGCATCTCATAGCAAAGTAGGTAAAGTAAAACGTACCGGTCAATGTCATGCATGCTAAACGCCTTGATGTTGTTTTCGCGCAGCAACTTCTTCTCTCCACGATCCACATCCCGCAACCCAATATATACCAGCTTCCTTGTGCTGATAACATGCTCATCTTTCAACCACCCAAAGATATCCTCACGCTCCTCCCTTGCCAACCTGGTCAAAAACGCCATCGGCATACCATGAATATTCCCACTCTCACTCGTTTCCGGAATGTTAATGTCCGCGTGCGCATCCACCCAGATAACCGCCATCTCTTGTCCAAGTCTCTCGCGAATCGCCCGCGCTGTCCCCGAAATACTCCCAACAGCAATTGAGTGGTCACCGCCAAGTGTGAGCACGAACTTGCCCTCGCGCGCGTGCTCGTAGACTTGGCTGCTAAGCTTCTGTGTAACCGCACTGACAGCGCGCGGCTTCTTCATGCCGCGGTGATCGGGGTCTGCGTCTGCGGCGGGAGTAACGTCTTCATAGTAGTGAACCTTGCCGTCATGGTGGACTTCGTAGTCGAGATCATCTCGGAGTTGGTCGAGAAGGCCGGCTTCGACGAGGGCCATGGGTGCAGCTTCGACGCCAGTTTTGCACTTTTTTTTTTTTTTTGCTTATCAGTATTTACCTAACTTGGCTCAGAGGGCAGGGTATGTACCTGGCCGCCGTTGAAACCAACCGCAACCACACCCAGTTGACCAGGGTTGCTGAGGAATCTCTGAGTAATGGTAGACGGGGAGGTCATTGTGTTTGATAGTATAGAGAAGAGGTTGAAGTGGTTATAGAAAAGGTGAAGATAAAGTAATGAAAGCGGAAAGACGAAGAGATCAGCGAGATAAGATCTGGCGGAGATGCGATCCGAATACGTCAGTCAGATCACAGCAACTCTTATTCTAGCCCTAGGAAATGAACTGGATGTAAAAATAATAGGGAAGGAAGATAATTGAAGAATACAACAAAAAGAGAAGTCTGAACCACGGATACCACTCCTTTAAATATGCTAAAATCACCGACCCCAACCGATCGCTAAAAACTGCTTTTAGGGATCATGTGTCTCCGCCGGCGATTTCTACTTCCCCTAAGTACAGGTCGAGGAGAGCTGCCCCTTAAGGCCCATTCCCCCACTGCAAGGCATGAATTTAAAATGTTTTATGACTAGCGCGATTGACTCGCTGCAATTCCAGAGGTCAATGTCTTGGTTTTGCGTGGGATGTGTACTTTGCGACTGCGTAAGTTGAAGATTTTGTATAGAAGTCACGTGCGAAATACACGACTGATGTTTCGCAACCGCCTCATTTTGATTGATCAGCTGGACCCAGTTACCTTGAGCATGTTACATTGTCTATCCCGGTATCTCGAATCTAGAGTCTTGTAACATTGCAACACTAAGAATACTCGGTCTTATCACCACGTGACTATATCGATAGACAGAATGAACGGGGAGTGATTGTTAATTTTGGTTGGTGACTTCAAATTTCTTTCTATGTTGATATAGTTGAGATATGTGGATTAGCTGTTTAACGCTGATGGTGGGCATTAAAACCTACTGACAAACCGATGTCTGAGATGCAGTAGAGGGGTCTGGTACGGAGCTTTAAGAGGGACGTCTTGGACAATCGTGTGCTTCCAGTCTCTTGTGACTTGAGTTGACATTGTGATACGATATTTTAGGAATGGTAATGACGGGAATTGAAGAGCAACGTTTGTTTTGCACGCTTGTAGTAGGACGATATGGTTGTACAAATGACGTTTTCATACCTTGCAACATCAGCCATCATATTATTGCTGGCCATTCCCCATTATCAATTCTTTCAATATCTCATTCGCCTTAGGCGCTTCCACCCGCCCCTTCTCGCCCATCCGCATCATCTGTCCCAGAAACCACCCAATTTTGCCCGCCTGGTTTTTTGTGCGAATCTGCTCGACCATTTGCGGGTTCAGTGCAATGACTACCTGTGCCAACTCGACGTATTCCTCACGGGATAGCGGGCGGAAGACCAGATTCTCTTCCTCAATGAGTTGTGCGATGGGTCGTCGGTCACCGTTGAATACCATGGAGAGCAACTCCTTGGCGGTTGCACCGGTGATACGTTTTCGGTTTTGATGGTCAATAATTTCTGCTAGGGATTGGGCAGGGACGAGATCTGGGTCCCAAGATAGGTTTGATTTGGTGAGGTGTCCGCCTAGTTCGTGGAGGACCCAGTTGCCAGCGGCGCGTTTGAGGTCCTTGAGGGGTTTGTTTTGTTGGTCTGCTTGGATCTCGCAGAGAATGTCCACCACGTCATGGAAGTATTCCAATCGGGCACCGTCGTCTAGCTCAATCAATGGCTTGGCATCCTCGACCGAAAGGCCGTATTCCGAGCCAACCAGTTTCTGTAACACCTCATCCGGGGATAAGGGCAGCTTCTCGCGGAGTCCGCCAATGAGGTCCTCGCCTATGAGCAATGGTGGAAGATCCGGGTCTGGCATGTAACGATAATCCACCGCCCCCTCTTTACCTCGCAGCCGCCGAGTCTCGGTACTACCGATAGTCCAACCACGGGTTTCTCCTTCAATTGCACCTCCACTCTCCAAGACTGTGATCTGTCGGTTCTTTTCTGCGATGATGGCTTCCTCCACGGCCTTGAAGCTGCTGAGGTTCTTAATTTCTGTCCGTTGGCCTAACCCGCTGACTCCATCATATTCGTGAGTACCTGGCGCTTCATCTCGTCGACGGATGGACACGTTGACGTCAGCACGGAGGCCTCCTAGTTCCATTCCTGTGGTGACTGCACTGCAGGATTGAAGGATAGCTTGGATCTTGCGGACACATGCGGCGGCTGTAGCGGGGTTATGAATCTGAGGCATGGTGATAACCTCAATGAGCGGGTGCGAAACGCGATTGAAGTCGAGTAATTGAGTCGACGGTGGGTAGTCCTGCGATTTCGCCGTATCCTGTTCTAACTGGATTTGTTTGATCGCGACTTGTACGTGTTTGCCGTCCTCCGATGCGATACCGTCATAGTCGTATAGGTCGACGTAGCCATTTTTGGCGAACGGTTCTATTCATATATTAGAGACGAATTTATCATAGACGAGCGTCACAATTACCATAATACTGAGTTATCTGATATCCGGCCGGTTGGTCTTGGTAAAAGTAGTGTTTTCGGTCGAATCGACTGGCGGATTGGATGTCACAATTGAGAGCAATGGCAGCGCGGAGGGCAGGGAGAAGTGTCGCGGCTTGGAATTCCTATCCCAGTGATTAATATATTTCAAAACCCGTATCGCGCGTGTAGAAGACCAACCGGTTGACTCCCGGGAAACGCCAGGTCAAAAAGAGCGACATTGGAATTCGGAACCTCGCTGAATACCGTCGACGCCCCTGTCCATAATTAAACCATATCCCCTCTGTCATAGGATAGATAGTAGACCCACGAGAAAACAGTTTGGCCTCCGTATCCAATTGCGCATGAATCTCAACTCCCACGGTCAACTCCCATTGTTGCCGCGATGCTTCTTCCTTCTCTCTAGTTTCTCTCTGGCGAGCCTTGACAAATTTAGCATCGTTTTTAAGCTGTTTCCGGAGAGGAACACGATCCGCATCAGTGATTGTAGAGGTCTGGGCTGTGTTTCGGGCTGGTCGGGTGGAGGAGAAGAATCGGGTCGCGGCGATGGGTTTATTATGGGATGGTGCGGGGAGAGTGCGGTGGTAGAGCTGGTAGCATTGCGAACAGAGAGAACGGGCTACTCCCCGGCTCTGGCGTAGGCATGGACGGAGCATTCCTAAGTCGAGAGATGCGTCAATGAGACGCGTTGTAAATGAGGAAGAGTGTCGGCGAAGATAAAGTGGGAGTTGGTGATGTTATTTTACAGTACTGTAATTACGATATAGTTTGGATATTAACAACAACGACAACAGGAAGAATATACACTACTACTGATAGTATGTACCAGTTGCTACTATACTGTTATTCAATATCTATAATCCCAGTCATATGCTATGGCGCATAACCGAAGCCCAATTGCCGCGCACTGGAGCCGCTGCAGCTCATCTGATGCGCATCACCGACTCTCCGCATCTCATCCACCGCTAATCCGATCTCTGTTCTGATTGCTCTCTTGGAAGTATATATCTCTATCTCTGTCTTTAAATTCTATACACTGAGACAGTGTGCGCGCTGCAACTTCCCGTCTGTATAACCTAACAACCCCCCGCACAACAACGCCCCAACCTCCTCCGTCTTAGCCTCTCGCTGACTCCCGCCAGCTTCTATTGATACCACAACATTCCTCTTGTTTGAAGTTGGAGTCCTGTCACAATCCTTCAACCCTAACTTCTCGTTGCAATTCAGCGGTACGCTCGACTATAGCGGGTGTTATCTGTTGGAAGTGTCTTGCGATCGAGTGCTTCATGTCCCCTCGATCTATCGGCTCTTCCTCCCATGGCCCGATTGATTAGCAAGAACAGATAGCACATTGCGCAGAGACTCTTTGATAAATCAACATAATGCTATTTGGCTACTCCGGCTCCAGTCGCCCGAACAAAACCAGACAATCCTCCTCGGCTTCGGTTGCATCTCATTCCTCCAACTCCAACTCAGCCACTGACAGGCCGTATAAATCGCATCCTAGAAGCCACTCGCGCGGACCGAGCACACAATCGACCGGGAAGTCTTCCGGGGCTGCAACAGCATCTACGGACAAATTGGTAGCAGCGGAAAGGAAAATACCTGGTGTCTTTGATTTTCTCGAAGAGGAAGAATCCGAGGAGAGCACTTCGTCTGAGTCAGACGACGATGATTTCCGTGGTCCATCCAATGTGTCCAGAGCGCAATCCAAGTCAACAACTAGTCCCGCAACTGTCGGGTTGCAGCTAGCCAGGAATCCCACGGCCAGCCGGAGGTCTACGATACATGATTCTCATAATGAAACAGGGTCTTCGGCAGCGCGCTCCGGAAATTCTCAAGACAAGAAGGGTACAGACTATCACACGACGCCAGAAGCATATTACCCTACTGTACGAAAACCTGCGTTGCCGCCATCACCCCCAAAGAGCCCAGAGGAGCAGAAAACTTCCAAAAGTAAACCAAGGTCGCGCACGAATACCAAGTCATCCGATGTATCATCCGGGTATGGGCTTATTGCTTCCCGGCTCAGTACCCCTCATCCCGATGAAGCGCAGCATCAGCTCCCTCCTCTGTACCGGCGATTTGAACATCTGAACCACCGCGTTCTGCTTCATTTACAAGACGAGATTGCGCAGATGGAAGAAGAACTTCACGTACTCGACGAATACGAAGAAATGCACCGTTCTGTTACCGCAGATCAAGAAGGGAAAAACAAACCAACGCCTGCCTCAAGACGCATGGATGCACAAGCCGAAACTCATTCCAATTTACATCAGCGACGAAATGAATTATTGGGGTCTATAATCAGCAAAACTGAGCAATACAGTAAATGCACAACTCCCTCCCTAACAGGCTCTAAGCTAACACGATAAAAACAAGACAATGCCCTCTGCGCCTACAGCAAAGTCCTGGAAACTCTCCCGCGCGCTTCTGAACAAGACATCGAATCCTACCGGGGTTGGATGAAAAAGCATAATCCCGTCACCGCCACCGAAAGCCGTTTCCTGATTCATGATCAGGACCTCATCTCCGTCACGCCTCGCTCTCTACCTTTGACTGGTACCAGAATTGCTGCTTCTGCTAATAGTAACTCTCCCTTCCCTGCTGTCGTGATCGCGTCCACTGTCATTCTCCTCCCGCTGCTGGCATTCAGCCTGATCTCCGAATTCTCTGGTCGTCTACTCGTGGTCACGATCGTGGCTGGTGCAGTGTCAGCATTCGCAAGTAATTCCTCGACAGGGATTGAGCGTCTGATTGATGCAAAAGATGGATGGAAATGCGCTGGAGGGTACGTTTCTTTTCCCCGTTCTTTTTAAGATATTGGCATGACAACTGACAATGAGCAGATATTTCGGATTCATGACGGTAGCTGCTATGTTTATTCCTTGAGCGTGCGAGTGTCGAGTGTTTCTTTTTCCTCTCCATTTTGAGACATTGATTGTTTGTCACGCTATTATGAACTTACGAAAACCACACCGTCTTGGGTTGTATTTATGTTCTGGCTATTTTTACCCTGTTAAAATCTTGTTTTTCCTAGCGAGAGAAGGAGATGAGATACGATACATTAGAAAAATCATACCATGAATTCAATGAATTGAATACAATGCGTTTGATGTTTACCATTGACTCTAGGCTACATAAAGTGTATACAGATAAAGTATCTATGCTCATATAGCGTAGTGGTTGGCATTAATACTATTTACATAGCAGACGTGCGTTTGAAAATTTTCCATAGCATGAGCCATCTTTTTTAACACCCTTTTCTTCTAAGTCAACTACGGAGTAGATAACTAGTTGATCGATTAGGGTAGCGCGAAAACCAGGAAAATGGATTTTTATCAAAACGAACTTGGGCAAGTCTCGAGCCACAATAAAGGTGAGTCGAGATTTTATCTAACAACCATGCCGTGCACGTGGGTACACTGCCTCCTTTATTTCTGACCCTGTGCTATCTCTTTATAGTCTGGAAGAATCCATACTCCTACATCTTCGCGGAGAACCCACTTGCCAAAAAATTCAACCTTAGAAAGGCGACCACTCCAAGGATAAAGTTGAAGATCGCAATACCCAACGGTGTCGATAAGATCCAATCCCAAGCAGTTGATCCCTTTGCCAGCCCCTCCTAGACTTGGTCCATGAAGAGCCGGAATCTTTGGTCGTAAGACTTCAGCACAGTGAAAAGGCTGTCCTTGGTATCATGGCCTTCCTCAGCAGGGCGTCCACAATGATTGGAGATCTCTCCAGCTAGTATATAGGCACCAACAAGATTAGAGGTAGTTCCCATTCCGGTGATCGCTGACGGGCAATACACGGCGTCTCCAAGAAGTACCACGCGGCCTTGGGACCAAGATTCGAGCGTCTTGTGGCGAAAGTGAAGCTTTTGAGGACTGGCTTGCAGAGAGACTTGACTTCGCTGTTCAAGATTCTACTTACCATGCAATTTACGCCAGCGTAATCGATTCCAGATAGAACGGCTAGATTTATTCAGAGTAGAGATATGAAATGTATTTAGCAGGAAATGGCAAATCCTTTGAACTGTATACTCGCATTATATAAAGTTATGCTGATGCTAGGGGAGGGGTGTGAGAAACATAATCAAAGGTTCAAAAAGTAGCTTCTGAGTATTATAATCTTTAGATGCTCATATCAACATTTTAATTGTCCAGCCTAGAAACTAAATGGATTTTCCATATTCCAGACACCACAAATACCCGCTTCGACATCTTCCATCATAACTCCAGAATTCTCGTTTATCTGGCAAGAATTATCAGCTCCTTAGTATACATGTATATATATCTTCTCTACCAACCTGGGATTCATTGATAGGTCCTTGCTGCGGTAGCATGCTCGGTGCATCTCCTTCCGTGTTGCAATATAGCATGGAGACCTTCTGCGGCATCTGGAGGAATTAGGACCGGGCCAGACTGGGGCAGGCAGGCCACTGTTGACCAGTCACTCACTTAAATCTCGGCACAGGGATTTCGCAGACTCAATCTCCATCTTCCAAGTATGTACTCGGTAGGCGATCCTCAGAACCTCCTCCACGGCCTGACTAATTGGTCTCTGCCGACGTCGGCCAGAGCCTCGTTTTTATTAGCGATACGACCATCACCAAGGGATAATATTCTGGCAGCTTCTTGCCAAGCGTATAAAGATGTGCTTCAAGAGTGCTTAACGTTGTCTCGGTTGGCGATATCAAAAATTCAAGAACATTGGGGACTACCCTTAATATGAGCGATAGGCCTATTGTAATTAAACGGATCAGCTGAGGTCCTTCTCAAGTGAGATTAGTGTATTAGCATACCATAACCAGCATCGTTCGAACACAGCTCGTGGCACAATACCAACGCAGCTTGGAAGGCATAGTTTAGTATGAGGCAGGGCATCAAGTTATTGCCCTGGGCTCCATGATATCCTGGAACTGGCAGAGGATAGTCATGCGGCTTCGAAACGTACACATCTTGAGTATGCATACTTAGGCATCTGCTGCGCCAATGATGCGAAGGAAGTGTGCAATATGATCAGAGATTAGCGCAATGTCAGTTCGACGGACGCTCGTATACGAGAAATTTGTTGGTTGCTTGCACCATATGCATCAGAGGGACTCCACACCGGGATGCTATTTGGGTGTTGTGATAGTTCCCCATTCATTTTTAAGACATCTTCGTCATTCAGTCCAATGTTTGTGCTGTTGGCCCATGTACAAATTTTCAACTGCAGTAGAAGGGACTTGAACAAGACAGCCTGACACACTGAATCTGTAAAAACTTCAGAAGGCTCTGCTGTCGGTAATTTTGAATCGAGGTTCGATAACGGTGTAATCTCTAATATAAATGGGCGGGATGGTATTAAAATCCGCCTCTCGTACAGGAGGCATTCCACGATCAACAGATGCCTGAAGATCAAGTTCAACTATGGTTGCCCATATTCGCCACCGCATTTCGATATAGAATGGAGATACCTTGGAACCCACTCAAGCGCGGTCTCCCGGGTCACAGGTTTCTCACCTGAGAATTTTGTCGTGCTGTGGTTGTGTAAGGCTAGCACGCTTGCCACCATTGCCAACAGCTGCGCTACGAGTCTGGGAGCTGCGGTTTGTGGGCTCCCCCAACATCTGGCATACTCTCCTCGGGAAGAGGGTACATGGAGGATACAGTGGGTCCGCTCAAGTAATCGAGGTAAATGGCAACAAGTTCGTCGACCACCTAGCGAGGGGAAAGTAGATCATCCAAGGAGCAGCCTTCGATGACACTTTTCCTGTTGCAACTACGTTTTGACATGTAAATGTCTGCGTGTAGTTTGTTGATTGCAGGATTTCCAGACTTGACCTTCTGAATATATGCACGAAGCTCCTCGAACTGTTACTGTGAGTAGGGTCTTTGACTGTATGAGGACTTTGATGGGAAAGGTACCTAGGAGTACATGTTCATGGGGGTTGCCTGACCAAAAACCTTGTCTGGGAGTCTCTTCCCTTAAGGTGCAAGGATCCACTCGTATGTGACAAGACCTGTTCATTCCGTATAGATCGCCTGGTAGCTTGTGTTGAAATTCCCGCAACAGTTGCAGAAGCATGGAGTTACTTCTCCAAAAGACTGTCTTCTGCAGCCGAAACTGCCTGCACATGACCCTCCGTCGCTACTGGATCAATGATTCCTTACCTATGTCTGTAAACAGGAGGAGTCCTAGAGCATCGTTTCGGTGAATTCAAACAGTTACTCCGCGCAGAATTGTGGCTCCATTTCAGAATAAGGTGTGCTGTCACGAAGCCAAGTCGCAATGCAATTGCCCGCGGTGGTTCAGGTTATTAGCACTGAGGGGAACTTGGAGTCTGGACGCTTGACCGGTATTTGGTCCATCAATGTTACAGGGAGACCACCTTCCACAGAAGCCGATGGGGTTTTGCGGATAACTATCGGAATTAATATTAATGCATATCTCCGAAGAACCAGCAATTTTCGGTCTCAGACTGTCTAGCAATGATAATTTCCCGAATTGCCCGAGTTCTATAAGCCGACTGCTCCTTATTGGATGACAGTTAAATGCAGTGATTGACATTTTACAGCCTTTAATAGCTTCTTCTCCAGGGCAACAATCCCGAACTGACGGCGCTTATATCGGATCTCGGTCCAACATCACATTCCACAGGATAGACATTGACTATGGTGTTCAACCGAAAAGCCCACTTATGTGCGGTTTCCGTTTACGGAAGACCAAGATTTCGATTCAGCCTGAAAGTATAGTTATTGAACGATTACGGAAAGGCATGGCTTGCAGATACCGCAGTCCAGTCAGTGATCAAACATTGCTATGGATCGTATTTTATGAATTCTATTTTGTGCTCATATCGCATTCAATACATATTCAGCCAGATATAGAACTCACTCCGTGGGAAAGAAGAATAAGGATATCAGAGCAATAATAATTCTTCATCTAATGAAACAAGTTTCGAAATTGACTCGACAACTGTATAAAATAAGACACTATTCCCATCTACCACCAGACCAAAACCATCCATCTAGCCTTGATCATTTGCGCCAAACGCTGAGTACATAAAAAATAAGATAGAGAAGAAGACAAGGTAAAGAAGACATGAACCATTCCTGTAATGTTGACAATGAGAATAATAGTGAAACAATAATAGTAGTGCACCATAGCACTGCTCTGGTCTAATAATTGTGAATCTGTAAGGGAAAGGACGAAGGAATTGAATCAATTATGATAGAACAAGCATCAAAGGAAAGGAAAGAAAAGGAAGCCACATCTTAAAGATTGCCAGTCCATAAACATATCCATACATCTCTCATGACGGTACCGGAGTTCCATTCGGTTTGCTTCCTGGTGTCATACTTCGCTCCTGCGAACCAGAAGCAGAAGCAGCACCCGGCGTCGTCGACTGTTGGCTCTGCTGCTGAGCCAGCTGCGCCTTGTTGCGATCCATCAGCGCTGCTTGCTCAGCAGCACTTCGCGCATATGTAACGGCAGCCGCGGAGTTGGAGTAGCCGCTGGATTGTGACGTACTAGCGTATTGCTGCTGCTGGGGAACATACCGCTGTTGCTGCTGCTGTTGCTGTTGCTGCTGTGGAGCCACGTATGAGATGCGCGGCTGAGGAGTGTTATACTGTGCCGGCTTCTGAGGGGATGTAGTTCGACTTGAGGCATACGGGGCATTGTAGGCTCCTGGTTGTGCAGCGCGAGGGGTGTAGGGTTGTGGGGAGGCTTGAGCAGCTGCTTGTTGCGCTGTAATAGGATATCCATTTGATCCTTGCCGCGGAACCTGCGGGACAGTTTGCGGAGTTCCTGTCTGGGAATATTGTGGAAGGTAACCAGGCCGTTGCGATGGAGTACCCGGTGCACGGCTTCCTGCATACTGTGCTGGTGCGTATCCTCCCGGCGTGGAAGGTTGCCTGGCACCGTAATAGGCTTGTGGCGCATTGTATCCTGGAGCAGTAGGAGCGACTACACGGTTATATCCTTGCATGGTCCTGGGACGTCCAACAGGTGCCGCAGTCGGCGTCGAGGTCCGGTTTGTACTGCCAACATTCGATGCCAATGCGGCGAGGCGCTCCTGTTGGAGGCTGTAGTCGTCCTTTTGCATTGTGCCGTGGTAATCCTGGTTCTCGACCACGACCCTTTGGCTGATGTTTAGTTCCGCCAATTGGTCACCATCTAATTTAGCAACTGCATACGGCGGCAAATTCGAAACGAGCGCGGCTAGACTCGATTTCAACGTCTCGTAGACGGTTCTCTCTGGGGCAGATGGTGTGTTTGGATCGCCTTGTTCTGACGATGTATCTTGACCGTGAGCCGGTGTGTCCAGATTGCGAACCTTTTGATACGAACTGAGTGTTTCGAGTAACTCGGAAACATCACGCAGCAATGCGTTCATCTCTTTTATTTCTTCGTCCTCCTTCTTTTCCTCTTCTGATGAGGATGTGACATTGTCGGCAAAGTCCTCGGGATTGAACGACTTGACCATCTCGTCCAGAGTCTGTTCATCGAGTTCGCCAATATTCCCAGGTTGCTCTGTGGACGTTGCCTCAGTCTCTTGTTCCTTGTAAGGAATCGAGAGCAAGGTCTCCAGTCGTTTTGTCCCTCGCTTGCCCCACCACACTAGATCCTTAGAGTCTGCCTGCACAACAGCCCCAGAGCTATCAAAAGAAGGGGCAAATGACGAATATACGCCCTGTAGTAGAGAGGGCGATTCCTCACTTGCCAGCGAAGATTCCTCATAGGGTCTGGGAACGGCATCCCCTTCATCTTGTTGTTTTTGCTTGCGATTCCAATACGAAGGAGAGGATGTAACGCCGCCGTACTGTAGCCATTGACCAGAGGGCAAAGGTGCAAGACAGTAATTATTCCGCTCCCCGGGGAACGACTTGTAGTTGGTCATAGCGTCGAAGGTGTCGATCCACGTGCTGCGAGACGATGACCGAGCTCTGCGCGGAGGCTCTAGCTGGGGCAACCCCGAACGAGGAGCAAAAACTTCACGAAAGGTCCTCTTGGGCTGTTTGGATTCGGCCTCGAGATTAGTCGGCGTCACCTTGGTAGTAGTGATACCATTGGGCAAGGTGACATCACGCAGCGGCGCCTGTACCTCCACGTATTGTGCCGTTTCGGGACTGTCGGAAGATAAAGGAACCTGCACAGACTTTTGCAAGCTCGAAAAGAGTTGCTTTGGGTTCGACGGGTTACCAAAGAGCGTCAAGACTGCACTATCAGTGCGAGCTTCTGCGTTCGACGGTGTCGACTTGGCTGGTGACTGCCGATCACTTTCGGGCGCTTCCGTCTTGATGTTGTTCTGGCTCACATGCGCCTGACGAACAAGGCTGTTTAAGACTTTCTTGAATGCCGCGATCCGATTGACCGTCTCCGTCAGTGGTGACCCATCGGCCTGATCAGTACTTGCCCGAGTTTTACTCTGTTCAATAACCGCGGAAGATGCCTTTTCAATGTCACTCAAAAACTCTTGGATTGTGATATAGCGGCCCGTCGCGACCCGTTCATGTATGCTAGCAGTTTCCTCCTTGTCGGTAGAAACCTTTGCGCGTTTCGATCGCGGTTTTGTGGGCGATAATGTTAAGGGGCAGGAAAGAAGTTGGAGCTCAGTGTCGTTTCTACACTTCCTCGTTAGCTATCATGAGCACCGAAGGCCACATAATGCCACCACCATCATCCAGGGTCCTGTTGGGAAGCGCGCACTTGCTCAAAATTTCTACAAGATTTTGTAAATTTTCTTGCAGCTCTTCTTTATCTTGCGACTCCGCCGCAGAAAAACTGCCGTCTTGGGATTTCTCCTCTGCCGATCCGCGCTTTCGCTTGCCAGGCGTCGCCAGCGTATGATAGTCGGAAGTGCTGGGATGGAGGTCGCCGTTCGTAGCAGACATCTTCAATGTCTCTGCGCCTTCGTCCGCGCTCATAATGTGGGTAGTCGCGCTTTGTGGTCGTATTTATCACGTTCAACGCGAGTATCCAGGACCTTGTCTTCCAAGCAAACACACGGTCGGTGGGCGCACAGTGAATTATGGCGAAAAAAATGACGGCGCAGACTGGGGTGAAATCTTTGAAAGAGAAGAATCAAAATAAGAGAAGACAAAAAGGTACGAATTCAATTCTCAGAGGAAGGCGTTGAGCCCTTTACCTCCGACGCCGACGATGCGCCAATAAATGCGAGATTCGATTCGCAAAGGGATCCCACCACGACGGTATAATCCAGCGCCACAACTGAAGATGGAAGAATCCAGAAAGTAGTATCAGATCCTCAAATAAAGGGATATTAGATGCATAAGAATTGCAGGACGCAAATACTGTGGAGGATGCAGCAGGAACGAGAAGGGAAATGGCAGAAAGAGAGCGAGATCTCGCTGCTCCTCCATTGCGCGCGCGCCAAGACCCGTGACGATCTGTCACGTGATTGACATTTTTGGCCGCGAAGTTTTGACGGAAGAGAATATGAAAGTAGTCAAATCACCTTGATGCCCTGGATACTCCGGCCTCACTGCAGCCTCTGTCTATGAAGCTATTCATGGATGTCATCGGTTTTGAATTATTCCTCAAGCCGCTCGGGAGTGTCCTCTCTGAGAGCGGCGCAATTGCTCAGTTGGTCCAAGGTATGTATGCCCCCGGGAGTTGCAATATGCTTTCACTAGTAGTACAGTACGGCTAACCATGAACTACACTGCAGGAGAATCATCGACATAAATCTTCCACCGCTATATACCAGACAACAGCCGCAAGATTCCGCAATGCGCCTTTACATGCTCGATCCGGACGCCGCGGCCTGACTTCTGCCCACAGCACGACTTCTCCGGTACCCGAATCCCGGATTGAGAAACGAGGCGGGGGTGAAAATGCTCGACGAAAGTTGTTAAATGATTGGTGGGATAAACTGCGGCACCAGTCCCAGTTGAATCAGTTTTATTCACCCTCGGATTCAGACAGAAAAAGGGGCAGTGAACGAGGACAATGTACAGAAAGCAAACAGGGTGAATTGCAGCGAAGGCGTCGAGCATCGATTCAACGAAGAAGGAGGCACAAACAGTCTATCGATCCGACTCCGTCAGATTACTTGACGGCTGTTTTGCAAAATCCGCATCTTCTCTCCCAGCAACCGAATTATGTACTCAAGAAACCGGATCGACTCTCCTTCCAAACGATTCTAGCTGAGTATCTGAGACTAGTCGAGCCGGTCGTGGTCCGAACGAAAGATATCCATACAGCACACGAGTTGGACAGCGCGCTAAAGGAGGTTTTCTGTGAAAGACATCTTGAGTATTTGGCGGCCCGCCAATATGGTATTGCAGATGTAATGACCTGGGCATGGATACTGAAGAGCAATACAGTCTATGATGCTATCCTTCGGATTTTTGCCTTGGAAGGGGAACAAGGAAATCAGCGCCATGGTGCTCTCCGAAAAGTCCCCACGTTCATCCCGCTGATGCTACTGCGAAAGTCAAGGTTTGATACAAGAACTTTTCGCTTGGTACTCATCTATTTTTTGCATCTCATGAGTGGCGAACAAATCCCAACGCTCCGTTCTGCTCTGAGGTCGATAGAGAAGAAGACAGGGAATATGATGGATCTTCAATCGGGAAAACGCGACTCCCTAATTGATGCCAGCACGTGCATGTTATCGGTCATTCGCTTACTCCGCCATGCTCGACAAGTTTGGCCACAAACACAATTGACCATTGCTCGTGCACTTGCCGATTTTCTGTTACATTCAAATTCCCAGGAAAATTGCTCAGAAGTTTCCGCGGGGCGTATGAATCAGTATCGGGCTGAGAAATTCAATCTATGTCTTTGGTTACTTTCATTGCCTTCCAATACAGGTCCTTTTGTGTCCGCTTCGATACAGCAGCAAGCCCAGTTTGAACTACTCAAGGCCATGGCGAGCCATAAACCAGTCCTCCCAGTAACACGACGAGGCTATCAAGGTGTAATCGCAGTTCAACTGGCACATAAAAAAACATTAGCCGAGCGACAGGCGGCTGAGCTCAAAGCCCCGTCCTGGCCGCCATGGAAGGAAGAGAAACTCGGAATAGACTCCCACCGGGGGATTGAAGGAATGACGAGTCGGGCAATGCAAGTAATGACTCAGATGAAAGAGGCTGGCTATTCCCATACACGTTGGGAAAAAGTTTCATCCATTTTTGCTGGCTGGGACACGGATCGAAGCCCAACAATTCAAACCCGGACGCTAATGCGTCGACCACAGTCGTTACCTGAACCTCGTGGGAGCACACAAGACGACCAGGCCATCTGGGTTGCTCGCATCCGTGCTACGCGTACAGTGCGAGAGGCTTGGGCGTGCTTTCTCTCATATCAAGGCCAGGGTCTTTCTCCTCGTTTAAGCATCTATACGGCGATGGCGGAGAAGCTTATATTCCGTCGAAAAGCGGTTGAAGCCCATTTTGACGAGACCAGTGGCGCCTTGCCGGGTGATGGACCAGAGATATTTCCAGAACCAGCATCTGCTCGAGATTTGATATATGTGCATACGGAACCGCCAACCCTGGACGAACTACTGAGGCGGATGCTCTCTGATGGAATTAAGCCATCCGGGAAGCTCTTGGAATTACTTCTTTGGGATGCACCCAGCTTCAGATCTGGCCTGGATTACCTCCGTTCCAGCAATCTATCTAATGATCAAATCCAGGCATTGTGCACTGTGCGAGGCTATGGGGACCACAGCGCCCAACAGCAGAATACCTTGACTGAATTGCCTAACAGCCTATTCTCATCCTTTGTCGGATTCCTCTGTAAATTTTCGAATTTCAATCCAGTCTACCTGGCTCGGGTCGATATTCGTACGGAAGATCTCTTCCCAGTTGTGATGGGCCACAATCGAGCGAGGAGACATGCGGGGACTTCAACGTTGTTTGAAAGTTCAGAGACCGGTGAGGATCTTCAGCCACCCATGACGCTATCACACGCGGTCCAGCTCGTCAAACTGCGAAATTTACAACACCCCTTGCCGTGGATTCGACTTCTCTCGGCACTTGGCACAGACCGCATCACCGTACCTTATCGCAAGATGAGCCGGACAACTCAGCGCGTCCTTGCCTGGCATGAAGTCCTGGAAGTTGCGAAATTGATGCAAGAACGGAAAATAGAGATGGGACTTCAAGGCTTCCAGATCCTTTGTAACACCTACGCAGGAGCGGTATCTTCAGGGGGGCGGCATCCAATGGCGGCTGAAGACGGCTTAGAGCTCATAATCCATGCCAAACGAAACGGAAGTCTGCCTCACCTTGGTTGGGTTTGTGATACATTTGAGGACATGACGGATGCTGGCCCTCCCATTTTGAAACTCTATTTCAACCAACTTGTTCTGTCAGACCCAGGTACTTCTCCTTTCCATGAGGACTTCATGCTCTCTGAAGAGACTACTACGGATCCTCAAGAGACTGTTCCTTCCATGCTCCACGTCCCTTCACCCGCCGTTCTTCACGCTTTTGTCAGGGCTCTTGGGACAGCTGGGGATAACACAGGCCTTCTCAATCTTCTTCAGTGGATGAGCAACCACGCACCTACTCTGAAGGAAGCTGCTGATGAGAATCTGAACGGTGAACGGATGATGCGGCGTACCCTGGTTGCCGCTCGGGTATTCATCGAAGGTCCTCCTTGGGGTCAGCCATCTCTACGTGATTCGAATGATGCCGACAAGCTGGGTTTTTCGGATGTTTTGGTGGAAGAGGCGTATGATATAATTACAGAGACACCTCTGTGGGATGGGTGGCCGAGTGACGAGGAGGTTCAAGACTATGTAAATAGAGAGACACGATTATAGATTTCTTGTGTACGATATTGTATAAAATTATGTCTTATGTCCAAATAGTTATGTTTTTCTACTTCGGATACAGGCCGTGCATAAACCAGAATGGTGCTAAGTGCGCGATATGCAATGCGTCAGGCGCGAGATGATAATATCGTACATGCCAATACTGGACTTCTACCGCTTATGGCTTGTCTCACGCTCTATGGGGGAGTCGTTTTTCAGCAAGAAGGTGCTCTAGAAGGCAAGGCGTGAAATTGACAGTGACAGGAAAGGAGTACAGGCGCGGAGTTTGAACGATAATGAGAGATCTGTGAAGCAAACTGCTTTCATGCCATCAGCATTGAGTTCAATTTCTATATCCTTCATTATGGAGATCATGGACAAGAATACTAATGACTATTCGCCTCCAACAAGACAGAACAAATCCGCCAGGGGCGACGAGTATGCTACCAGGAATAGAGCTGATACCAGACGCAGACGACCAACCGCCAATCCGTTTGGGACACATGATCCCTAAAAATCGAATCACATATCAGGCCAAGTTATTCAAAGGATTTGAACTTGCTATGAATGATAAGGGAATTCATGCCCTCAGGATGGTTCTTGATGCTGATGAGCATGCTACTTTGTGGATCGGAAATTCCTCTGCAGCCAGTATAACGAACTGCCTCACACTGAAAGAAAATGTTGCTGCTCTTAAAGTCAGTTTTACTGTAAGTTGGATCCACGTCCCCTAACATCCAGAGCATGGGATATCAAAATTACCTGTACAGAATATAGAGTGGCCAGTTTATCGCTTGGGTTAAGCGCCCAGTCTTACCAGCAGAAGAGGCACAACAAACGCAAATACCATGGACGGACCATTTCCTGCAGAATGCATTGTGGTTCCCAGAAAACACCTAGAAGGCCTCTATTTCAACGATCTTTCAAAATATGGAATCGATTCTCTGGATATTAGTTATCGGCCCTTTATGTGGACCCTTTTCGGCAACAAGGATGGAAGTTGCCTTCCGTCTCTGACAGGGATTGATGTTGGCACTATCTGGGCTAATATAGGTTACGCTTTTTATTTTGCTACAACAATGAATCCAAGTCTAATTCAAGCCTTGGTTTGGGGAGTGAATGGTATGATTAGGAGCACTTTGAAACTAATAGACCAAGAGGAGAATGAATTCAGTCTGTGCAGGCAGTGGTTGAAGATGCTAACCCCAACATTCCCGTATGGTACAGTATTTCTACGAATCCTGAAGACTGTGTATGGACCGGAAATAAGTGTAATAGTGTTCTACCATATGATTACTTTCTGAAAGACCTGGATATTACACCGGGGACTACACCTGTTGGATTTAATGCAACCAAGGTGAATCATACTTCTGGGAACCCTTGGGGAAATAACACCGGTACAGTCGTTCTTGGGGTTATATTGGCAGCTTTTAAATAGCGCGTGCACTTGCTTTGGAATAGCTGTTAGCCGAATACAATTTTTTTTTTTTTTTTTTTTTGCCATAGCTATTTATGTATGCATACTGTAGTAGTCTATTAGATAGTCGGTTATCCACGGGTTCCTTCTCCCCGCAAAAAGCTTTCCCCACGCCGCCTTGCGGATTCCGGAGCTCTGTTTCTCGGGACAAGAATTCTCAACCACCTCTCTTCTTTAAACCACTCACTCACTCACTCACTCACTCACTGGTTATCATATCAAATAAACCTATTAGATACCCGTACCATAACAATATGCCACCTCGACTAATTCACCTGTCCTCCCCGCTCCTTCGAACCACTCCCGTGCAGTCCTTCCGCATCACCCTCACAAGATACTCCTACAGCACCAGCTCCGACAATGACGTGATCAAAACTCAGCAAATCCCAGCTCCTGGCTCAGGAAGTATCCGTGTCCTGCAATTGAACAGACCCAATGCCCGGAATGCGCTCTCGAAAAGCCTGCTGGACAGTTTGACAAAACAAGTGCAGTCGATATCGGCCGAAGGGGGCACGGGCCCGACAAGGGCACTGGTTCTTGCCAGTAGCACAGACACGGCGTTTTGCGCGGGTGCGGACTTGAAGGAACGTGCTGGTATGAGCAAGGCTGAGTACGTTTGTTTCCCGATCTGGGTTATCACGATGCCATCGCAAAGCTAATCGCCCGGTAAAGAGTAAGTGAATTCCTCGCCAAACTCCGAGGCACATTCCGCGACATCTCTGCCCTCCCGATTCCAACCATCTCCTCGATCTCCTCCGTCGCTCTGGGTGGTGGTCTCGAACTCGGCCTCACAACACACTTCCGCGTCTTCAGCTCCTCGACCATCGTTGGTCTCCCGGAAACCCGCCTCGCCATTATCCCCGGCGCAGGGGGTACCTACCGTCTCCCAGCGTTAATCGGAGTGAACCGCGCACGGGACATGATCCTCACAGGCCGTCGCGTGTCGGGCCCCGAATCCTACTTCATCGGCCTTTGCGATCGTTTGGTCGAGGTGTTGCCGGAAGAAGAGCAGCAGGAAGGCGTGGCGAGGGAGAAAGTGTTGAAGGAGAGTATCAAGTTGGCTATGGATATCTGTGAGGGTGGTCCTCTGGCTATTAAGGAAGCGTTGAACGCTGTGCAGGGGTATCAGCGCGGGGAGGCAGCAGAGAATGAGGCTTATGATGGGGTGATGGAGACGGATGATCGGATTGAGGCTCTGCGGGCGTTCATTGAGAAAAGGAAGCCTGCGTTCCGGGGTCGGTGAGATGCTATAACTATGCCAAGGATTCTTTGTTAAATCCGTGTATTGGCCGCTACTTTAACTGTATATTTCGCGTTGATTGCCTCGATGCTAAGTCTATGCACAGTTTGTTTGGCCACTATGTGGCTTGAACTATGGTGGTGTGTCTGTGCTGTCACCACATTCCCGCCAATATACTATCGAGTCTTTCAGCATAAATGAACCCCGTGCCCTCGCCATGATGATAGCATAAGAACAGCATTAGTAAAGCACATATATCGGAAGTCGGCAGTCAGTAGCAACACTCGTGGACTTTGCAACATATGGCGTCCAATAGGAGAATTTTAGTATTAGTAACAACCGAGTGATACATACTTGCAAATGTACTCGTGGCTTATGCAGATGCACGTTTGTCATCTGCCATGAGCGCGTAAGGCCGAAACTGGTACAGAGCACAATCCGAACTTCTGGCCTCTAGCATGATGCCCGAGTTTCTCGGTGGTGATATGGAAGTGCATTCTGCCGATGCCAACCGCAGAGGAATTAATTCCGCGACTAAGCTGTTCTCTGCGCTCCACACCAACCCTATGCCGACCTAATACCGGGACTCCCATTGACTATCGGCACCCCGCCGTGGGGCCGACCCGGGGCGCATTGTTTCGCCGATCCGAATAGAGATGCCGGTCTTCCGACTCGGCCCCAGAAGACTCCAATAAAAGAGAGGGAAAAAAAAGTCCAGGTGCTAACTCGGAGGGAGATACGAGCGTTTCTGTTTTCCTGGCTTCTACAAGCTTTCAATTGGGGTTGTATAAGGAGAGCACGGAGTGATCGGAGCAGCAGATTCTAATATCAAAAATGAGCGAGAAAGAACCGGATCACACGTCCGAGACCGGCAGCACGTTTTCTGCCGCCGCGGACCAAATTGGGGGCCTGAGGCACCGATATGGCGCGAACTTGGCCCCAGAAGATACTCAGGACGAAGTAGCCCTGGAGCGCATCAACACATATCGGTTGCAGCAGCAGGAGACTGTCGGGTCGAGTACGCACCGGGTTCGGACGCCACGGGAGCAATGGCTGCCCATGGGTGCTGGGAAGCCGTTTCCTCCTAGTATGCCTGATGCGGAGGAGTATGTGGTTGAGTTTGAGGGATCGGATGATCCAATGCATCCTCAGAATTGGCCGTTCAAGAGGAGGTACGTCTTTCTACTTGTTGATCTGTGGTAGGAATTGGAAGCTGACTAGTGCAGAGTGCTGCTAGGATCGCTGCTCACCTTTTGCGCTCTCATGACCTCTTTCGAAAGTGCTGCATTCCCCGTCACTGTGTCGTTCGTTGGCAAGGAATTTGGATTCGGTCAGGAAGTAGGTGCCCTGGGTACCACGCTGTATGTCCTGGGTTTCTCCGCAGGGCCTGTGTTCTGGGCTCCTACCTCGGAGCTATATGGCCGTCGATGGCTTCTTGTTGTTGGGTTTTTTGGATTCAGTCTTTTCACAATTGCCTGCGCAACGTCTAAGGATACACAGACCCTGATGCTGTGCCGTTTCTTTGCTGGTTTGTTCGCTGCTAGTCCGGTGACGCTCGTTCCAGCGAGTTTGTCGGACTTGTTTAATAATACGCACCGTGGAATTGCCATTGCCATGTACACCCTGGCTATGTTCATGGGACCATATACCGCACCGTTTGTCACAGGTTACATCTCATACAGCTACCTGGGCTGGCGATTTGTGTTTTACATCCCAGCCTTTGTCAGTTTCTTCAACGTGCTCCTGCTTATTACCTTTGCACAAGAGACCTACGCGCCCATCGTTCTCGTGCACAAGGCTGGACTTCTCCGTCGCCAAACACAGAATTGGGCCATCCACGCCCGACAGGAAAAGATCGAAGTCACCATCAAGGAACTCATCACCAAGAACCTGGCCCGTCCCTTCCGCATCCTCTTCACCGAGCCGATTGCCTTCCTAGTCACCGTTTACATGTCGTTCATCTACGGATTAGCCTATGCCCTGCTCGAGGCCTATCCCGTTGTCTTCTCAGGCGTGTACGGCATGAGCGGCGGTAATGCGGGCTTGCCGTTCATTGGTCTGATTGTTGGACAAATGCTCGCTTGCGCGTTCGTGCTGTCTTTCCAGAGACCTTATATCCGGAAACTGGCAGCGAACAACAACGTTCCTGTTCCGGAATGGCGCTTGCCGCCGTGTATCATTGGCGGTATCGCATTCTCTTTTGGTTTGTTCTGGTTCGGCTGGACAGGCTGGACCACCTCGATCCACTGGATAGTGCCCATCGTCGCAGGTGGAATGGTCGGTTTCGGTATCATCACCATCTTCATGCAATGCTTCAACTACCTCCTTGATACCTATCTTCAATTGTACGTACCTCCATTCCTCTTTTGACCCTTATCTAATGATGTGCACAGCGCCGCCTCCGCCTTCGCCGCAAACACCATGATGCGATCCTGCGTCGGCGCCGTATTTCCCCTCTTCGCAACACAAATGTTTGAGAACCTAGGCATTCAATGGGCAGGAACCCTGTTAGGATGTATTGCCGCTATCCTCGTGCCTATTCCATTGGCGTTCTTGGTTTGGGGCCGACTTCTCCGCAGGAAGAGTCGGTTGGCTCCTACTGATGATGGGCCTGGGGATGGAAGTTCCCCGGCTTAACAATATACCCCCAAAGAAGCGAATGCTTCGCAATCCTCGTGGCTTTATTTATAATATGCGAACGACATACCTCTGGTACACTACTTAATAATCTCGAGCAGTTGGGTTGCTTATCTGGCTGGCTGGCTTGAAAAGTTATTAATGTTTATTTTTGTTTAAACTACATTAGTACGGCTAACGTTTTAGATACTAGAACGAATTAGAGATAGATGCATGAAATATGGATCAGTGGACTGAAGCAACCTCGAGATTGACATCACATCAGACTTGACAATGAGTTTGATCTGTCCGCCTAAACTACTAAGAGGGGCCAGGCATTCTTTGCTGGTCTCAGAAGTTGGTTAACGTACTCTGGATCTCCCTTCTTGAACGTTTTTGTCCTTCTTGACCGCACTATAGTCCGCAAACTCGTCGTAACCCACCTTTATGGAGGAATGCCTGGATTCCAATCCTAGTCCCTAGGTTTCGATGTGTTCTTTTCGTGTACGCTTTAAGAAAATACTACGACGTCTTGATGCCATCAAGACGCGCACATGAATGATGCCGAGAAGGGATCACTCGTCGAATCGATTTGTGTCTGAGTCTCATGGCGGGTCTTAACTTCGCTGGAAGGTACAGGCCTCTTTCACATGGTCCACTCCTCAGGACGATGCCGTAGAACTGTCCCAAGGGTCGAATTCACGTAGTGGAGGACTTTCAGGTCAGACTTGCTTGGAGGAGAAAGAATTAGAAAATATAATGGGTGACAAGATGCCCGGCTCGCTCGCGGTTTGATGTTGAAGGTCTCATTCCAATTGTCATCTTTATGATATTGTGGTTTGATCAATCATCAATGGTGATTGCTCAAACGGTCAAAAATATATCAAATGCTATATTCCTCACAAATTCCCCGACTTACTTCTAGAGTTTGTAGCCGTTCCAGTGCGTGCTTTCTCTTATTGGTGCAAAGAAGCCAGTCTTAATGTAGGTATTTTGGCAATCAGCGTCATTGTTTTCTCGAGATCTTTTAACAGAACATGCATATGATTCAAATCTATCTCTGGTAGGCGAGGGAAGCTGTTAATGGACGACATGCTTGCATTTCTGGTATTGACGTAGCCGATCCTTTTCTCAGTGATCGAGTCCATAGTTTTGGTTTCGGATGTCTTTAAACTTTAAATACAAGCACTGCATCAATCGCACACTTGTAGCTACTTCAGATGATATGCGATATCCTTTACAGTGGTGTAAATCTCTGTGGGCGATTATATGTCCGATATTAGCTAGTTCAAAGCACCTGAGTTAACATTCGCACCCTTAAACATAGATAATTGTCGTACCCGATACGCTTTTCTCACTTATAGCTCGAAGGACGACTGCAGATAGCTGCAGTGAGCAAGGAGTTTATTGTCTGAGAAAACCCATTTCCCTCACAAATAACATGAAGATTATCAACCATTGCGTTCCGGGCGAAGAAACGAGTAGCGCGGTATTTTGGCGGTGTAATTCTGATGACACGTTTATATATCTTTCCATGTTTTGACACGGAGTGGTGTTGTTGCATATGCCAATGATGCTCGTGTCGCATAAATTTGGTCTCAGTTGCGTCCGTTGTCAACGCACTGGGTTTTTGTCAGACCAACCATCTTGAGTGGCTACTGTAAATCCACTTGTTTCTGTGTTGAATGCTTTCAGTTACTCGAGTATACTGTATCCTCGCCTCAACATATCAACATGCGGGGCCATTTTCGGGTAAAGTGTATCAGATTCATGAAACCTGTTAACACAAGGAAGACTGTTTCAGAATCGCATATCAAGGCTGGTCTTGTCGCAAAGGCTTCTAAAAGTGCTGTGAGCTAGCTCCTGCGAAATATATCAGGGACAAGCTGGACAGTAAGGGTTCCCAGACAAAGCTCGCTAAGAGAATGGCGGCATTGAAAGCATATAACCGTTTATTAAGAAAACCTTCTCATGTTCGACGGGCAGGGATAAATATGAATAGAGGTGAGGTTGAGGAGAGGGACAGAAAGAAGAAAGGGTAATGGGGAACCATCGTGACTGGAATGCCCATTCTTCCTCATTCACTATGAGAACTTGGTGGGAAAGTAGCTTTTATTATTGACACGAAGTACATATCCGGTAGTGAGCTAGGTCGCTCTGACTAGATGCCAATTATGATGGTGCTACGGGGGACCATGTTATATCCGACAAAGAAACGACTAGCGGATCTTAAGAATACTATCATCCAAGGCATTCTTTCCTTCGGCTACAATCCTTGAGAGCTTGGTGTGTCAACTCAGAGAAAAATTCAATTCCAAATGAAACGGATATCTAGGGCTAGCTATACATGAAAAACAAACTTGCAGGACTATTGAAAGCGAATGGAAATAGCATAGCCCCGTTCTTAATGTCAAATTACATCACCAAACTAGAGTCTCCTTCGGAGCTCGGCAGCAGAGATCCCCACAAAGTGCCTCATCTTTCTCAGTAACTTGGGTGTCACAGGGTATCTGCGGCCTCGCTGGCCAGATCTCCTGTCCCTCGGCTTTCTCGCGGTTATAATGCTCCGTGATGACCTCGCGGATCGTGCTCTGGAAGAATAGAGGCGCTTTCTCGTACTTGGGGTGCAGTTGGCCATTGGTAAAGACTCCTCGGTCGAGATTCTTCTGTGCATTGTCGCAGAGGACTTTGTCTTCTCTCATGACGCGCTCGTACATGTCACTGATCAGTTTAAAGTCGGCTTCAGAGGAGTTCCGGTTTCGATAGATTTCGTAAGCCATCAAGGAGGTGCTCGGACCTTTGGGAAGGAACTTCTGGATCATCATGAAATGTGGCCTGCATGCATTAGAGCTTTGTATTGAATGATGCAATGTGGAGTACTTACGAGACAACCATGGCAGACGTGGGGAAGTAATAAGTACTGGCAGTATACAAACCCTTCGCCAGCTGCTCCGGTGTAGAAACACAATGGTGTTGGATATGTCCATCTTTGGTGTCGCTGTCGAAAGAGTCAAGATTGAGAAATTCGGGAATATCCGCGTGTGTCGTAGGGCAGTGGTAACATTCATTGAAGTTGTCAGACAAAATCTTCCAGTTGTAATGACCCTCTAACTCATAGGTATGGTTGAGGTCGTAGTCGCCAAAGTTATAGGCCTTGTACCGCTCTTGCTTGTCAACGTCCTTGAAGTGCTCTTCCCACGAGACTTCGGGTGTTTCCTTCGCATCCAGGTTGACCCAGATAAAGCCATTGACGTCGACCTTGACGTGGATGCGGAAGAGACTGTTCTGCTCCTTGTTGAATCCATCTAGCTCTTGGTACCCGGGAGCTTTGGCCAGTTTGCCGTTGAGTCCGTAGGACCAGCCATGATACCGGCAAGCGATGATCTTGGCATTTCCTTGACCCTGCTTCTCAATCACTGGATACGCACGGTGCCGGCATACGTTGTGGAATGCGTTGATGTTGTTCTGGCGGTCACGGATAATGATGAAGTCGAAACCCGCAAGTTCGTAGCGGAGCCAGTCGCCGGCCTCCTTGATACGCGAGCTGTGGGTCATAAAAAGCCATCTCTTGGAGAAGATGGCACGGCGCTCCAACTCGTACATCTCCTGGGAGGTGTACCATGATGCGGGCAAAGCACGCACAGGAGTGTCTTTGGCTGGCGGCGCTTCTTCCTGGGGGGCGTTGTTGCCGAAGCGAAGGTAGTGCAGCATTGAAGCCATGATAGTCTTTGAAAGAAGTCACAATAGAGTACAAGTGTGATCGTGTCTAAAGATCTGGTAGAGGTATTTCGAAAGCCGTAGTGACCATGCCTCTTTAAATACCTGTATTCTAGCCTGTCGAGTCCATTAGTCCCAATCGGGAATATGAACTCCTAAATGTTATCTGCGCCATTTAGAACGCATCCCATGATTATTGCCGCTACTCCGCATGCAAGCGACGTATTCCCCGGATCCTTACACAGCCAATAAGACTAAACGGAATGTGTCCGTCTTGAAGAGCTCCGTGAGTGGTAGCAACTGATATGGTTCCGAGACATGCATCGGCATAGGTTATCATGATGGCGGCTGCGAGAAACGCTGTAGCTTCTTCTTGGGCTGAGTGCTATCGTTACAATGCCGTTCGCTTTGGCATGCATCGGATGAGCAATCCGAGATTGTGATCTAGCCTTCGGTACATATCCGATCCCTGCTCCCGATCCCTGCTCCATTGCCTTTTCCTTTTTGGGGATCGTGGCGTTGAGTGGAAGAACTAACTATGAATGCCCTCAACAGCTGATTTCCCCTTCTCAAGCTATATCGGTCTCCAACGGTGCCTTCCAACGGGTCTGTTGATTTTTTTTTTTTTTTTTTTTTTTAAAAAAAAAAAAACGCACATGCTCAACAAAACAAAATATTGTCAGAGAAAGCCCTGGTCCTCTCGCCCTCCTTTCACATATATTGTCGAATATAGAGAAACGAGCGAACATGGGGCTTAGCAGTGCATTTACATATGAACACCAGATATCCAGGGAGGCACAATTGTATAAAAAAAAATCCTATGGCTGAGAATAACTTAGAAGACAGACAGTGAGTGCTCACACATTGCAATTAACAAACCAACGAACAGAATCCTGGCGTATTCATTCAACTCCCGCTAATCGAACTCGATATCCTTTTCTTGTAAATAATTCGTGAAAACATTCGGGGCTGACACTGCAGAAAGAGAAATACTGGTTTTCTTTATATTGATCCAACTTGACGCATTTTCGTAAGATGAGCCGCTTCAGTTCTTCGATAGTTTTGAACTGATATGGCGGGAATTTCTTGGCCAAAGCTAGCTCAGCAAACGATGATATTAGAGGCATATTTAAACGCATTCCGCAGCTTGCAACAAGACTTCAGCCTCCCTCGCCGGGTACGAATTCCAAGCAAACGAGAACATATTCTCCGGAACCTCCGCATCAGGCACATAATTCCTCAATTCATCTGCCATTTCACCCCGACGCCCATCGTCCATCCTGGACAGGATCATCACCGTCAGCGCGCGGGCATAGCGGACTTGGTTGTACATTTCGAGTCGTTGGGGGAGTTGCTCTATCGTTGTGTCGGATGGGAGCACGGCAGATAAGGCTGCGCCGTCTTCGAAGGACTGTGCGCCACCTTGGCCTTGGTCTGGTTTTGTTAGTTATGCAACTATGATGATTTTAGAGGAAGGCAGCTCACGAGGAAGGGTAGGATGAGCTGCATCACCAATTAGGACCAGCTTGTCCTTGAAAAAGGTGTGAGGGGGTTTTCGAGATCCCAAACTCCACAGCTTGATATCCTCAGCCATCCTGCACATCTCCAGCAACTCCGGCCCAAATCCTTCAAAGACCCCCAGTAACCGGTCCAAACTTCCCCCATCCAACCACGATGATTGCCTTGGCCCAGTAGTACCTTGAGGACCTGACGGATGGATAGCGGCCACATTGAGTAACGTTCCGCGACGGCAGGGGTAAACCGCGAGCTTGCGGTCATACGACGTGAATGCGTGCATTCCGTCAAGTCTGATCCGCTCTGTAAAAGATGCGGTAATAGGATTGGCCATCATCTTGGATACTGGAACTAAGAATCGGAAGCAGTCCTGGCCGGTGGATTCTTGTTGGTCTCTGCTGGTTATTGCGCGTACAGTTCGGGACTAGCATTGTAAGCGAGCAAATTTATATAGGACTATGTGCAGGGACTTACATGAATACCATCCGCACCGATAATCAAGTCACCGGTATACTTAGTCCCATCTTCACACAGGACCACCCCGGCCTCCGCATCCTGTATGTTTCAATGTGAGCGTCCTTTCTGTGCTATCTTATGGAGAAAAATCTACTCACCACAGATGCAACGCGTGAAGACAATCGAATGATAGGCTTTTTTCCATTAATCTCCTTCGCAGCAGTAGCCCTCAGCGTATTGTGCAAGTCCACGCGATGTGCAAGAAGCCATTCATCAGTGATATTCAAGGCTTCCTGAAGCTCTTTCGTCACCTGTCATCACGCCGGTCAATTAATTTACTGTCAAGGATGAAACAACTGATACAATAAAAACAGAAATATACCAATTCAAATCTAATCTGACCCCCCGCTTTATCCCATACTTGAAGTTGATTGCATGGAGCTGGTTGTAAGCTATCGAAATCGCATTCCCAGTCCTTCAAGATGCGAGTCGCGTTCGGCGCCAAATGAATCGCTGCGCCTACTTCATTGAGAAACCCTGATTGTTCAATAACCTGTTATATGTGTTAGGAATCTACCAGCATAGAATAAGCATGTGGAATACCTCTATATCATGCCCCTGTCGATTTAGGGCGATGGCAGCGCCTAGACCGGCCAGACCTGCGCCAACGATGATAATTTTCAATGGCATAATGGAGAATCGAGTGATATACAGAAGCTGAAGTTTATGATTAAATATACGAGCTTTTCGCAATCGTCTATTTCTCCTTATATAAATGTCGCGGGATGCGACTCGGACTCGGAGTTTTGAGTCGAAAACGCCGAAGCCTTTCTATCGGATTTAACCGGGATATTTTCCAAAAAAGGCAACTAGGGCTTCACGCGAAGTATTCCGTGGTAAATGCGATTTGATAAAGACTGAAAAAAACAATGGAAGGAATATTCAAAAATTGTATAAGTTGATATAGCAAAAATGGCATGCACTACAGTGAACCCATACCTATGAGCCTCAGAGCGAGGCAAGCCTTCCTAGGACGTCAGGCTTCCGGTAGACGACGGGAAAACATTCAAAGATTGTTGACATCCGAGTCATATGCATGGAACACGAAAAAGCGTTAAGGAGCAGCGTACCGGAAGTGCTACCTATACCTATATCAGCAGGACACTGACCAAAGAACAAAGTCAGGGAAACCCATACCTCGCCTGGGGGAGTACAGATGCAGCAAGACAGATAGCACTTTTTTGGCCTATTGCTTTTCTTTTGTTTGATGTTTCTGGATAGCACCGCTGTGAGGTCTTCATTGAAACATGAAATATTACGTTTATTCTCGACTCTACCTGGCAAGTATTCGAACTATGCAAATGTATTACGTATCCATTGCTCCCCATACTATGCAACCGCCCTAATTACCCTGTCCTAACCAACATACTACCGTAAAAGTCACACCATAAATAAATATCACCAATCAATAAACCATAAAATCCCTCCTGTTCAGCCCCATGCCCTATCCATCGCGACTCATCAATATTCCTGGCCATATCCCATTAACATATTATCATTGCTGTAAAAACCATCTTCGAACGCCGTGTATCTGTAAACCCGAAAACTCCGATTCCAAACTCAACTCGAGGCCTGTTGTATGCATGCATAATCCTGTTTTTCTTTCTTTTTCTTCTTCTTCTTCTTCTTCTTTCTTTTCTTTTTCTGCCCGTGGTTGAAATGAAACTCCGTGTTACAGGTCCGTGGACCATGCAAATGCAGATGCAAGTAGAATACAATGCACAATGCAAATCCTAAAACCAGGACGAAAACCCCATCACTGTCCCCATCCCTCTCCAGGCGCACTACCACTTCGTCCCCGTCTCGCGGGCACACCCCTCGGAAGACCCATATCAACCGGCTGCGGATGCGGGATCATCGGTGTAGACAGATTCGGATGATACAACTGGTACATCGCGATGTTCGCCGGCGACGCGAACGGGAACGGCGCCGGGGCCGGGGCCGGAGCATGACCGAACAATCTATGTCTAGCTCCCGAAAGATCCACAGGTTGCCTTCCAAAATATATCCCCGGTGCAGGTGCGGGTGCGGGCACGGGCGTAGGTTCATGCAGTGGTGCTGCTGATGGCGGAGACGCGTACGCGGAATCAGGATGAAGGGCTGCGCTGGGTGCTGGCTGTGGTGGTAGTTCGCCGACCCAGCCGCCCATTCCGGAGACTGTTGGATGCTCAGGGACCATTTGGGAGAATGGGCCGATGGGCATTGGCGCCGTTGCCGTTCCAGCGTTTGGCTGAATGTGAGGGACCACAGGCGGAGGGTAGAGAACTGGATCTGTCGTCCAGGATTGGCGAGAATTCGCTGATGGTCCTCGCGACATTGGTTCAGCAGCAACTGGGACTGGATCGGTGGCGTTGGCGTGGCAGCCTGGCATGTTCATGTCGGTCATTGAGGGCGGAGAGGAACCTGGCATAAACGCAGACGGATGGTGAACGGACATCAGGTGCGTAGCTGATTGTCCCACAAGACCCGATCGGGAGTGACCACTCATGCGTCGGGACTCCCTGATATCCTGGTTGCCTTCGATATGCATCGACTGGTTTCCATAAGCGAAGATGGAGGAAACGCTTCCAGACAAGTCGCCAGCCGGCTCATGAGGTCTCAATGTTGCAGAAGCATAAAGTTGTTGATACTGAGCTTCTTTCATCTCTAAAGACTCGAAATGTTGCGCAACTAAGTCAGCACCAGCCTCACTAGATAACGAGTGACTCATCCGCTCTGATCTCAGATCCGGGGAGAATGGTGCGATATGGCTGCTCCGACTGACCAAGGACTCTGCAGATGATCTGGCAGGTGCCCCCGAGGCTGGGTGTCCAACGGGAGGTGAATATGGTCGACGCTTGGCCGCATCAATGAGCTCATTTGTGCGTCTTGATGCCGTGACAGTTGCATAGGTTGGTATGTTCTCTTCTCCCGATGGAGAAGTAACAGCCAAGTCCACATTGCTGTCACGAGACGACGGTGGTGTTCCATGGTGAACAGCCGCAAGCGCTTCAGCTGCTGAGCCTTGTGAGCCTCTTCGACCCCTGTCTGAATTGTTGCCGGGCACATTATGTCCATGTACCTGGAAGACTCTGAGGACGGGCGCGGCAGGCCTAGGCCTACGTGCCTCCCGGACCATTTGCGAAAGCGGTGTGCCTCGCTTTGGCTTCTTCATATTGACTTCACTTTCATCATCGGCTTCCTGATCACGACTGGGTTCTCGAAAGATATGCGGCGGGAATAGCTCCAAATTAATGATCTCCTGTGGCGACTCCACATGATCGGGGTGGATGTCACCCAGATTCAGCGTTGGCTCTGGCGAATTCTCTTCGTTCGAAGAAGAGTCTGGCAATGATGAAGATGAGCTGCCCATGCGATCAAAAACGGACTTGAGTTTTGGCGGTGCTACTTGGGTCGTACTGCGTGAGAGGCGTCGTAGCTCGCCGCGGATATTCCCCATGGTCCGGGTCAGGTCTTCGTGAGCTTGACGCACAGTTACTGGCGCCTTGGAGATCTTCCTGGTTTTCTTGGGGTAGTGATCCAGCAGGCGCGATCCATGTGTTTCATACTCCCTGTAGTCTTTGACCATGCCACCATAATCAATGACTCCCATTTTGGTCTTTGCCTTTTCGTACGAGGCACAAAACATACTCGTGGTGACTACAAGCCATGAATCGTAGAATCCCGTGGAACCAGGTCCTAAACTTGCGATGCTAGCCATTAGCGGCTGGCTTGCCTGCTCCTTATCCATGATCTTAAGTTCATCCCGGCAGAAACCCTGCACAACGCTGTGAATCCTAATGACATCGATAGCACCGAGCCCCGGACTTGTCTCAGAGTACGAATCTCTAGAAGCATCCTCGTTGCTTTCAGTTTGTGACTCCGACAATGCCGGTGTCTGCGCGCTCGATTCGAGTGTCTCGTCTCCATCCGATTGCGATGAGAAGCTCTGCTGTTGCTTAGGTGAATTGGCAGTCCTCTCCAGGAGTCCATACCGAATCAGAGTTCCCAGTGTGGCATCAATCTCCGGGCGATCGCCAGGTCTACTGCTGGTCATAACCTCGACACCCCAGGATTCCAGAGCTCCTCGTCCCATGTTGATTAATCCGACTGGGACCTGGTGGCCAAGGAATGCCAATAAGTTGATAAGATTCAACGCGGCAAAGTGCTCCATACGATAGAGATCGTGCATAATGCTCAAAAAGGGTTCCGCAAGTTTTTCGTCTGTCAAGTGTGAGGTTACATGGTAGTTAACAATCGGTTTTCCCGTCGCACTGAGGCGATGGCCGATCGCATGTATTGCCAAAGGGAGACACTCGTAGTGCTTTACTAGAGCGATCGCTTTCTTTTTTTGGGCACGGTCTGCATTCTTGACACCAATGTCTTTGAAGAGAAGCTTGCAAGCATCTTCCTCCTCAAGGGGTGGAACTGTCAAGCAGTACGGTTCGAAAAGGCGTTGCTTCCTTGCGAGCGTTCTGTCAATAGAGGTATAGATGATGTTTGACCTTGGCCTAAAGGGGAGGATTTGTTTGAAATGGTTCAAATCCTCATCCTGGTCGAAAGTGATGCCATCGAATATCAAAAGCCATTCCTCCCGAGCCTGAAACCAATCACGAACTTCGAATACAAATTGCTGCGGTATTGTCGCATCTGACTCTTCAAATTGTTGGTCATCTGGCGCCAGGGAGGCCGCTTGAGCAATCTCCCAATAGGATTTGTAAGTTGACTGGCGTGATTTGGCGTCCACCCAGAAGATGCCACCAGGGTAACATTCGCGTTGGTCCCAGATATACTGCCGTGCTAAATGTGTTTTTCCGGAACCAGGTACTCCGTGTATGAGAACCGCAGTGAGACGATCAACGCGTTTCTTGGCCTTGTGTAGACGATCATGCATCAAACGAAGTTCCTTTTCCATGCCATAAAAGGTCGCATTCGGATGAAAGCCTGGTGGTACTATGAAGAAAGGCTCACTTGGGCCTGGAAGCTCGACGCTGGAAGCAGGATCTGGCGCAGAAGCACTCGCTCCTCCTGGGGGAGGCACATAGACCACTACAGGTTGCGCCACTGGGGATGCGTGGGAGATAGGGCGTGCGTCTGGAAAATCAGGATGAGCGATAAGACCACTACCTAAGAAGAAAAGGAAGTCAGCAATGGTCTGACTGTAAAAGAACTATGTTGGTCTCATCAAATGCAGCAAAGCAAACACATAATACATTGTTTATAAAACAGGATATCATCACTCAAGACAGATTGAAGACAGGTTTTTTTGTTTTTTCTGTTTCATGCATACAGAAGACAGAAAGCATAAGCCACTCAATGACTGTTGAAAGACGAAGTAGATCCCGATCGCGAACGCTCTTCAATCTCATATGGGTTCAAAGTAATAGAAGATCCAGGGGCTGGGAGAAGATGGGTCCTACCACTTGCAATCTGTGCACTTTGTGCGGTGCCCGCAAGGTGTTCATCTCTATACTCTGGTCCAGCGTTCGTGTTGTCTTTTGCGCCAGTCAGATACTGTATTCCACCAAGGTGAAGGAAAGAGGAAGGCATACCTGTACCACGAAGCTCGCCAATCTTGTAGTGCTTCCACATCTCTCGGGTGCTCTCCTCTTCGTGCCATCGGTGCGCGATGAGTGCAGGAGCGGCTTCTGAGTATCGCAGTATTGCCTCAGCGACCGCTTCGTATCCAGGAGCAGTTTCATCATCGAATTTGCACATGCTACTGTGATCTGCCTCGATACCCATGCGCTCCACACCCTCGATGTAAGGAGCGGCAGAGGTCTCGTCCACGATGAGCTGGCGGGTTCCCTTGATATCGGTCGAACGAGTTTCATGAAAGAAGTAAACGTGGTACCTGGGTAGGATCTCTGCAAAAAGACTGTTGATGTTCTGGAGGGTCTCATTGTCTGTCTGGAGCGCGCTGATCAACTGGGAAGAGCTCTCCATGACCTTCTTAGGCAAAACTGCACTGCAGATGTTCTGCAGGAGCGAACCCCACTTGGCCATGTCAGAGCCGTTGTGCGGGGTGCCCAGAAAGAGAATGCCGTACGTGGACACAAAGACGGATCGCAGATGCTCAATCTTCTCGTTTGTGACGTTACGACAGTGAATGAGCGTGCGCTTGACCACAAGGCCCCCGAGGGAATGGCAGACGAAGATGATAGGACGGTCAGAGCATTTTCGAAGCTGTAGGGGTCCAGCATTAGCATAAGAGTCGTAAGAGAGGGGGAGAACAATGATCGCATGAAGACAGAGTACTCACGTTTCGGTTCGCGGCAAGGCCTGAGGCCAGCGTCTCTGCATGGTGATGGATATGGTCTCGAGAAGAGCCATCTCTGAAAGCCGCTACCTCCGCGTTGTAGCCATAAGTGAGGATACGAACATGTTCAAGGACCTCGGGAAGAAGCTCTGATGGCCAAAAGATGCCCGACTGTGACTTCCAGGTGTGATAAGGATGGCCGTTGAGGCCGTGAACGAAGACGATATCCACCAGTGGCTCCTTGGAGCAGTAGATCTGGGAAAGGCCGTACGGCTTGATCTTGTCTGGGTCCGCCATGTCTTCTTGCGCGGGTTGAATTCTGATCAAGAATCAAAGCAAGAAGGCGAGGCGAAAGATGTTTCAGGGATCTGGGAGAAAAGGGCGATTTGCGACGAGGCGCATTTGGGGAAGTGACAGGAAGGCGCGAATGCGATGGATTGCGGGGTGGGAACAGGGATCAGCACTATGCAGTCACAAGATGTGAAAAGTAATAGAATACAAAAAAACAGAGATGATGAAGAAGTGAAAGACAAAGAAGAGAAAGAAGAGAGGGCCAATGATTATATAGAAAGGGGGGAGAAAAAAAGGCAAGGTGAAGACAGTGTGGCAGCTTCTATTGTTCCCGTGAGCGATGATCAGGCTGACCAGTCATAGTCATGGGAATCAGTAATGTATAGGCCAGGAATTGAACTCTTCACCTCTTTCCAGGGCTGCAGGTGCCTCGAATGTGATTCAATCCTCGACGCTAGTGAGTATTCTATTTCTTTCTTCTTTTTCTTATTCTTTATTCTTCACTGTCTTTCCTTTCTCTGGTGGTGATGGTATTTATTGTCCGTGGTCAACTGAGTATCATCCACTCCGTACTCTGCGACTGTGGCTGTGAGAATGCCCTGCAGTGCCAGGCAATCGTATAAACTCTACAATACGCCTTGAATCCGTCGGTTAAATATTCCTGTTGAGCGTCGAATTTCTATTTCTGACACGGACACAAGATATTCCCCGGAAAGCCCGACCACGGACACGGACTGTCATAATTATGTCTGCAACAGCCAACTGTCCTTGCAGCACGTATCGTACCTGCATCAGTCACTGTTCTATCAGAGCACAAAGATCTAGATCAGCCCAGTGAAACGGGTCCTTCCACCGGGCCGCTTCACTTCGATCCGGGGTTCATTGCCCTAGGCGTCAACGTTGATCGGAGTTCGGCGATTCGGGAACGTCAAGGTCGAATCATGACGCAGGATTCTAGTCAACACAATAAATCTGTCCTGAATCTGTTAAAGGATTATTTGTGAGTCATGAGGAAACTCGGTTGTAGTCCCCATTCACGCCCAGTGGTCGATTCGCGCTGTTCCAAGCGAAGAGTAGAGTGCAGTGCCCGTCTGAGTCATACACATACAGTGTATTCTATATATGTACGACAAGTAAGACAGTGATGTAGCCGTTATAAAAAATAATCTGGCAGGTGAGACTACTGCATATGAAATCATGTCCCTTGCTGGCCATGTGCAAGCGAAATATCCCCGGATTAAGGAATCATCACGTGTTAGGTCCCGTGATATTCCTCCATCTGCCTTGCTAAAGATGCACTAAGCCTTATCGGGTAACCAGCTGACCGGTATCGCCCAAGAGCTCATCATGACGTCGGCTGTGACGATGGGAGGAAAGCAAGAAAGAAGTATGTAGAGGCAAAATATATAAGAGGCAAGCCTCTAATTGTGAGAGTTATACTATTCAACTTTACACCACTTATTACTGCACCGCGGATTTTGTACAGCCTCGAATTCTCAATCTCAAAGTCTTAACTCTCCTATCGATAATAATCACCATGTCATTCCTCACGCGCGTTACTCCCTTGACCTCTCAACTCGCTAGTTCCGTTGCAAGGACGACAGCGCCCGCCTTTAGTGTACCCGCCTTCCGGTCCATCTCCTCCACAACCAAAAAAGACAAGGGTGTCGCCGACGCAACAAAGGATACTCTCAAGAAGGCGGATAAGACTGCGTCAGATGCAGCTCTCAAGGGTATTGAGACGGGCCGTATGTTCATGCTTCCTTTGCTTCTATTCTTTTTCTATCCAGGTGATCTGTATACTGACTGGTGTAGAACATGTAAAAGAGAGCCTCAAGGGCACTTTCGGCAGCACAAAGGGAGAAGCCGAGGCAAAGTCAGGAGAGTTGAAGGATCAGGCGTCCAAATATGCTCAGGAGGGCAAGGCCCAAGCTGAAGCAAAATCGGGCGAGGTAAAGGATGAGGCATCCAAGTATGCTCAAGAGGGCAAATCCAAGGCTGGGGAGGCCGCCAATGATGCCAAGCAAAAGGTTCATGAGGCTACCCGTTAAACCAATTTCCTGTTGCCCTGCTTTTCTTGTGGCATGATATTTGCGTTTCCATGTGTACATTAATGTATCATTAATTGGCCAAGTCCTGGTGAAATTGTCCATGTTGCGGTCAAGTGTTGTAGTATTCTGCAATTTCTCTAGAGTTGGGAAACCTGATTACCTCGCTTCAGGAGGAGGCAGTAGCATCACGTATTCTCGAGAGCTCAACCCAAATCGTAGCACGTCCTTGTCCTGTATTTCCACATACTGTGCCGCCGGGACCGCTTCGCCGTTCAAACTGGAACCGTTGGCACTCTCGAGATCAATAAGATATGGCTTCACTTTTCCAATCCGGTCCCCGAACTCATTTCTCTTCTCGACATAACGGAACTGAATGGCCGCATGTTGCTTGGAGCAGCTTGGATGTTCCAGGGGAAAATCTACCACCATTCGTTCTTTTCCGACAAGCCAACAGCTACGCTCGTATAACTCCACCACTTCTAAAAGATCATCTCCTTTGAACACGTAGAGACGCCATGGTTCCTTGGCCGGAGGTTTGCGTGCCTCGGGGGGTTCATGGTATTTGAGAACCACCTTTCCTCCATTGACATCGACCGTGTTGCTCTCTGCTGCTAAGCGTCCTGAATTGGCAAAGTTGGGCTTCTGCTTCTCAACCGGCGGACCAGACGATTCTCCTGTCCCTGTGACTTCAGTTGATGTGAACTCTTCGTTTTGAGAAGGAAGAGGACGTTTAGAGCGTTCCAGCGCCCTTGCAGGGGGGCTGCGCGAGCGTCGAGAAGGGGAGCGAGTTCGCGATACACTCCGTCGTCTGCGGGAAGGCTTGTCTCGATCGTCATATGCGTCTCGATCACGGCGGCGTCGGTGAAAGCGCTCTTCGGGGGATGCATGTCTCCTCCTCCTGCGATCATCATCATCTAATCCCCCGCGTTCTCGATGGCGATGATCGCGATCCCTTCTGTGACTTCCCCGACCGGATGGACTGCGTGATGACCGTCTCCTGGAACTATCTCTGCGGGAACTCCGATGCTCGTCTCGGCGTCGTCGACCGCTGTCGCGTGCAGGCGAATCTGAAGGAGACCGCCTCCGACGACGATCGTGATAATCGTCCGGGGACCCTGCCATATTTGCTCAATGGATGCGCGTGCGAGGATTTGAGAGAAATATGAGCTGTTGTGTTCGCGAGTTTGCGGAGTTTCACCCAGCCGGACCACGTGACACAGACGCCGGATAACGACGGCCTTTGCCTTCTCTACCATCTTCATCCTTAATATCCTCTTGCTACCATCTTTAATTTTATTGTTACAACTTACGGATGGCAGGCCGTGGTTCCTGTCTTGAAACCATGCGGCTATGCCCAAGAAAGCCAATATCCTCTGCTGTGGTGGACTTCAACTACTGAACCCGCCCACATCGCATGCCAGCATCTCCCGTACACAGACAGTTTTCAACTACAGATTCTATGCCACAGCCCATGATATCCCAAATGATGATATAACTTGGCCGGCGACCACATCCTTTACCCCCTACGACCTGTTCAAGCAAGACCGTGGAGCTCCGTATTCCAAACACCGTTTCTACGATTTCGTGAAGATCTACCATCCAGATCGACCATGTAACGGCCACCCGCAGTGCAAAGGCATCTCCCCAGAAGTTAGACTCCAGCGATATCATATAGTGGTGGAAGCCCACGAGATTTTATCAAATCCGGCTAAGCGGGCAGCATACGACCAATTCGGCCTCGGATGGAGTCTACATCCACCTCGACCGATGGGCTCGTGGTCAAGACCAGGCTATGATGGAGCCGGTCCGATCTTTGCCAATGCGACATGGGAGGACTGGGAGCGGTGGCATAATCGACATCAACCCAAGCAGCGGCATGTTGTTGACCACCGAACTTTTGCCAAGGCCATCATTCTTCTTACCCTCTTTGGAGGTGCTGTACAGGCATCGTGGATTACTCAGATAAATACTGGATATGAAGAACGACTCCGGGCGGTCAATGAAAAATCAGCCCGGTTTCTAACGGGGCGCCAGCAGAATACGACTAACCAGGGGGGTTCATCCGAGGCGAAGATGCAGCACTTTCTCATACGCAGGGATCCTACGGGGTCTGGGTTGAAGGAAGAGGAGCAACCGATTTATCAAGACGTTCTGCATCCCAGAAAGCCATCCCTGGATAAGGTTCAGAATTCGGTTCCGAAGAATGGACTAGCCCAGGCGAAGGAGCCCGGGAAGAGTTCGTGATTTTTCTTCCACCTACGCTGTTGGTATTTTTTTTTAAATTAACGTCCCTAAGACTATGACGCTATGACTAAGGGGTCATTGAGGACGGCGCAGGCATTGTCCAGCTATAACATCGGATTGTACAGTATCATTCAAACAAAAAGCACACGGACTGTCATGGTTGCATAAATTTCAATGTCGATTTCACTGCCCACGGATTTCCTTCACTCATCGACGTATCTTGGAGTAGATACATGATTCATTACCCCTGTACCTACTACAGCCTACCATGAATCGCACCAACTTCTCAGATGGCCCAAGAACTCTACAGACAGACGTAGTCTCGATTGCCTCAAAAAGAGCCTAGCGTTGCCCTCATCGAAAAGCACGAGCAACCGTTACGCCACCTCCACAAGTCTAATACCGCCACCGCCACAGGAAAATTGCTGAATAATCGCGACAGGCTACCTCATTGAACGCCAGAGCCGAGGAACAAAAGCTGCATGAAATACGGAATACGGCGCATATAAAACAGGACTGGTCGCCTTAGGAATTGTCTGCTTTATTACGGCGTCTCACCTTTACGGTTCCTCTCTCACTGAACTGATTGTGTTGTTTCCTCTTCGACTATCCGGCCGCCCTTCATGACCTCCATTGACAACCCAATCGCCTTTCTGAAGGCGATGTTGCCTCGGATTCCCCTCATGGTCAAGACGATTTTGCTCCATGGCATTGGCATGTCTTCCGTGGCCGGGAAGCAAGACCTGCGCACTGAAATGACTGTCGCTATTATCAGGTCCTTCATGGACTTCCGACGACCGCTTCGCAAACAGCAGATCGCTAGCATGCGCGACCCGGGCATCCAGGGTCCTATATGGGTTTCGAATGTCACATTGCCGCAGCCCGAGGATGATATTCAGGATGCGGTGATAAAGGCAATCGAGGCATTGAACGTGGGTGGGGAGACATTTGACATTCCTGGAGTTGGGCCTGTCGAGGCCGAATGGACGGGGTATCGCAAAGGTGTCGATAAGAAGGCACCGCAGCCTGATATCTCGGAGGAAGAGAAGTACAAGGAATTGCGCAAGGAGGCATCTGCAGATTCTGTTATCTTATACTTCCATGGAGGGGCGTACTTGTAAGTTGCTTGTTCCTTGTATGTATGACGAGAACCGTTAGACAACGCTAACGTTTATTGCTTTTTCCAACAGCATGATGGACCCTTGCACGCACCGTGTTCCAGTCGCACAATTCTCCAAACATACCGGTGCACCAGTCTTCTCAGTCCGCTACCGTCTCGCCCCCGAACACCCATTCCCCTCCGCGCTCGTCGACGCCCTGGTTGCATACCTCTCCCTCATCCACCCACCCCCAGGATCCCTCCACGATCCTGTCCCCGCCAACAAAATTATCCTAGCCGGCGACTCAGCAGGCGGAAATCTCTCCCTCGTCCTCCTCCAAACCCTCCTCACCCTCCGCCGTGTCTCGCCCACAGTCCGCTTCCATGGCCAAGAAGTCCCCATCGACCTCCCTGCAGGCCTAGCCACCAGCTCCCCCTGGTGCGACATCACCCGCTCCATGCCCTCCGTCGTCAACAATGCCTACCTCGACTACCTCAAGCCCCCATCCCAAGCCCCCGAAACCATCTACCGCCCAATCCCAGTCCCAGAAGATGATCTCTGGCCTCGCGACCCGCCCCGCGTCGACCTCTACTGCAACGCCTCCGCAACAGCACATCCCCTCGTCTCTCCGCTAGCAGCCGACAAGTCTCTCTGGAAAGACGCACCACCAGTCTTCATCTCTGTCGGCGAAGAAGGTCTCTCCGACGAAGGCCTCATCGTCGCGCGCAAAATGCACCAATCCGACGTTCCCGTCTTCGTCGAGCAATACGAGGGCATGCCGCACTGCTTCGGTCTACTCATGGTTAGCACGCCCGCGGGAAAGCGCTTCTTCAGCGGTATGACGGAGTTCATGCGCAAGGCTGTTGCCGGTGAGATCGGGAAATCTCCGGGAACAGGGACGTTTGTTGGGTTTAAATTGAAGCATGAGAGGGAGATTCCGTTGGATAAGCTTGTGGAGGTTAGTGATGAGGATGCGCTGGAGAGATTGAGAAGGAGTACGTATTGGAGGATTGAGGGAGAAAAGGAGTTGGTCAAGATGGTTCAGGAAAGGGCTAAGCTTTAAGCTTTTGCTCTCTTGGGCTTGTTGTTTTGATTTGGTCTTGTTTCTGATTATGGTATACCCCGTGGGTAGGGATGCGCTCGTGTAGATGGTTTGTTAGATTTCTACACATAGACAAGTACATACGATGCACGTATAAGTACTTGAAATAATATTTATACACATTTCAAAGGTATGAGCATCTTCTAGGCCCCGTGCTTCACCATCTTATCAGACCTTCCTTGATTGGACTAGATACTTGTCAGTCTCAGGCAAGCAAAGCATTGAAATATCATATTTGTAGACAGGGGGGTATGAACAGAACGCCAACAACTAAACGTATATAACACAAGCCTTGTGAAATACAAAACACAGATCAATAACCAACAAACTCCATTATCCGGTGCCGGCTGCCACAACTGCTCCCGAGAATGCAAATATATGGAACTCTCAAAGTGACAAAGACGAGAAGAAGGAATGTACGAAAGAAGGACGTCTAATAGAGCAACTCATCATCCTCCATCGAGGACTTATCTTCCTCCCACGGCGGCACGCCGAGTCCTGGAATGTACGGCTGCCCATACTGAGCCGCCCACTGTTGCGGAGGGGAATTTATAATCGGAGTGGACGTCGCGGACGGAAACCCAGCAATTCGTGTCCCATGTATCCGGATCTCGCCCGTAAGGTTCAAAGCCTGGGGCGGTGGCCCATCATCCACAAACCCATCCCAGAGTCCGATAAGTTGCATGGTGAGTTTGAAGAAGGCGAAAGCGATCGTGAAAGCCGGGGCCAGCAACGATGGAATGTGCGACCAGCGCCATAGCATCGTCGGGATCACGAAGGGGAATTCTGGTGCGTCTGGTTTGAGACAGTTGCCGTGACAGGCTGTTGCGAATCTGGGACGGCAGTAGTGATCGCACATTGAGGATTCGGAGAAGAACCAGGTGAGGAAGAGAAGTAGAAGCCAGGTCAAGCGGGTGGGACGAATGCGCCGTGTGACTGGGTCACGTCGCCATAAATATGGGAGTGGGATGTAGGCGTAAAGACGGCCGTCGCCCTTCGTGCCGCAGGATGAGCAGTTCCCGCCGGCATGGATATGCTTGCCTTCTCGCTTAAGTTTCTCCTCGATACTAGCGATGCCCGCTTTCATTTCGTTGATACGGACCCCCAGGGATACTAAGTTGTCGTCAATTTTTTCGACGTCGTCCTTTGCTGGCTCCTCGGGGCTTGCACGTTCAAGCTTTTTCAGGATGGCTTTTTCATAGGCTGCGTCCTCCTCCGCTTCAGTCTTCACTTCAGTCGGTTGCTCATTTAAAATTTCCTGGAGGGATTCGAGTGTATCGTCACCCGGGGTGTCTCCGTTGGCATTGGGATTCAGTAGAAATGCCTCAAGCCCACTCCCTGGCATGTCAGGCTTGGCCACTGGCGGTTTCGTCCCCTTCTCCTTCTCCCTTTCCGCCTCTCTTTCGTTCTGTTCTCTTCTTTCTACCCGCTCCTCCTCTGCAGGCTCCCTTTCTCTTCCTCGACTCGGTTGCGGTTCGGGTGGCCGCTTATCGGTGTGCAGCTCTATTGATTTAGAGGGATTCTCAGGCTCTTGTCTCCTTGGAGGCGATGAAACGATGTCCCTTGAAAGGTGTTCCGGGAGTTCAGTGACTTTCTCCGTCATCGGTGTATCAATCCATGCACCTGTGACGACAGGTGTTTTATCGTAAATAGGTCTTTCAGGCTGTTTCGCCTGCTCGGGGGTCTTTATTTGATTCTCATTTTGAAAGCCGTTCGCTCTTAAGCTCTCGTTTCTGGATAGCTTGCGAATGAGATCATGAGAGTCACGTTTTGCAGGACTCCGCTTGTTGAATGTAGAATGTTTATAAACCGAGACGGGTGTGTTGGAGCCCTGGCCTCCTTCGGTTGATTGTTGGTCTTTCTGCTGTGAAACCGGCTTGTTCTGCTCGTCGTTTGTTGTGCTTCGGTTATAACCACTTGTCGAACGTTCCCTCAGAGCACTCCGTGTCTCGAGACTTGTGCGACGCGGTGGGCGCTCAATATCTCGAGATGGGCGAGTAGCGTCCGTGTACCCAAGTCTGGACTTTGGCCTGGAGTCGTCCGCAGCTTGATGATCTACTTGATCCCGCGAGTTACTCTCGTTCCGGGGAGCTATATTCCTCATCCAACTTCGACGGTTTGTTGCACGGCTACCCCAGGTCCGGGGGAGATTTAACGAAAGTTTAGCCCCGCGGTCATCTTCCTCCACCTCCATCTCCGGATAGTCTTCTTGATTCTCCTCACGCCGCTGTAGACCTTCAGACGTCAATCCTGAATTTAACCCGCTCTTAGTTAGCACTGGGGATTGACTGGTTATCACGTGTCTGAGTCGTCTCTCGTCATCGATATAGTCCGAATGCGACCTGCGAGGGGACCCGTCGGTAACGTTGTCCAAGAAATCTGCATCGCCAGATGTGAATGGATCCAGAGACACATCCTCAGCATACCTTTCTGCAGCCTCTGGCGATAAACGTCCTGCCCCTGTTCCATCCAGTCCCAGGTAGCCCTGCACATAATCGTCATCCACCACACCCTTGCCGCCTCTCATCTGATGGTATGCCGCTACTATCTCATCCGGCGGATTCGACTGCGGCGACGTGGAGGCGGTCATCGTCATGTTCCTTCTCCTGCTAGGACTCGGGGTCCCCAGCGCGTAGGGATTGTCGAGTGCAAAATTGTCTCCTCCCGCAGCCGCATATGCCCCACTCAAGGTGTTTGTCTGGTTGAAGTGTCTCTGATTTTGTGGGCTGTCTCGAATTGGCCTCCGAGGGCTTAAAATGTCAAATAAATTCCTGTTGCTGTCGAGCGTTCGCGGTTGTTCGGGGCTGCGACGCGACTGGAGCCGGTCGCTGATGCGATCGGGGTATACCATGATGGGTTGTGGTTAATAGATGCCCCCTTGTAGAATAAATCGCGCGAGCATTCGTCATTCACTCATATAGACATGGGGAGTCGAATTGTTGCTGGACAGCGCTGTGAATACGCGGTCATGATTATGCGTTGTTGCTACTTTCGGATCCCACTATCACCGATACTGGCAGAATCCAAAGGCGGTCAACAATTCACCTGTTGATGCCCTAATCGTAAGTCTATCAAGAAAAACATCCTTTAGGGGTAGTTTCGAAAATGCAGCGTGGTAGTAGAGAGCCACATGATCTTCAGACTTGGGGGGATGTTTTTTCTCAAGTCAAGGCAGGGAAACTGCTCGATAGTCGCCGTTCCTATATATTCTCGTCACTCAACGCCGTAACATATATACGTCAAATGGAAAAAATAAAAAATAAAGAGCCCTCCTAGCTCTGCTTCTAAAATGAAACGAGGGGATTGATCGAGCCGTGATGGAATAGAATCCCAGTTTAGTTGATTGGCTTTGTTCCCTCGGTGAAGTATTACCAGTAGTATTTAGATGTATCTTCAACTACGAGAAGGTTTAGATTCCCAACATCAAGGTGTTAGATAATACGCGCGTTGGCTCAGCAACGTAAAAACACTAATTTCTACCGGATTTAGCCGAAGGATTTCGACACCTGGTATGGACAGCTTTACGAGGATGAGGATGCACCGAGCGCCGAATACGACTTCTGCAGCAAGCGAATCACCACCTTTGCCCCTCCAGTGCCTGTTTACCAGCACGTAGTACGAGCCATGGGGTAAGTGGCTCCAGGAAGTAGCTTACCAGCTTTCAGATATTAAAAACGACTACTCGCTGTGTACGCTTACCAACTTTTACTAGATCATGACGACAAGAAGATCCCAGATGTGGTTCTATCCAAAGATGGTGAGCACTATCCGCTCGTGACTGTCAGGGTTGGCTTTGCGAAACTTACAAACAACTTGTTCTATGATGCTGAGAGGATCATGGAAAGATCCTGGGGTCGAACTGCTCTCGTCATCATCGTGAAGGTACCGAAGAGCAAACAACATGTAGAGGACGAATCGCCATGGAACCTACCATTGGATCGCGCAACCCTTCGAGAGTTATATTTAGACGGAGAACTGGCCCCGACGATCGGAGCTTGCTATGGCAAAAAGAACCCCATATCGTTCGTGACTTGGAGGCAAAGATCTTTGTGTATTCATCTAAAAGAAAAACCCAGCCTCAGCTACCTGTCTAACAGTACAATTGCAAATCTGTCGAAGCCACCTCCGATAAGTCAGCGGCTGTCACAATTAATGGCAGGTCGTTTGATCTACCCATCAAATACCTTCACGAGGCGCTTCGAGAGGATAAAGCCGACAGAAGATTAGGCGCATTATCGTATGACCCAGAGTACAGGAGCTATAGATAAAGAGTCCTAGACGTCTGGGTTGGGTTCTTCTCGTCATCGCACTCGCATCATTTTCTTTTCTACATGTTGGCCGCATGCTATCAAAAGTTCGCAGGAAGCCCGCCTTTGACACTTAATAAACTCGTATTTTTATCTATCGTTGGTCTGGTGTGCTTACGAAGAATGGGAATGTATTTTGCTTAATGGCTCTTTATAAATGTTTGAACATTTCAAATATATATTTGAACAGTCAGCCTATGTCCAAACGAACTTGATTCCCTTACGCTTGGGGTAACTTAACCGTATAAGATGTCGGAATGAATGCATTATAGTACACAGTATAACCAAGAAGCTTTGTATTGATCCTCGCTCATGTAGGGTTATTTATAGTTAAAACAGCGGAGACCGTGTTTCCCAATCTAGTTAGCGGTGCGGAGCATCTCAGAAAGGAAAAACAGCGTCATTCCGCGGTGGCTGTGACATTGAACAACACTCTTTTACACTCAATTTCTGGAGTCGCAGTGCATTGACGCCACAAGGGCTCTATTCAGCTGATCCGCGGATATCCTGTAAGTACCCAACGCGATAGCTTTGAGGAGCGGTCATCCACTAATCAATGGCCATGCGACCAGATCAGCTGTATCAACTTCGCCGTTTCTATATCCGATCCTTATAAATCAGAAACCCTCTGAGGACACATATTGCGCTAGGAACACATATTCGAATCGAATTCCTCACCGGGGCTGTTAAAAACAACCACTAGGGATCTGATCCTTACCAAACTACAACAAGCAACACCCAGCGACCAGAAAATAACACAAGACGTCGACATGGCCAAGTCTGCAAGACGAGCAGGCAAAGGCAAAGGCGCCTTAACCCCCTCCGTCTCCTCCGGTACCTCAACACCAAGCTCAGAGTCCGGCCCTCTCCCACCCTTCGCTCGTGCCCCCAAATCCCTCTCCTCCTTCCTCGAACGGCTCTCTCCAAATCAGGTCTACTTAATCCACATCGACACATCCCCACATGACTTGAAGAAACAAACCTTCTTCGTCCCTTCAGTGATGAACGCGTTCATTGCTGTGATAATCGCCGTCAGAGCCTATCTCGTCCGTTTCTTTTACCCAGCCTTACTAGCCACAATCGTCGGATTGTCCAGCTCCACAACAGTCGATGCCTCAACAATGACCTGGCCCGAGATGATGAAGACTATCCTCTACCGCACTGCGAACGTCGTCCTCGATTACTTTCTCGTCCTTATATTCCTCCCATGGCCCATCCGCTTCGTTCGGGGCCCCGTCAAGTGGCGTCGCACCATCGGTTTCCAAGGCCATGAGATCATCGTCCGTCGCAGTCAGAATATCTGGAGCAAAGGGCTGGTGCGCAATCGCTGGATCCGTGAGGATGAAGCCAGCCGCGACCGTATTGTCGCTGCCGTTACACCGGAGCGCCTTGAGAAACCGGGGTACATGCTCGTCGACGCAGATTGGGACCTGGACTACGACGCCATGATTCGCGCACAGGAGCTCGTCGACCCGGCACGGAAGAACAAGGACGATAGAATCCCGCTGGAGGAGTTCCGGACTGCGGTTCTTGTTAACACAGACACGGAAGGCTGGTTGATCTGGCGTGTTGGTGATGAGAGCAGAACCACTCCGGATGGCGAAGAATATTCGGAGCAGCGGGACCAGATCCTCGCGTTCCGGGAGAAGCTGGCTGCTATTGGCAAAGAGGATTTGTTCTTCCGGTGGGTGGAGATCATTCAGTATGAGAGTACACTGCCTGGTGGGTTTACCACTGAACGGCAGCAGTCTGCTATGGTGCAGGCGAAGCAATTATTCGAAGACGGGGGTGTCGATTTCTCGAGTCTTTGGAGGGAAGTCGGTGGTATTGAGGGGTTCCTTGACCAGATAGATTAATCCGAGCTGTCGTGTTTTTGGTTGGTTTCCTTCATTAAAGGCGTTGTTTAGCTAGTGATAGATCGGCGTGACGTGTTTCCTAATAGATGACGGGAATAGCATAACCATGTTCTTTCGGTCCAGTTTAATGATATATTCTGTATATCAATCAAAACAGCTTGCATTTCGCGTAAATGGGTATCACTCAAACATAGCATGACCAGTCTCCCAGAATGTAACCAAGTTCAAAGCAGGAAACATAAAATCCAAAATATTCCATCATTCGTACCGCCATTGGAAATCAAACGCATTATAACCCAAGCCAAAAAGCAAATAAACAATATGCTAATAAAAACAAAGCTAGCATCTTCCCTCAAACCTAAAATCGAGTGACAGAAGTTTCTCCCACGGTCGGAGTCTCGTATTGGGATGTTGGCTAGTCATCAAGCGTGAAGTATCCGCATTCTCGACTCGGTGCTCTTGGTACTGTGAGGCACAGAGTTGGCTCTCTGACAGACGCTGTCGTTGTCGTTGCATCATTGACGTATACTCAAGCATTCGTCGCGAGCCCTAGAATGCTTCACGTCAGTTCCCGATCGGGAGGACGTAGATAACAAAGCAAGGGCCCGCAGGACAGAATCAAGTGCCCTGAGGCGGGTCGCGGCGAACCTCGTTAGCTGTCTCTTGTGGCCGAGAACTAGGCTCAGCCTCATCAACTCGGGTAAGATCCGTCGTAGAGTCATTGGCAAGCTGGGAGTAAGGTCCTCTCTTGGAGTTCGAACTATTGCGACGGCTGTCCAGACTTTTGGTTAACGTTTTGGCAACGTTTCCTGCGGAGGATGGGCGTCCTAACCGAATACTGCCTCTTGCGTCGACATGCGCGGACGCAACAGTGCTCTTACCCAGTCCTGGTGTCGCGGGAGCACCGGGTTTTTCTTCTGTAGCGTCCACGAGATACCAGCGGAGACCGTCGGATAGTTCGAATGGGTTTTCTTCGTCGATAGATATGCCGTCGCTGGCTTCGCCCATGGATCGTCGGTCGGGGTTGGTTCCGTTCAATGACTTGGATAAGTCGACGACTCGCTCTTCGATCTTGGTGATGCGGGCGAGCAGCCAGTCGCGGGCCTGAAGCTTGTGGCTATCCTGTTCACGTAGGAAATAGTGAGGTGCTCCGACGTTAAATGCGGCCCAAGAGCGGATGGCTTGATTCCGGGTTGGGAGGAAGAGAGCAAGATCACCTTCCTTGAAGGAGCGGTAGGCGATCTTCTCATGGGCATCGCTGTGCGTCCGATGATATTTCTCCCTGTATCCACGGGCTTCTTTCTGCCATTTGCGGGCAAGCAGTTCGATATCTTTGACACGTTTGACAACCGCATCTCCGAAGACATCCACATCGAATTGGTACAAAGTTTCCATGAAGAACATGAAGCGGTCCGTCTCTTCCTCAGAGCTATCAGCATCCATCCAATTCATTACGTCAGGATCGGGTTTAAGCGAGACAATGTCGGATTGGGAAAGGTTTTCGGTGGAAGCATTGACTTTCGATGCTCTTTGGACCACAATATTGCCACTCTGCCTAACGACAATGAAGCCCAACTGCTCAAGCATGCGTCCGAACCGTTCAACAACCCCAAAGAGCTGCTTTGAAAGCTCTTCCGATCGTGACCTCCGGGTCGCGTTTCGAGATACAGCCTTCTGCTCAGACTGCGATGCGGATGCGACCTTGTTCTTCCAAGTAGTTAGCTCTTCCTCGGATTGGCGTGCCTTGGCCTCCGCATCGGCCAATTTTTGCTCCCCCTCTGCCACTCGTTGTCGCAGGGCATCAGACCCCGTCTCACCAGCCACGAATTGAGATTGAAGGCCCTTAAGTTTCAACCGTTCATCATTCAACTCTGACGTCACGACAGATAGTTCGGCTTCGCGTGCCTTCGAGGTCTTCCTCAATTCTCCAGTCTCGGACTCCATCTGGTTCAGACGCTCCTCGAGAGTTTTACACTCAGCCGTGGCACTGGCCGCATTCTCATCCACACGCTTAGCGTGTATCGACAGACCCTCCGAGAGGACTTCAATCGCCTTGATGATGCCGGGAATGTCGTCAGGTATTACGCCACCAGGAGATAGATTCAGAAGTGCAGCCTGGAGAGCATTGCAATTCTCCTGATCCCGTTTCCGTCGTTCCGCGTCTTGCTTCTCCAAATCGTTGACCTTCTCCCGGAGACTTTGTCTCTCGGATTCCGCCTCTTCTGACAAGTTATTCGCCTTCTGAGCTCTAACTTCAGCACTTGTATTAGCATCCTGCAGCTCCAACTCCAGCTGGTGTACCCGCTCCTCGAGATCTTGCCGCTCATGTTCGCGGCTGTCCATCTCTTTGTAGAGTGCCTCCTCAACCTCTTCATACTCGCATGTCAACCGCTTCACTTCATCTTCGAGCATTTTGCGTTCCTCTTCGAACTCTCGCTGTTGAGATTCAAGATTGCCCATGAGATCCTTCTTGGTTGACTGTTCTTCTTGTATCTTGTCTGTGTTAGACTGCCGCTCAGCATGGGCTTCTTTCTGGAGCCGCTGTACTGCCTCCCTCTCAGCAGCCAACTCAGCCTCAAGCGTAATGACACGCTGAGTCAATGCCTTCTCTTCTGTGGACTGATTCGTCGACATCCGCCTTGACGAGACGGACGAGCGCCTTGATATCGGATCAGGGTGTGCAGACGCTGGCGAGGCGGGGAATTCAACACCAAAATGGCCACTTGCTGGACGGCTCATGTGGCTAATGTGACTCTGGCGATGGAGAAGATCTTCAAGCTTGCGAATACGACTTTCAGAACCTCTCAGCCGGTCCTCAAGCTTCGTCTTCTCGTCTTTAAGACCTCGGACCATCTCATCACCACGCAGTAAGAAGGAGCTTCTGCCCATGTCGAAGATACTGCCTTGTTTGAATGCCTTAGCTCTGCGTCTTTGTTGCCGGGTTGGAGCATCCAAATCTTTATACATCTGGGCTAGCTCTTGGGCTATGGTGGCAAGCCCTGGTTTGCCCTTTAGCTCCTCAAGGTATGTCTCAATCTCCTTCCTACTGACTTCAGGCCATTCGTGATCCTGGCCCTGCAAGTTCACTTCAATTCCCGGGACAGCGCCATCAGGAAGCGACAAGTAGTCACCCATGTTCTTCATCCACTTCTTTCGGCGACGTTGCTCCTCGTCTCTGAATACAGCCATCTCCTCTGCTAGTGTTAACGAATCATTTTTCATTTTGTCGTTCCATTCACGCCGCCGGACACACTCGACTAGGATTGATCCATAGATCATGGGCATGTGAAAAACGGAATAGATATGCTCAAACGAGTCACCTTGTACATCGAGGTTAATCAGCTGATTTTGCATATCTGCGAGGCGGAATTCGATCGATGAAATGACATGCATGTGGTTGAGGGAATCTTTCATGGCACCGTTATACCGGGTGACGGCGTTGTCCAATGCGGTTTGGAGTTCCGTAGAAATGCCAAGCAGGGAGGGTAAGAGATCCTGAGTATGGCTCAAAGCAAGTCGAGAAATATTGGCCAACGTCTTCTGGTTGCTGGGCAGCGCCAGCACATGTTCATAGTCGGAGCTGATTTTCTTGGTGAGGGTTTCCACCTCTCCAAGCAGCCCGTCCACTCCTTCTGTACCAGACGGTAGAGCTTCCTGAATCAAACGCTGAGTATCCAATACAATTGTACCAACGGCCCGCTCAACGTCCTCCACTTGACTCGCGAAACGGGAAGATACGGCGGAAGCATCTGTTCCAGCTCTCCGCACTTCTTCCACGTCCACGAAATCTCGTAATGTTCCCGACGGCTTGTCTTGGTCCTTCGTCGGCGTCGATGGACGCCCCAGGAACGTAAATTCCTTGCGAGCCGGAATACTCCCCAAGGTACCTAGGGCCCGTTGCCACCCATCCAGTGCTGCCCGTTGTTCCTTTAAGAGATCGCGTGCCCAGGTCTGGGCTTCTGTAAAGCGTTGTTCCAAGCTTCCGACGTGTGACTTGAGGTTCTCGAGGGCGACACCCACTGCTCGATTGATTATATAGGTCCGTTCGTTATGCTCCCGCACGCTCCGATCAATGGACTCGCACCGCTCTGCTAGGTCAAACGCCCATGTTCTCCGGGCCATGTAGAGATTCCGCCATGATTGTAAATCGGTTTGGTTTGCGAGCGTATCGGGAGGATTATCGGGTTGTAAGGGTTGTGGTGCCGGAAGTTGTGGGAGGTCAACGTTGCCTGGTTCACTGACGTAGCCCCGGTCATACACGAAGATTTCATCCTGCATAGTGCTTTAGTATTGGTTATAGAGAATATAAACGGCTGAAACATACCTCTGTCGCTAGAGACTGTATCTTGACGTTCTTCCCCCGAGCAGTCATCAAGATCTGCCTCTGGGAGGGTATGGAAGTATGACGGGCAATCCATGACCGAAGGGCGTCGGGGCTAACGACCGGAGGGAGCACAGGTTAGTCAGAGTAAATACAAGAAGGGAAACAAAGAATGATATCTTCAGACAGCTATCGAGGTATATCGAATGAACATACGAGGCGAACGACACCGGATCTGCTAAGAAATGCTCACCAGTGTGAGCAATATAGACGTGCAATGACATCCCCTCCGCACCAGCAATGAACCAGCACTCAGAGACTCTTATCGGAAAAGAATGGAAAAAATAAAGAGATATGAAAGAGAGAAGGATCGGAAGATAACAGGGATAAGGAAAAAGAAGAGATGAAACGATGATGAAGATCAAGAATAAGCGTTCGGAGCTATCCCCAGCCGTAGCGGTGACATGCCTCCGGAACCAGGCACAAACCCGCAACCCAACTCTTTCATCACACTCCGCCGCCCGCGCCGTGTCTCTCAGCCAGATTAGTCTACAACAGGATATCACACGATGTGAGCTTTGGGTCACTCATGGCATCCTCTACAAATGTCCAGTATCTACCTCATTTAGAGGAGGGTGAAGTGTCTCTGTTGGAATTGGCAGCCGACGATGCACGCGATGTTGCGCCCTTGTCGGACAAGGAGACTATGATCCTGCAGCTATACCATCGGGTTCAGGAACAGAAGCTGGAAAAGGCGCTTCTACAGCAGAGTGCGTTCTTATCCATTTTTAATCTTTATTTTTTGGTCATGCTAATTTACGCTTTCCGTATAGAGTCCGAAAATGTCTCCGGAGAGAATGTCGAAGAGCAACTCGCAATCGCGGAACAAAAACTACTCGAGGCCCGAGCGACATATACCGTCAGGAGGAAAGCAGTGGGAACGGTTCTTATGACCGAACCGAGTCTGAAGGCAGTTCACCTGAAAGCCACTTCACCAGCTGAACGGTACGACAGTCATGTCCATGTGCATATGCGCGCCCACACATATGCAAAAATATACATACCCTATATCTACATACTGACATTGGTTCAGAGATCTTCTCCGTCTCATCAATCGCCGCGATGTCCTGTCACTCGCACATGAGAACCTCCATACTGCACATAATGCGACGCTACGGCGCCTGTCGAACCTGGAGGTGGAGAACCGCCAGATCCATGACAAAAATCGGGAACTAGTGCGCCAGCTGTTGGAATTGTCCGGTCCAGATGGTTCGTGGAGGGACCAACTGGAAGATCGGGATCTCCGGGCGCAACTGGACGCGCTAGATGCGGAGCAGCAGAAGTGCCAAGCGCGTTGGGAAGTCATGAAGAATGTTGCTAGCGCGGTTGTGGTTGGTAGTGGCGTGAACTGGGCAGATGATGGCAAGCTCAGTGCACTTGTGCTTGATGAATCCGATGATTAATTTATTCATCTGTTTATTTTGTTCACCGATTGTTGGTTAATTGATGTTCAGTTGTACATAAGAATTTGTCAATTAATCATCACTTCATTTTATGTACATTTTTACACTGCATATAAGTAAGTACATACGGAAGTGATCCGGATTTGCTGAAACATACATACTGTTCTCCTGAGCCTTGCCCTTGCACTGGTTCTAGAGATGCCTGCCCTAAACCAAAATTACACAACCAACGGCTACCTAGAGCGAAACTATAGTACTTGGATTGTCTGTATGTCAGATTGCTGCCTTCATTCCTTCAGCATCCGCTTTTCTCGTCAACAGCTCCTCAATCTACCTTACGCAGCTATAAAAAACGGCAAATTCGAACCCAAATAACAAATACGGCTCAGATGTCTTCCTAAGCCCCGTTAATCTTCAAATAGAACGATATACTAAAGGGGAATGCTGATTTCGCGGAAGCATGTCATGTCATCGGGCAATACAACCCCAGCTATAATTCTAGTGCGAACAGCATCGCGTTCTGTGCCAGTTCTGTCATTTTCAGTATGATAAATCTGATCTTGGTCTCGTATTTTTGCCCCAAGACTTGGACTATTTCATTCAGTTCGAGCTGGACGATAGGGCGGATAAAAACAGACAGTCCCATGTGGTGCCTGCAACCGCAGATTACAAAGACTATCAAATCTCGCAGGGCAAGGCCTCGGCAAAGGATATAGGGGCCCTATACAAACCTGCCTTCTTGGAAGACTACGCACCGGGCGGACAAAGGACCGATGATCATATGGGAATGCTCTCTGAACTGCGTTCCTGGCACGGGAACTCAATGGGCACTGCTTGCCAGAGTATCCTTATACTGGGTGGTCCTCGAGAATGTGTTCTGAAGAAAGAGACTCGAGTTCAGCTGGAAACCATCAAGCATTTGTACTTTTTCAACCCTGGGTTGCGCAGGCACGGTCTCTCCAGCGCCCAAAGTGATGACCAAAACAAGAGGCTATGGCCGCACGAAGACGATGATGGTCATGATGAGCAGAGGAAACTGAAGGGTGATAAATGGGAGGAGGATTAGATAGGACGCTGCAGGCCAGTCCTCGCCTTGTGATAGTCAATGGTCATTGGGGCCAGAATCTACCTCAGAACAGGCCATGCGACGGTTTGCATTTGACAAAGCCGCAGGATGACACAACTCGTCTAACCGATAAATATCAGTTGCTTTAAAGAAATGAATTTGCTGTATTTATTACCCCTACATAGTGGACTCCAGATGCCAAACAGTCGGCCGGCGTTTGTGTTGTTTGCACTCGACACAATCACAAGACGGATACGGCCAAGGAGTTACTCCATACGTACTCAGTACTGACAGGAGGAGTAGCATCAAGTACGACGAGTGAGAATACGGAGAAAAGCACAGAGTAACAGTGCTACAGACACGCACTGTTCAATGACGCAGTTGGGCTCCATTTTTGGCTCTGTTTTTTGGGGACCGGAATGCGGTGGCATTACTACGGAATACTACCGACTGTTCTGTCTGTGCCCTAGGTCGTTTGTATCTGGTTGTTATGTTATGGATGCGCCCTGCAAGTGATATTAGTGGGCTACTTTATTCCCTACATAATGCTCCGTAAATAATAGTATTACTCCGTGCTCGGTAGTAATTTGGCAAATCCTCAGGCGTGTGACTGGTACTTTGCACTAATGGGGTGTTTGTAGTAGTGGTGATTGAGCCACCAGGCCATAGTTACAGCAGAACACGTATGGACTCCACGACTGGAGTAAGGAGAGGCTGGTAAGTAAGGAAACCAGTACTCTAATGAATGATTGATAATCATTATCTAGACCATTGAAGTCTCTGATGTTCTCTGTACAGAGTAGAGTACTACTACTCCGTACGTATTCTCATATTAATCGGTGGTAATACTACCATTCAATAGTACATACCGTATCGTATTGACCAACGGATGACGGTGGAGCTGCATCAGGACTGCGCTGTGTCGGAGAACCGCAGCCAATAACTGCTCCTCGGTGTAAGAGGGATTACACCATACTTCCAGCGAAACCCACCGGCGAATACAGTACAGGGCGTTATAACGGTACGTTACTTGCAGTCTGTTGTCGCTGCCAGTGACAACCAGCAGAGGAGGGTACGATACCAAACGATACCATACCGTACTCACCCTCACGGCCCATTCTTACCACCCCTCGCCCGCAGACTCTCAGTCTCTGCTATTATTCTCGCACTCCCTCTCTCTTTCCCTCACACCCTCTTCCCTCTCTCTTTACTCTCCCTCCCTCTCTCTACTACTAACTCCCCCATACAAATTCGCTTCCCATACAATTCCCTAAAAAGTACTGCACCTCCGTTCTGGTGAGTCTCATAAACATTGCCTCTGTTTTGGTTTTTTTTTTTTTTTCAACACCACCATTTTTTCCTTTTTGATTCTTATTATTCTCTTGTTCTCATCTGCTTTGCAATCCCTATCATGACTTTGAATTGCTTGAATATTCCTGTTCTTTCCCTCATGGCGGCGCGCTTTACTGGGCGCGCTTCTACAGCACAAAATCACCATTTCTTTTCCATTGCCACAAATTTACCCAGTGGATGAATATTCGTGTTCTCGCGATTCTGTTGCATCCATTTTCATCGTCTATTTCCCCCCTGCGCGTCATTCTTGGGCTTGCGCCCGGTCGTTGTTTGGGGCGCGCGCATCGCCGCATCCACACCTAACGCGCGCTCACTTCACCCTACTCGTACCCTTCTCTTCCATCTCTTGTTTTTCTCTCAACCTTCTCTATTCTTCATCCGCCTTGTTTCCTCCTTTCTGCTTCGCGCTCTTCCATTTTTCTCTTTTAATACACCAATTGGGTCTTTTCATCGTTCTAACGCTTCTTCAGCAACCTATCATCCAAAATGCCTAAGGAGAAGACCACCACCCGCAAGACTAAGCCCAGAGTCGAGAGAAAGAAGAAGGGTATGTATTATTCGCCGACTCCTGTCCTCTCATCCCGGTCATCCTGGCTAACTCGTCCCAGACCCCAACGCGCCCAAGCGCGGTCTCTCGGCATACATGTTCTTCGCCAACGACAACCGGGAAAAGGTCCGCGAGGAGAACCCTGGCATCTCGTTCGGTAAGGCTTACCATCACATTTGCTCTGCGTCAATAAGGACTCGCCCGGCTAATCGTCTGTGCAGGTCAGGTTGGTAAGATGCTCGGTGAGAAGTGGAAGGCCCTGAGCGACACGGATCGCAAACCCTACGAAGAGAAGGCTGCCACCGACAAGAAGCGTTACGAAGAGGAGAAGGAGAAATACAATGTTGGTCCCACTATGGCCCTCTAAAGTTCACACATCTTGTCATGCTGACCCCCTCTCCAGGAACAGCAGGCCGCCGAGGCCGAGGAAGATGAAGAATCATCCTAGATTATGCCCCAATTTCTATAGGTCTCGTGATGTCTGGACCGCTCGGCGTTTCTGTGTCATTTTCCGAATCGTGGCTTGTGTTTGTTTTCCTCTTCTGATGCCTCTTGTTTCATATTCTCTTCGTCTGTGACTTTGTTCTTCGATTCCATTTTCTTCATTTTTCTTAGTCAATGCGTGGTATGGGACGACGGTGATATTCTCTTCCATGCTTTTTTATTTCGATCTGATGAAGGGTTCTTGTATTTTCGTTTCGACTGGGAAATGGTTTCAACGGTATGAACTGGGCAGCTGGAATTGCGCGAGTGCTGCAACGGCGCATGAGTACATGGAAAGAAACTGGAATTGCAAGCTGCCGGATTGTTGATGAGAGGCAAGCAAGAACTGCTGTATACTATAGCCTAATCAATGATCTTGCCCTGTATTTGTACACCTGTAGAAGTACGGAAGTACTCCAAGTACTCGGTAGATATCACCATTACTTGGCCCAAGCTCCGACTATGACGCGCGGGGACTGTTTACGTGTCACGCGTCGCGACATGTCATGTCTTATTGCCTGACTAACTGCCTTCATGCCTTGCAGCCTGATATCAATACCTGAGGCACCGTCTCCGTACTCAGTAGTCCGTACGTACAAGACTGATATAATAACTCGCTGTGAACACACTGGCCAGCGTATTTCATCTCTGATAAATCACCGGATCAGCACCATCGACAGCACAAGAGGAATATGTGTTTCCAGCCAGCCGTCAACCTCCTGCATCGGAGACCGATGTGTCTCATTTTCATGGGACAACGTTGCTATCCCCGATTCGGGTCGAGATGAATCGACATGGTCCCCCCTCCTCATGGCCAGTTCAGTCAGTATCTGTCACTGCCAGCACCAACAGTCCGGAAACAAAACACATTGAAGAACCATTTCTGGTGGACTTTCCACGCGCAAATCATCAGCATATCGGCAGCAAATTGGCCTAAACATAACCGTTTGTCCCGGAGTATTTACTCTCATACCTATCAATCTCGATACGGCTAAATCGTACGGGCACTCTCCATATCAACGGACACCTCTTCCGCCATGCATTCGATGATTGGCGTCTTTGCGCGCGCTGCACGAACACGTCAACAGCGGAGGGCGTCATGTCCAGCACATTCTATCTGCCCGTCTGGCCGTCTTTTCTGTCTGTCTGTGCCGCAAATAATGCTCGGAAAGCCTGCTGGACCCCCCAAAGAGGCAATAGAGGAGCCGCACTGGTGGTTTTAGTCTTTTGTCTTCTTTCTTTAGGATGCCCCACCGGAGAATCTGCTGTTTCCTTTTTTTGGGATCTTTTCTTCCCTGATTTAATTTAATCTTTGCCGCGAATTATTCGAAGCTCCTGTCAGTTGTTTGCTTTATCTTGCCTTGATTTTCCGGGGTTGACACTGCTCACTGACTGGATATGCGGCCCGGGGCTGATCTCAATAACGCTACACCACAGACGCCATAACGAACCTTTTTTTGCGGTGTGCGGAGCGGACATTGGCTTGCTTGCATTTTACAAATACATACATTTTCGGGTCTTCCTTTCTATTTATTTTATTTGATTTGATTTTTCATTTCCTCTTCTTTCACTGACAGCCAAATATATGGCCTGACGCTCTCACAATGGCCTTGCGCACATCTGCCGATAATGCAGAGGATGTGGCCGCGGGCTTCCGCATGTTTCGAGATCCTCTGCCCGAATATGCCACGGAAATTACCGGCCTCATCGCGGATCTCTATGCTATTAGTGTCTCGCTGAAATTCTTGGACGATTTCGCTTCTAACCGTGCTTACCGCCATACCCTGCACCATGTCCAGGCGGATCTGGAGCTAGTCGGGACTAGTTTGAAATATACTCTCGAGGACATCGTGGATTTCTTTGGTGATATGGAAACTCGTCGCGGGCCGAGTCGAGAAGTCTTTAAGCGGACGTGGTTGAGTTTATGTTCGTATTTTCAGGAGGAATCGAAGGATTCGTTGTCGACCCGGCTTATAAAATATAAGACATTCTTGAATGAGCTGCAGGATGAGTTTAAGGAGTATGTCCACCCAGATTTCCCGGAATTCCCTTATTCATTCGACTCATGGTTTTATAGCAAGGACTCGGACGCTCGTCTCACGGCGAGACTTCGGTCCAATATCAAAACCCTCCTACTCCAACAAGAATCCCAGAATACCCGATTAGTACCTCGTCTCGGTGCCTTGACTATGGGAGGATCCTCGGGTAGCGAGCCCAGCAGTCCAGTTAGTGAACGACGGAGACCGCGCAATCGCAGATCATATGAACGACGAAGACCATCATCATCAATGCAATCACCTCAGTCACCGCTATCGCCATCTTCAGGGACGTATTCGTCCGATTTTCCTCCTTCCGTTCCAGATGTCCCAGATTCACAGACGAGTTCTAGTGGCACCCAATCGACCCTAGACACTGCGGCTGATCACTGGGCAAAGGAGGTGTTCCTGGATCAGCATACAACTACCCCTCTTCCGAACATTGGCGAAGCGTGAGCATCTTCTGAATTTTGTTACATAGTGCATACTGATGTGGTATAGTTCGAAATGCTTAGGAGATCCGAATCCAGGTTTGAAACGGTGGCTCCGCGACGAGGGATATGAAGAACTGTTCCAATTGTATGTCTCATCTATCAACCTTAAGTCGCCTCTACTAACCCTCCAGGGCATTCACCGGCGACTCGGACCTTCGAGTATACATGTTCTTCCGGGAGGACGACCACCGAGCCCGAGTTATGTGCAAAGGTTCTCGCAGCTCTCGATCCAGTCCATACTTCTGTATGCCTCTGAACTTGCTGGAGGCTTACCGGAATGGATCTTGCCTTGAACTGCGCCGTCGTCGGCGCGGGGTGGCTGGTGAAGTGTGGGCGAATCTGAAGTTCAGCACCATTGAGCGTGCGTCCCCTACTCCTCTACTTTTAAGTGAAAGGTATGCTGACAATCCAGGAATGGTCCTATTCTTCTGTACATTCCTAGCAATGCGCTCGCAAGACTGCGGCCGCCCAGTCGCACGAATCCGCGACTACGAACTCGACGATGAAGTCGAGTTATACGGCGGGTAAGCACCCAAAACCCCCACTTATTCCATTATACTAGCTAACAAACCAGCCAAATAATTGACGACAACTACCTTCACGCCCTGCGCATCTACCAAGACACCATAACTGGCGCTGTCCGCCTCCAAGCTTCCGTCCACAAAGGCGAAATGGACCGCTCCCCTGTCTGGACGGCCTTCATCACAGACCACATCAAAGAGCACATCATGACTCGCGCATGGATCCGGCGGTCGCAGACAGATCCTAAGGCTGTGCTTCTGCGGGAACTGCATCCGAGTGTGTTTGCATTTATGGATTATAACCCGCAGGTAACGGCCCGGGGGGAGCATGTTTTGAGGTTTTTGACGAGGGCTGGTGAGCTTTCCCCCTTAGCCCTGGTTGTTAGGAGTGATGTTGACATTGACAGATGCGGATGCGTTTTTGCGTAATATTAGCGAGCTGATTGCTGAGTTGGTTTGATGGAAATCAAAGAAAGCGAAAACAGAAAACAAACAAAAAAGCAAGCATATCGAGTATCAGACGGATATACTTGTTACGATTAACGACTTATGACATGACTGATGATCACAACGAGGCGGGCTCTGTCTTTTGTCTGTATAGATGTTGTTATGTTTATATCGTATTTAGCGTGTCCTGTGTCCTCGTACTTTTGGGTTCTTAAATATCTATGTCAATGGCATGCAGACGCAAATGCAAATGGGTATCTCAAATCAAATCTCAAACAGTAGACAAAGTCGACTCAACTCTGCACTCCCAAGTCCCCCAATCCCGCCAAAAACACCTCCGCCCTCCTCTTGACCCTCAACTCCTCAATTTTCATCCTCCTCTCGTCCTTAAGGCGCTCCCTTTCCGCCCTCCTCTCCCGCCTCGCATCCCTCTCCTTAATAGTCTCGTCTCTAGCCTCCATCAACTCCTCCATCTGCTGTTTTCTAACATTCTCATCCTTTGAAAACGCATAGAACCCTGTTCCGCGATTCCGCACCTCACCCTCTGGGTCATAATGCGTCTCCTCAGGCGGCGTAGGCGAGCGGTCTCGACGGGCCGCTAGATACGACATCTGTGAGGCCGTGTTGGCATCCGGGTTGAACGCCTGCGTTTGTATGGCTTCGCCGTAGATCAGGTTCGTAGGACGTTGCGGGCGCCAGCGCTCAGCGGCTTCTTGCTGAGATTGCGATTCTGCGAGAACGCGGGCGGCTTCTGCGCGGGTGCCGTGGCGGGTGCGGCCCAGATCGTCTTCGTAAGATATTATTGACGCGTTGTCATCGCCGTCCTCTTCTTCTTCATATTTATCCTCGCGCTTCCGCTCCTCATCAGCCCATTTGCGATCGAAGTCCACCAACCCCTCTTTCTCCTTCCGGCGCAGTCGCGCCATATACACATCGCCACCACTCCTCCCCTCATCAACACCACCAACACTATCATCCTCATCGTCACTATCCCCAGCCAAATAATCCCCCTTCTTCAAATCCTCATACAACCTTGCTTTCTCCTCCATCCTCCTCTTCGACCGATGCAGCGTCGCCTCATCCACCTTCCCGATATCCTTCACCGACTTGTGCTGTTGGCCATTATTATCATCGAGTAAGTCGGCTGCGGCGCGTTTCTGGGACCCGCGGTTAGATACGGAGAAGATGTCTGATTTGGAGGATTTGGAAGGGCGCGCGCGGCCGGTGGTCGAGGAGGATTGGTGTTGGGAAATTAGCGAGGACAGGTGGGATGTGAAGGCGAGGGAGGAGGAGGATTGGGGGTTTGTGGATTGGGGGTGTTTCTGGGGAGGGTTGCCGTAAAGGGAGTTGTTGGATGCCATTTTGGGAGTTGTTGAAGTAGTTGTTGTAGTTTGGTAGTTGGAAGTGATATCAGTTGGAAGAACTAGCGGAACGGAGAACATTCCGGATCGGCGGAATCAGCGCATAGATTTGTTCCTTCATGCTCTGCTCTCAGCTGCTATTAAATGGGCATCAGGTCTAGATATCTACTGATTCCTGAAATATACTTATCATTTGTACAGATTATCAGGCAAACTTCAAATATCTAACAGCTAACTATAACTACACCTAGAATACAACAATCCAGTTCGATGTCTGGATTCCTACAGCCCAGGATGCCAACATTGTATCTTCAGGCTCATTGATTAATTATTTAGGATACTGGTGATAGGACAATATATCAAAGGGTCCTTGTTGATTATGCCTCTTTTCTGGTTGCTTGATTGATTCTTTCCACAAGCTCTTCCATTTTATACGGCTTATGGATCACACAGTCCATTCCCGCTTGCTTCATCTCATTCTCCTGCTCCTGCCTAACATTTGCTGTGATACCAATGATCGAGACGGATGCAATACTTTTATGTTCAGATTGTCGAATAGCTCTCGCTGCTGCATTTCCATCCATAACAGGCATCTCTTTGTCCATAAGAATGCAGTTGAATCCACCTGTCTGAGCTGCCTTAACGGCCTCACGGCCATCGCTGGCTTCTGAAACTTTAAAGCCAAGGGATTTTAACTTGCGGGAGATGATGCGCTGGTTGATGATGTTATCTTCGACTAGCAGGATACGTGTTTTTTCAGGTTCCCCTTGGGATGGTCCAGGAGATTCTGTCTCTGGTTTGTCTCCATTAGATAAATCACCTTCGGCAGCTTTTTGTCGCCTTGCATCCCGGTCACTGTCAGTCTCTGCGATCTTGGCCGTATTTTGTGTTCTTTCATCGTCTGTGGCGCTTGGCATCACCTCCGATGAAGGAGTCACGATAGGCTTATCTGAGATCTCGAACTTGGAATCGGAATCGGAATCGGAATTCGCATCCTGATCTTCATGGCCAAGTGATTCGAATCGATTGCGCAGCTTTTCCATTCCCGACTCACCCTCCTGCGATACCTTTTCGTCGTGGGATGCTCGCGAACTTCGAAGGACCTTGAAGAAAAATCCAAAAGTACTGCCATCCCCTTCCTTGGAGCTGACACCAATTTCCCCTCCGTGCAAATGGCAAAGTTTCCGGCAAACGTTGAGCCCCAACCCCGAACCTCCATAATCTACCCCTGTTTTGGGAGTCGCCTGGTTGAAGCGCTCAAAAAGCCTTTTCTGGTTCTCGGGGCTGATCCCAATCCCATTATCACTGACAGCGACCATGATATATGCCGGTTCGCCTGTGCCCCATTCCGGCCCGCTGGTTGCGTCGAGGCGCAATGCGGCCTCGTCGGATTGGAAGAAGACGATGTTCGGTGGGTATGACGGTGGTCGTTCTAGGGAAGCACCCATGCAGAGCGCGATTTTCTTTATGCCCTTGGTTTTGGCGGTGAATTTGATTGCGTTTGAGAATAGGTTGATAACCACCTGGCTGATCCTGGTGAGATCTGCCATGACCCAGTCGATGCCATATTCTATATAGGAAAGATCGAGTCGGTATTCAAAGTGGATGTCCTGGTTCCGGAGCTCCGGTTGGAACATTTTTAGTGAAATTGGTATTTCTGCTCGTGGCAGGACGATTCGCGGTGATAAGGTCAGCATGGATGCGTCCAGTTTGGAGAACAAGAGTACATCGTCAACGACTTTCTTTTGATGCAATATACACAAGTTTATGATCTCCGCCGCCTGTATGATATCTTCCGTCTGAACTTGGTCTGCTTTCTTGCCCTTCACAGCTTCTATGATATCTTCGGTGCAGTGTAGAATAGCGGAGAGTGGATTGCGAATCTCGTGGCTGATCATGTCAATGAATCGTTCTTGTTTTTCCTTGTGCTCCTGCGCCTCTTGCGCAAACTTTGCCTGTTCTATTTCCGCAGTCTTTTCGGCCGTAATGTCCACAACCGTGCAGGTAAACCCGCCACGCTCATGGAGACCAGGGTATTGCACGTCCCCATGACCAAGGGGGTTCAGTAAAAGCAAGCGCCAGCAGTCAGGTTGATGTCGTGCACGATATTGGATGCGCAATTCGCTTTTGGACCTCAGTGCCTCCTGGTACGCACTTTCAACTCGGTTACAGTCGTCTTGATGGATGGACTGCGATAGGGAGTCGAAGTATTTTTTACTGCCGTAGAAATGAGGATTTTGGAAGCGTCCATTGATGAATGCAGGCTCGTCTTGGTGGTTGATAATGGCGAGCCCGGCTGGTAATGTATCCGCAAGCTGTTTCACGGATTCGTTTGTTCGAAGAGACGTAATATTGATATCTTTCGTCGCAGAATTCACAGCATAACCCCTCGAGTAATCCATTGCACCACTGTATGCCTCATCGTCTGCAGTATCATTGTCGAATTGTTTCTGGGATTGAACCTTAGGAAGTAACTGGGCGATAACACCAGTCACGCCTGGTATTTGACTCAGTAAGACGTGCCAATTCGTCTTACATCGATCAGCATTTAACAAATCCTGGCCCCGCAATGCACCTGCCTTGCCACCATGAGAAACGGTCAACAAAACGGCAACAGTGTTGCTCGCAAGAGCATGCCGCTGCAGCGTTCTTTGCCTACCAACGCCACCAGTGGCCTCCGCCCAAGCTTCGTTGTGGAAAAGCATAAGATCATCTCCCCAGTAGATAGCAGCAGGATGGGGCAGAGTCATCACCATTTGGGTCAAATCTCCGATAGTATCCGGCCATCCTGGCGTTTGCGTGTCTTTAACTGATGGCTGATCCCTGGGAGGTGGTTAGCATAATAGATATAAGCAGCTCGATGTAACTAACATTAAATTGCACTATTAAAGCTAAAGAACTTATTCTTCAGGATGTCATGTGTGAATTGAAGGAAGTAAGCGTGTAAACCTATAGATACCCAGGGGTACAGAGTGTGTATATCAGATATTGCTGCAGGTGACGTCACCAATCTTGCATACATAGTTTCTCAGTGAGACACGGCGATAACCCCCAAAAAAGATTTCGGAAACAGACTGGATTTCTCTGGTTCACTCTCAGAGTACCTACCATGTTTCCAATGGTTAGTGTTTGATCATGACACAGCAAGATGATGAATGTTGTAAAGCTTAACTAGAAGGGACCATCAACGTAGCACTGTTCGGTAACGCACCATATATAACTCTAATATCCAGAAAATTTCTTGCTAATGTCTACAATGCGTAAAATTACTTCAAACATTCTGATAGCACAATTGCAATTCCATGGCTTTTCGGCATTTTCTTACTTTATATGGCAGTAACGGGAAATTGATATTTTTGAGCACCAAAAGTATCTGGTGTACTCTATTAAACTTGCCACCCTCAACTAGATAGCTAGAATCACCTGTCTCGACATCATTTCATCTATTTCCAGGGCTTTGATAATTAGCTCGCTGCATGTATGACTAAGCACTAGATAGCCCCGCAACCCCACGTACTTTTCTTCAATCCTTCTATCAACATCCAAAGTCACAGCACACAATCAATTGACCATGACTTCTCCTATCTACCTTGGTGTTATCGGTAAACCAACACATGCTTCCCCTGTATACGCATACAACTAACAACACAGGTGTCGGCGGCGTTGGCACTGCCTTCCTAAACCAGCTCGCCCGCCTCCCCAACGCTCCCCAGCTCGTCCTCCTCGCCCGCTCCTCCCAAACCCTCCTTTCCCCCTCCCCGGCCTACAAGCCCAGCATTCCCGCTGGTGACTGGAAGACCGCCTCCGAAACTCCGTCTCTCACCAAGTCTGGTGCCCTGTCCGTCGACGAAATCGCCTCCTACCTCTCCTCCACTCCCGGCCGCGCTGTCCTCGTCGACAACACCAGCGACCCCGCGCTGGCGAGCTCATACCCCGTCTTCCTGCGCAAGGGTATCTCGGTTGTGACGCCCAACAAGAAGGGTTTCTCGAGCGACTTGAGTCTGTGGAAGGACATCTTCGGTGCTGCCGCTGAGGGCAAGGCGCTGGTTTACCATGAAAGTACCGTGGGTGCGGGGTTGCCTGTGATCTCGTCGCTGAAGGACCTGGTCGCTACCGGTGATCAAATCACTCGAATTGAGGGTGTTTTCTCGGGGACGCTGTCGTTCTTGTTCAACACCTTCGCCCCTGTATCCGGCGGTGCTGGTGCTTCTGCTAAATGGAGTGAGGTTGTTGCCCAGGCCAAGGAGCTTGGCTATACCGAGCCTGACCCGCGTGATGACCTGAACGGCATGGACGTTGCCCGGAAACTCACTATCCTTGCCCGTATCGCCGGTCTGGACGTGCAAGGACCCGACTCATTCCCGATCGAGTCGCTCATCCCCAACGAGCTTGCTTCCCTTCCTTCGACCTCTGACGGTATCACCCAGTTCATGACCCGTCTCCCCGAGTTTGACAGCCAGATGTCCGCTATCAAGGACGGCGCTGAGAAGCAGGGTAAGGTTGTGCGGTACGTTGGTAGCGTGGACACGGCCAAGAAGGAAGTTCGCGTTGGACTGCAGTACTTTGACAAGGACAGCGCTATTGCTGGTCTGAAGGGCAGCGACAACATCATCAGCTTCTACACGGAGCGCTACGGCCCCAACCCGTTGATCGTGCAGGGTGCTGGTGCTGGTGGTGATGTGACTGCTATGGGTGTTACGGCTGATCTGCTCAAGGTTCTTGAGAGACTGTCTTAGACACCTATAGCTTGTGTATAGAGTAGACGATACTGGTATTAACTCCGCAAAAACGCTTTGACAGCTTCTCCCCATACAGAACCCCGTTTGTAGAAATGCATCTCAGGCACGTTGCCCTCTTTCAGCCCGTCAATCGCAGTAGCCAATTCCTCACCAAGCCCTTCATCCTTGATCTGCTGAATAGGGTACGTATACGTATGGAATGCAAAAACCAACGCTTTACTAGTCGGTAACCGATGAAGCGTCTGCCGCTCACATCGAAGGAACGTCTACCCAACCACCCCACCGTTAGCCATTCATTTTCAATAACTCATAAACCAAGAAAAGAAAACATACCGATTCAACATCCAACTCCCCAGTCCCGAAGGGCTTAACATCCTCCCCCATCTTCGCATGCGTCCCCCCAAACGCCGCAAAAAGCCCCGCCCCCGTCGTAACAGTCCAATTCACTCTCTTAACAGCCTTCCCAACCTCAAGCTTCGCAAAGAACCGGTCCATGCTTTTCTCGAGTTTCTCGCTGTACCCCGGGACGGGGGCGTGGATTGCGGATAGTTGTAGGCCAAGTTTCTGGGCTGGGTCGAAGCCACTGGGGTAGCAGGTTATGTAGGCGGAGAGGTGGTATTTCTGGTCTTGTGGAGACTTATCCGGGGATTGGATGGGGAGGAGGATAAGGAAGTCTTCATCAATAAGCTTACCCAGCACTTCTAGTCCGTGATCTATGGATTGGGTGTGATCGAGTGTGGTGGGCCAGGAATCGCCTGTTACTTTATTCACTAATACCTTCCCTCCCTTCTCCTTGGGGAAAGGAATAACCCTAAACATCGACGGATACCGGTTTGGTAAGTACCACTCGATAAGAAACGCATATAGCTCCTCCACAGCATCGCGGACCCTCGTATCCATCCCATTATCATCAGAGACACCAATGACTGTATCTCTGTGCTTTGAGATGAGTGATGAGCGCAGCGCGAGGCGCAATTTGTATGTTTTGTCGATGGGGAAGAGGTCTGAGGGGGGTACGTTTGTGAGGCCTGTGTGTTAGTATTGCGTTAGCATTTTAATCGTATTGTGTGGGTAGGGGAAGGGATGGGATACCCATGGTTAGATGGTATTTCTGTTTGAAGGGACGGAGCTGGATAGGGTCGGTGGTTTCATGGTTGAAGTCGGGGAGGGGGGTTATTGGGGGGAAGGTGTATTTCTTTTGTGAGTTAGTTAGTAGAGACTGTGATGATCAAAGGAAGACGCACAGGTTGAGTCTGTCTTTTGTATATCACGTAGATAAGAATGAGGGCCAGCGATGATATCAACATCCATGTCGACGAGGTCAATGTCAAGGTTGACATCCACAAGAAATCCATGGTAACCATAGTTCTCAAAGCAATTTAATAAAATTAGAAAGATGATGTCCATGCTAATAAATACATCTCACTAACCTGCAGGGTATAGTAACACCGAAATTCGGCGCCGTCAATTGGACAAAGTCCCGAAGCACCGACAGACAATAGACCATAGATAACAGTACTCCGTACAAACGAATCACAATGGGTATCACATACATATCAAACAAAATCCATACGCCATGCAAGTATCCCTCGCAGTAAACCGTATCACAGCTTCTTCCCCTCCCGCTCCTTCCCCTCATCCCGATATCCTTCCGCATACTCATCCCCATCCAGATCACCATCTCCAAATCCATCACCAAGCTCCTCCATATTCTTTTCACCCCCCTGCCCCAACACAAAAACCCTCCTCGCGCCCCCATCCGGCCTCTCATTCAAACTCGGCGCCCTAGGTCTCTGCGCACCCCTCACCCGGCCCCCAACAACTGGAATCTCGTGAAACGCCATGCGCACGATATACAGCACGATGTCGAAGATCAGGAGTGCGGTCCAGGGGAGAAGGGTTGTTAGACCTAAGATGAACTGTGCTCATTAGTAATGGAAACGGGCTGATTGGATTGAGTTGCGGAGAGGTGGGAATGGGGAGGGAAAGACGTACGAAGATTCGAGCGGCCCAGGTTTCGAGGTAAGTGAGATCTGGTGGGAGGATGGAGTACCAGGCCATTTTCTGCTATTCTGGTTCTAAGTTGAATTGGTGTGCGAGTATTGTGGCTGTGGATGTTTGTTGATAGCGTACTTCAGGTATGAAGTACGCCGCGGAGGTACGGAAGGAGTGACAGGTCGCAATGACAAGTGGCACAATAAGCGTGAGATGAGAGTCGCATGAAAAACCAATGGGCCATCGCACAGAGGAACCCTGTAAGTTGATGTTGTTACATGACAGACAGTACAGGAGCTGAGGCTGACAGTAAGGAACAAAGCGGAAAGGGGACAGCTCCGAGCTCCGCGGATCGCGATCCGCCTGGCCTAATTGGGTAATCGCTTCACTCATCTACTAAAGGGCACCCAGTCTGTTCTTTTATACATTCAGTACTAGTTTGAAGAGATTTAATGATCAAATAATTAGCGTAATTCGTCACCGTTCTCGTCCAATCTATATACTAGTATCCAAAGTTATATATCAAAACATATACACGAAGAATTGAAGAAAATACATCAACCCAGAAAAACCTGAGCCTCGATAAAAACAACAAAAGACTCAAAATCTACCTTGCCATCCGATATGCCTCATATGACATGAAACCAGGATCATCATCCTGCTCAACAGGTCCATAACCCCCGGTACGCCAGCGGTCTAACGCTGCAGGAGGCACCTCTGTCTGCGCAGGCACTTGTGCCTGGTCAAGCAATGACGTCTCACTCTCGTTGGTTGTCTGCTGGTACAAGCCTCGTCCCACGGGACCGCTGTCACCGCGAGATAATGGTGGACGGAAAACGGGATGGACGTGGCTGTAGGGGTCTGCTGGCAATGCGGACATGGACATGGAGAGTCCTGATGGGGCTGGCGAGGAGGCGCGCGATGAGCTGGGTGACCATTCGCCGCCTAACATACTGCGTGGGGTGTGTGATCGTTCTGTGATGAGATCCTCTGGACGACCGTAGATCCCGCCGCCAAACTCATCCCGAAATTCGGGGCGGTCCTTGAAGTACGAGAAGTCCAGCTGGTTCTCCGGAACGACTTCGAATGGGGCCGTGCCGGATGGATCCGACTTGCCAGGATGCGATGCGGACATCGGGTTCAAGGCAATGTCTGAGTACTCGCCCTCCGCCATGGAGTTGTGCAGGCGCCCGCGGTAGATCTTTTTCAGTGCATCAGCCGCACGAGCATGCACCATCGGAGTGATAAGAGGTTTGTACAAAGCCGGATGGCCGAATTTGCTGCTGAGACGCTCCGATGCCTTGCGACCAGATTTGCCGGCTGCTAGCGCTTCCGCATCGCTCAGATCTGCGCGGTTGTAGTACTTGGTGTCGGTGTCAAACTTCCTCATGCAATAGAACTTGAAGATCAGCACCAGAAACGGTAGCGGAACCACACAGTACACCATGGTCCATGTGCCTTTGACCTTGGTCACGAGCGCGATGATAATGTCCGACAGGATAGTCGCAAACACCATTCGGTTGAACAGGACACGCCAGAATTGGCCGCCAGATTCATTCTTGGTCACGAATACATACATCAGCAGGTACTTCTTCAGCATGGCATCCAACCCAAAGTACACGGCTGTGACTGGCAGTACAATGGGCTGCAGCGTCGCAAAACACAAAGCCACTGTTGCGTAATATAAGAAGTAGTTGTAATAACTAGCATAGTCAAACGATGGTGGCGCCGTCCGTTCGATCGCCTGTCTCGGCGTTTGCGACATGAACGTCCGGACAAACCAAATCCAGAACAGGCTAACGAGCTGCACCAGGTCAATGGCAGCCCCCAGGTTCCGCTGCAGCAGCCAGGACACCCAGAAGGGTGATACATTGCACAAGGCACTAATAACCTTGGAGTAAAGCTCACCCTCTTTGAGTGCTTGCCACACATTTTCATCGTGCTGGTTGGCGTCGATCACAGTAGAGACGAAAGTCCAGGCGGCCGAGAAGAGCGAGAATACGATCAAGTTATTGAAGACGAAGAACGCATACAGATGGTGAAGCACATGTCTCTCTCGGGAAGTCTTAGTCACGTCACCTGCTCGAATCGCCAAACGACGGAAGATGATAGGCAGAATCAAATAAACCAACGATGTGATAGCAGGAGATGCAATACCCTGCACCGCAGCCCAGACCTTGGGGTTGGCATTGAGTGAGGTTTGGAAGGCCGGCCAAACTAGACCCAGATTGTTCAGGTTGGATAAGAAGATTGCGATCATAGCGTTGGGCGCGATCCAAACGACCGTCAACGCTGTAACCCAAATGATGTTCATGAACCGTTTCCACATGCGTGCTGACTTGGACAAAGGCAGGTTCTCCCAGATGAGGTCGTGCGGCCGGGGAGCCAGACTGATGATAGTACCTTGTGGGTGCTTCTTGCGCGCTGTGTAGGCTACCGCATGTGCATGTTCGATCATGTCGAAACTGGCGAAACCAAACGGCATGGCATCCCGTTTATCGACGGAAGCGCGAACATGGCGGATTTCCTCCTCGAGACGTGTGATCTGATCAGTGAGGTAGTCAATGGCGTCCACCATCTTGTCAACTGTGTCACCGCGGTGGTTCCGGGGTGGACGCATGGTGGGCCGGTTTGGTGGCAGTTGATCAGGTCGCTTGAGGTACTTGGCCAATATAGACTCGAGTTTGCGGACGGTTTCATCGTGTTCCTTGATCAGCTTGGGAAGACCCTTGACGTTGCGGCCGACAGACGCTCGTGGCAGTGCAGCAGTGGGATTGACTTCATCCGTGAGACGCATAATGCCTTCTTCGGAGCGTGCAGTTTGGGGAATGTCGAGGATCATCAAAGTCCGTGCATGCAGACTACGTTGATAATCCGAACTCTGAAAATAATTTCTCCTCAGACGAACAATAGACTTGTAATTCCTCCACAGAAAGAACACAATGATAAAATTGAATGCCCACGCGCAAGCCACCTGACTCCACACGGCCATGGTACTGACATACATCGGCGTCATGACAGCAAAAGCCGAAAACCCCTGTTGAACGGCACCCTTGCTCTGTGTGAGATTGACCGGAATCATTATAGAACAGCCGATAATACTCATAAAGATGAAGATATTGCGGCACATCTTGGTGAATCGCAGGAAGATGGTGGCATCGAGACCAATGCACTCGATAAGTTCTGGTTCTTTGGTGCGCAGGACGGGCTTGAACCAGGCAAAAATGCCTTTGCCAATTGGAGGCGGGGAGTGCTTGTGGTCTGCATGCTTGGTTTTTGGTGCATAGACGACGGAATGACGGGGACGAAAGAGGGAGAAGAGCAGGGCGAGGAGGACGGCAGCGGCGACGGAAGTGACCAGGGAGGCAGACAGGGCGTTCAATTGAAACTATTGTTAATATGAGTTAGTATATATCTGCAAAACATTCAGCGAGAGAGCGTACGGCCGATGAAAACGGATTCTGAATGAGCTTGAGGAATTCGTCTGCGGGCGTCGTCTCGTCGCGGCCGAAAACGAGAGGATGCATAGCGGTGGCACGACCTCCGAAGAGGCGCACGAGGACAGAACGAGGGATTGATTATATGGTAGTAATAGAACGAGAGGCGTGGGGGAAACGAGAACGAAAGAAGACGAATAAAGAGAAAAGAGAAAAAGAAAAGAAAAAAGAAAAGAAAGAATGGATGACGAGGCAAAAAGACAATGTTCGGGTGGGCCCAGCGGAGGCGGTTGGACAGCGGCGTTAAACCATCTCCATAAACTCATATATGGCTATTGCTTGGAGTTTCAGACGGAAATTAATGATAAGATGATAGAATATAATGGGTTGGGATATGTACTTGTATAATAGAAATGTGCAGAGTGACAGTCTTCAATGCAGATTCTATGGAGTACATACAAATACTGCATCGGTCCCTACTGGCAGATCATCAGTCTTGGTAGTCTAGACCATCTGATCTGTTTATGCTTATCCAGACCCGTCTCTGATCTACACGTCTCAATATTTTCTTTTATTCTATAACAACAACTCTTATGTTTATATTGTATCCTATACCCCAGAGTGCTCTACTACAGAGAATGTACAGCCTTCACAGTGCACACTAAATGTAAAATCAGAGTTCAATCTGATTGGCCCTGCTTTGTACTATTTCTGTGGGCCAATGAAAACTCCTCGGTGGGTCGTAGTCTGGAACATTGCGAGACACGAAGGTGGGTTCCTGTATTTTATGTTCCATCATTACAGTTGCCCTTTTGGGACGGGAATTTCGACACATATGTACAGAGTACAGACTATGGAGTAGATATTGGTATGAAAATAAAGAGAATCCCGGTGTATAAATAGGAGACCGTGGTTGTGTTTAGCATATTGCTGCCTAGTGCAATCCATGACCTACTAATTTCGCACTATCTAACGCTACCTTGAGACTATCAGCTTTTCACGCATGACTCCCTACTGGTACTATCAACACCATGACTACTCGAGAAAAACCCGCAAATATGCGCCCTACTTCCCCCACAAACCCCTCTCTGGCTGTCCGCCCTGTACCCCGGACTCGCATTTCCAATGTCCGCTCATTCGATCCTCGTGCCGCGCCAGATATCACCACGACAGCCCGGCCACTCCGGGAAGTGCAGGCACAAGCCGATCCCGCTACTTATTATGACCAGACGCTCTACAATCCAATACTCGACCAAGGGATAGATTTGCTTCGCAAAATGGAGGAATGGGAGCAAGCCAGCTTTTGAGAAGACAAACACGTGGACCGAGATCCTACATGGGGCTATTACGCGTTCATGACAAGCTACTCAGGCTATGCCCTCAGAGCATACATCGAGCGATAGAGAATCTGATAAGGTGGTGCAGCGCGGCTTGCGATGCTATATCCTGCCTGCGTATGCGGACGAGGCGTTCCGCCGCTTCAAGCTAGATGTGATTGAGGACCAAGGTGCTCTGGATGGCCCATTAGTTACTGTATCCGGGAAGAATTCGGGGCTTTGATCCGTGGTTTCAATCTGTGTGATGACGAGGAAAGGTTCGTCCCTCCCGCTCGCAACGTGATCTGTCTAGTCCCCGACGAGGGTCACGAGGCCACGATCTCGATGCTCGTCAATTTTTCCTTTCCGGAGGATTCAATGGATAACCACATGGTATTTGGTGAGATGACTATCAAAGTCGTGGACATGTGGTGGCAGCGTTCTTCCGCGCACCCTGAATAGAGTTATTGAGGCGTGGGAGATTGCCCCATCGTTCGCTTGCCAGGCTCTATTCGATGCTCATGTAGGGTGGAAATAGCGGAGCAATGGAGAATGCCTATCCGATGAGGGTTTGTTTGTAATTGAGCACTGAAATTGGGCTACAACCACGGAACACGGGTATTTGTAGTGACCTCTAATGTTCGGGCTGTCTCTGCGCTGGGGAGGTTTGATGCGGATTTGCGATATTGTCATCACAAAAACAACCTGTAAAGCTGTTACAAGCTGATACAGTGTCAAGCTGAGCCGGGAATGGGTGAAAATTCCAGTGCTTCCATTTGAGGCTCAGGTGGAGCTATCTAGGCGAAGCTGTGCCTGGTTCAAGAACCAGCCAGTGCGAGAACCGGAAGGAAGATCAGCATTGTCATCATTCCAACGCCGTAACTTGAACAATGCACAAGATCGACATCCCCAACGTTTGGATTCCATTTCTCCAGAAGAACCACAATGATATCATATGGATCCGCAGCAGACGCGCAAATCTTGAAAAAGTCTTGTCACATCTTTCATATGGTATCCACATTTAGTTCTAGACGCCGTTTATTGTGGGGTATTGGGACGAATCTTGATATACTAGAGGTTGGAGACGTAAGATATCCAAACGACGCGGGTGACACTAACCTACCCTAGAGTAGCTGAAATGGTGGATTTGGACATTTTGTTTGAGTTCCCTTCAGATTGCGAATGTTATGAATATTAATTTCGACCCATCACTAGGGTAGATGGTATAGTCTTCCCAAGACCAATGTGATGAGCATAAAGACGAGTTGATCCGTGTTTGGGGAATTCCAGAACGAGGGTCTTGGTTTAAAAATGGAGTGAATTGGTGCCGTGTTTATCGTCAACTTCACTGCGTAGTGAACAGTCAGTTGCCTGCAGGATGAGCAGTACTTCCTATGGCTGTCTCCTCTTCACCTCCTCTTCCACTGTGCATCAAAACAAGTGCTTTTATACCAGATTGACAGAACAGCCATCTTTCCGATACGCCCATAGACTCAATCCGTGCTAAATTCGAGTTGACGTCCTGTTAAAAAAGACCCCCAAGCGCGCTGGGAAACGCGATGAACAGAATATTCTGAGCAAATAATGCAAGTAAATGACCGGGAACCAGGGCAAGGACTGGAGCCACGTTCTTGTTCTCAAGAGAACATCAAGACATTATAAATTTGGAGTCGATTCAAATATCAGCAGTGGAATTACAGACCCCCAAACGCAGACTAAGATCTCCATACACTACTACGACCTAGAATTTGGCCAAGGACTGGTCAACATCCGGACAGTGATAAGAGTGTTCATATATTTGAACCAACCAAATATTTATGACCATCAACACCTACGTGACAAGCTGAAGCATAGCTTGGCCAAGAAATGGAGGCCATTGACGCTTATTCCGGCATGCTGAGCCATATGATTGAGAATCCACATGACGACAAACGGCCGTTCTACATCCTATTGGAAATTTAAGGATTCCAATCCTTGACATGTTCGACGCCAATATAGCGGGATCAAGTGACTGTTAGACCCAACAAATATGATATGATATGTTTGTTCAATGAAGGTTATAGCTGGGCAGCTTTAAAAAACCAACTGCATCCCACCTCACTGCAGTAGCCCGATGAGCTGACTCGAAGCCCATGTCCTGCACGAGCACTACATCTGTGGATCTACTTCTTGAGACATTACTCCGTGCTCTAGGGTCAGATTTAGTGGAAATCCACGTGGCTGTCAGCGGAGACTTTGGGATTTGCTATGGGAAATATGATAACAACAGTATCACAATTCTACCAAGGACGATCTGTTCCTCAATCGGTATGGAATGCCTCGGTCCTCAAGAATTGCCACAGGGTGGGTAAAGAGAGCTGCAATGAGAACAACTATGTTGAGTATGTCACCGTTTCCCCGGTGATCTGAACATCTTGTTTGTAAATCGAGTTATTCGTCCATATTTTCATAGTGTTTTATTAATTAATGCCTGCTCATCGCTTTCAGTAATAATATACTGCAGTCATAAAGAGCACTCCTTCCCAGTTTCATGAGGATCAATATGACATGGTTCTGAAGACCAACACCAGGGATAAGGCCTTTTTATCCGGTCATACGAACGCGAGCACCATATTTGTTTACGCCATGCGTTGGGCTTCATCCTAACGACCTAGGATCAAGGGTTATACATGCCTATTCACAACCAAAGGCGAGAATAGCGCTTGCTGTACTCTACATCGTCCTTTGTTACGCTCATGACAAGAAATATGAGTTTGACAACAAAAGCACATTGATAATAGAACTGCTGGAAAACAGCCTGGTCTCATTTGGAACGTGTTTACACCACTGCAACCATCCAACCTTGAGCGAATATCTTTTCAGTATTTCAAGTCTCAGCTCAATTTGAGCTTGCTTCAGTCGATGGATAAGCGTTGATATTGGTTCACTCACTCATAGCAATGCATCTGCTGTGCGCTTCTTTTTTTTTTTTTTTTTTTTTTTTTTTTTTTTTTTTTTTTTTTTTTTTTTTTTTTTTTTTTTTTTTTTTTTTTTTTTTTTTTTTTTGCCTCGATTGTTTGGCACGATGGAAACGAGATTAATCGAGTCATAAGATATCATCGGTCATGTTTGAATCACATTTCACTGGGGAAATCAGTCGGAAGCCGCTACTATTGAGAGCAAAGCGTCGAATATTGCGAATAAGTGGCTACAGAAGCCTTTCGGTGTTAACGAGGGAGAACTAGCCAGGACTTAAGACGACGTTTATCATCCATTACCTTTCTCCCCGGAGTTTGTGTGATATCAATGAAAATGAGTTGCGCAAGTTTCTGCATTACGGATGTATTTGGTCTTGCTGAGGTGCCATTTGGGACTATCACTTCGTCAACTATATACCTGTATAGATACTCAAGCCAATATACAGGGGTGCCTTCATAAAGCTAGTGGTCGTACGAGTCCATTTACGGTAATTAAGTCGAAGGCGTGTCTGGGGTGCGGGGAAGGGGAAGAGAGATATGCGCGGAAACGGAGACGTAGTGGCCAAGTTTAGATGGAAGGGGTCTTTGGAGGTTGTTTGTAGGATTGGATTAATCGGGGCATTGTGTACATTGTACTCTGGATGTGGATGTAGAATAGGTGTACGAAAATAAATTGAGGATAACTACGAAAGCTTACTCCGCGCATTACGATGAGTTCGAATAATTGCCATAATTCATTATACACTGGAATACACGATCACTGAAATAGCCATCACTGGATACAGTCACCTAACTCCATGCCAACCCGATCTTTTCTCTCCCCAAATCCTCATACAAGTCATCAGTAGTTGTATGTCGTCATCATTCTTTTTTATGTACTAAGGCTCATTTTTTTTAAAAAAAAAAGTTTACAGCTGACCAGCAGCGTTGAAGTCATCAAGAGCCTCCTGGACACGCTTGCTCATGGTCTTCTCACCCTCACGAACCCACACGCGGGGGTCGAAGTACTTCTTGTTGGGCTTGTCAGCACCTTCGGGGTTACCGATGGGAGCCAAGAGGTAGTCCTTCTTGTTGAGGATGTAGTCACGGATACCGGTCAAGTAAGCGTACTGCATGTCAGTGTCAAGGTTGACCTTGACAACACCGTAGCCAATGGCCTCCTTGTACTCGTTCTTGGAGGAGCCAGAGCCACCGTGGAAGACAAAGAAGACGGGCTTGGTCTTCTGGGAGCCAACCTTCTCCTGGACGTACTTCTGGTGACGCGAGAGGAGCTCGGGGTGAAGCTTGACGTTGCCGGGCTTGTAGACACCGTGGACATTACCGAAACCAGCGGCAATGGAGAAGTAAGGGGAGACGGCAACAAGAGCATTGTGGATGGCGAGGATGTCCTCGGGCTGAGTGTAGAGAGAGTTGTTGTCAACGTCCTCGTTGTTGACACCGTCCTCCTCACCACCGGTGATACCGATTTCCTGGTCTCATTAGCATCATCATCACTTTGTAATACTGGGAGAGGAAGCTTACCATCTCGAGCCACTGCTTCATGGGAGCAGCACGCTTAAGATAGGCGGCGGTGGTCTGGATGTTGTAGTCGACAGGCTCCTCGGACAAGTCAATCATGTGAGAAGAATAGAGGGGCTCGCCGTGGAGCTTGAAGTAGGCCTCATCAGCATCGAGGAGACCGTCCAACCAAGGGAGGAGCTTCTTGGCGCAGTGGTCAGTGTGGAGGACGACGGGGATACCATAGGCGGGAGCGATGCTGCGGATGTAGTGGGCAGCGGCGATACCACCAGCGATGGAGGCGTTCTGGCCGTCGTTGGAGACACCCTTACCGGCGAAGTAAGCGGCACCACCGTTGGAGATCTGGAGGACAATGGGGGACTTGGCGTCACGGGCAGCCTCGAGGGTCGAGACAACGACCGAGGAAGAAGTGACGTTCACAGCAGGAATAGCAAAGTTCTTCTCCTGAGCGTACTCGAAGAGGTGGAGAACGTCATCACCAGTGATGACACCAGACTTGCGGGAGAGCTGAAGGGCACCCATTTTGTATGTGTAGAGAGTAGAGTAGAGTATGTGAAGTGATGTGAAATAGAAAAAGATGTATGGGAAGAAGTTGAAGAAAGGTGAAGGGAAAGAGCGGGAGACGGTTTATTTAAAAAAGCCGCAGCAACGCCTCTGTGTCTTTACCGGTTGACGAATCTGGAGTGAAATCACCGCTCAAACAGGCAAGGAGGGGCTCCGTTACTATGGAGGGGCACTTCCTATGCTACACCGGCATGTGGGCCGTGACCTCACCATGATTCAATCGGAGGGCAGAGGGCCGTTAGCTCGAGCTATTTTCTACACTGTGTTATTGTCCTATTGAGAACATTACAATTGAATATGAGAGAAATTATTGACAGTTTGAATCTGAACCAGTCAATCAGTACTGTTTTCTGTTATTTTTCTGCCATTATTGACCTGGTTAAGTGATGTCTTGTACAAGTCCGGCAACCCGATTTCCCCCGCCGCCCTCCTCCACCCCGAAGACGGCCGATAGCATCATACCTTGCCTTTGATATCATCATGGCAATTCCCACTTCAGAGCTGTCTACGGATTTTCTACAGGTTAGAGAGACTGTTTCCAGGTTCAATTGCAGTCAAGCAAACAAGATACAACATCCTCCCAGCACTCTGGACACAAACCTGACACCCCGCGAAATTCTCACCCGAACCCCCCTCTGTTCCGTTTTTCTTTCGTGCTTCTTCCATTTTCCCTCGGTTCTTCTCCCTTTCGTTGCTTCACGTTCTTTCCATGTTGTTCCTATTGCAAGTCAAGCCAAGCCGGAATACAGGTCCCATGACACTGAAGAAAATATCATCCATGTCGCGTCGTGGGCCTATGCGCGGTGCGATACTATTCCGCACGTGAAAGACTTATCCGCTCCTCTTCTCCGGAGTACGTATGAGCAAACACAAGAGACAATCAATGACTATTTGTAGCACTATAACAGTTCTAGGTTGAAATGGGATATCCATGACAAATTTACACACTAAATCGCCGACCCAGACTCCGACTCCGGCTTTTCCATCTCGTAAAACAACAAATACACCTCCTTCTGCATTCCCAGCACATCCGACGTCTTACACTCCTTGATCTTCTCGTCTGATATCCGCCACCACCGGTTGTTGATTTTGCTCCGTCGTCGTCCCAGTCGCGATGACCCTTTGTCTTTGGAACTGCGTGACCCGGTCCTGCTCCATCGTCCGTCCGTTGTTGTCGGGCTGCTTCCATCATCCGAGGTGGGGGACTGAGCTTTCGAGCTAGAAGATTTGGATCGGATACTTTGGAAGGATATACGGGAATGCGATGTGTCGGGTCGAGGCGATGGGGAAGGAGGAGGGTTCAGCTTAAGGGAGCCCTTTGGCGGAGAGCTCCGGGAGAGGGAGACCGCAGATGTAGATCTGGAAAGGTTGGTAATATCAGCGGGATCGGGGTCAGACCCATTGCGTGGATTTAATCGAGGGCTCGGGGCTATCGATGGCGCTCGCGACGTGGCTCGTGACTGAGCTCGCGATGGATTCCTGCTCGTCGCGCGACTATTTGCGAACGAACTAAACGCGTCCCGAGTCGAGAAAGGAGCGTAGAGCGTATTGCGGCGGAATGACTCGTAGTGACCGCTCTGGTGACTACCCTTATGGCAGACGATTGTCAGAAGCTTAAACCACTTGGGATTGAGAATCCCTCCCAAGGAAAGCCGTTCAGGAAACGACACCTTGGCTGCGTTTTTAGTTGAGCTACTTTGGTCGAAGATCGACCGCGAGAGGTGGATCGCAATGATCTTGGGGAATACCGTAATCCGCATATGCCGGGCGATGTTGCGCTTTGGAGCGAGTTCCTTTGGAGGGAGCGTAACTCCCTCGGGTATACATTCGGGATCCGTCTCAATGGCCGCCTGGATTAGCCGGATGTCTGCATCAAGACGCTGCTTGTCCTTCTCCAAGCGCGCTCGGGTTTTTTCGGTAATTTTGGCTTGTAGAGCATGAAGGAGCCGGCACTTATCGCATCGGAAATCTTCGATGTACTCAGTCTTAAGAAGGCCATCGAAGCAAGCACTGAGTGTAGTCGAGCTCTTTTGTGGTACCTGTAGAGTCAGGTTCACAAAAGACGTCTGATTCGGTTTATATTTGTAATGGCAGAACTGGCATTCGATCTGAGACTCCATTTTGCCTTCAAGCGGAAACCCATCCTCGTTCTCAATGTCATCCAGCTTTGTATCAAGCATGGCAGGGGTTCCATTTCTGGACCCGTCGTCCACTCGAACCTCGACCTCCGTCGGATTCTTCATCTCGCCGTCGACCTCCGGGCTTGAATCCTGGCCGCCCGAACCCGCAGGCGTCTCTATCAACCATCTAGCCCTCTGTCGCGCTTTCACCCCAGCATGATACTCATCACACAACCGCTCAGCAACAATCTGCAGAAACTCATGCGCATCCTGCTGGTTCCGACTAAGCCGCATCCGAAATGCATACTCGAGCGATTGCACAAACCCAGCCGCAGAAATAGTCTTCTTATAAATCGGCCGCTCATTCAACCGATCCAACATCCCCTTCAAAGCGCTTGTAATCGTCCCCTGCTGCAGTTCACGGATCTTCTCCGGTTTCTCCCCGCGCGGGATCTCATCCAATTTCGGCAGTATATTATAAATCTCCGGCCCGTCCAATTGGCGTCGATGTAGTTCCCGAATCAAATATACCCGTAGATCTCCCAAGCCGGCCAGAGCCTGTAGGACAGAATTGATAAAGCAGTCATTGGCGGGGTTGGCCAGGCCCACGATACTCTTTTTGCGATTGCTACTTGCATTCTCGTCTCCGTCGATGGTGTAGTTGGGTCCGAAGACGTAGAATAGGGCGACGGCGGCGAGGGAGGCCCCCGCCGCGTATGCGGCGACTGTCGTTGGTTTATCTTGCATCAATTAAGCTTGACGTATTCGTAGGCAGGATAACACCAGGCTCATTGCTTCATTCGCCAGATAAAATCCTGAGTTGTATGGACCAAAAAAAAAAAAAAAAATATCGCTATTAACTTAGATTGGCCGTGTAAGCACGGGGTACAGAAATAATGGTGTGAAGACTGGATTTTTATTCGAATTCAGGTTTCTCGCTGCTGGGAGAAAGTCGGAGGAGGCACGGTCAAAACAACGGCTTCTACTATCTAGGCGGTAACCGGAAGAAAGAGTTAGCTGCATTCTGCGTCCTTCTCCCACACGTGTAGGTAAGCCGAGAGAAAGTGGAGAGGCTGCACGATTCTGGGTGAATGAGAAAGGGAGCATCCGGAGAGGGGAAGGGGACTCGACTCGGAAGTAAGTTCAAGATGGGATGGATGTGCGCGTGGCGATCTCACCAGTATGTAACTTAGCAGTAAGGCACAATTTGATAAAAATGGTCTCAAAAACGGGTGAAGAGGGAAAGACCTTGGATTTATCAGATACAAATCTCATACGCTGCTTAGAGCCAGTTTCCCATCCGGGGAAACCGTGATCAACGACTGTGAAGCGGAAGATGCCTCAATGGCCGTGGGGGGTAGAAAGTCCTCGGAGGTTTGTCGGGATATGCCAAGTACCGGAGGCAGGCATAAATAAATATATGCTCCGAATAACATATCACATTATTTCACGGTGCTTCGTTTATATTCGCGTAGGATTGGAGGCATTCAAATCCGTGGATGATTCTCGTGCTGATCGCGTTTTGCCCTCGCCTTATCCGTCTTTGCGCGCTCGTACCAAGGAAGATCATCCCTGGTGCAAATCTTCCGCATCATATTCGTTTTGGTTTCGCTTAGCAAATGGCAGGAGGCGATGTGGGATGGGAAGTCATGGACAATGTTGAATTTTTTTCGTGTGTGGAAAAGAACGAAGCGATGAAACGTTACAACGCGATTCAGCGCAAGTCACTTGATCTGCCTAGGGGAAGGAGTATGAGTATACAACCATCTCTGATTCTGTAAAACCCGGGTATTGCTACTTGTAAGGGAGCGTTTAGAATTCATTTGCGTTTTTTTTTTTTTTTTTTTTTCCCTGGCCTTTCTTTAAGTGACAACGCTGTATATATAACTAGGCTAGTCACCTGTCTAACCGTCTGAACAAGTTCATCCTTGTAGATATTGATACCAGTGGTCCAACTATCCAAAATAACATAAGCCTCCAAATGATGCGATTGATTCACCATATTCGCCCCAGATATCCCCGGAAAGAGTCATGATCAAAGACGGACAATCGACCTTCGCCATCACCATGTACGATTTGCAACGAATCACTCTGCTGGTTATATACCCCTACGCAGGATTTCCGCGTCTCGACGAGCTCCTTAGAAATTCGGTTGAAGGTGGAGCAGATTTGGTAGAGGCGTTCTGAGCTGCGAGACACCTTTCGGGCTTTTTGCAGGCTTTCTGTTAACTTTTCAAGGAGGTGGATATCGTCGAAGCTGGTTGCTGCGATTGCGTGGAGGAATGACTATGAATGGCATGAAGGATGCGAATAGGACCCTGGACTAGAATTGATAGACGTCAACTGGTAACGCATAGGGGTAGAGGAAACTAACCAGTTCGTATAATCCGCATCTGACAAGAAGTCAAACGTCTTGTATTTACTAAAGCAGCGCAGATGGCCCTCCAAAGCCAAGCGCGCAACCCGAAAGCACTGCGAGCTGACTTCCGCTTGTTCTGCTTCTTCTGCTTCGGAAGTCGTGGGCGCTCGCAGGAGTGATGTGAACGTCGAGTAGTACATGATGTCCCAGCTATCCCTAGTAATATCGAATATGACGGTTATTGGTCTGGTTCGGGTCGATCTGACCGGAGGTTAGTAATTGACGTACAAAGGGGGTATGTTTATCGTATCCGTTGTATTTCAGTATGCCATCGATCCATGGCAGTGGTAAGCTGTTGTACATACTGCGCGCGTTCCGAGTAAGCAGCTCACAACGCTGCCGTAGAGCATAATCTGTCATAAATTTGGCCCTGGATATCGGCCAGCTTAACCCCTATAATGAGCGATTCATCCCAAGGCCGAACAATAGGATCAGTCGAAAGTGCTGTATATCGTACGTCGATATCAAAGTTCAATATGCTGGAAGCACGGCCAAAGAGGAGCGAAATGTGTTTCTCAGATATATATGCTGTCCAGAACAGTCGACCTGCATTCTCAGAGTTTTCGGTTCGGTCGTACCGATAATTATTTCACGATGGTATCCGAGCATCTGGCAATGACTGACTGTTGCAGAGATAAGAGTGTAGCATAGTAATGGGTTTGCCTCATCTTGTGCTTTGGTGAACTGGATAAATGATGAGCAAAGACGGCTCCTTAGTTAGGTAGTGTCTTTACGTACTCCCTTGGTTAGCGCAAAGATATTTTCAAGGCTTGGATAGCAACAAAGAACGCAGGGGCATTCAACGTCTCGAAAATAGTCTGGATCATCTTTTCGCGGTTGGATTTGAGGTTGATTGGCGCTTCCGTCAGGAGGACCGGATGTTCTTCCGGGGCCACACGGAGCTTGTTATAGTATGTGTGGTGCCAGTTATTTCCATATCATCCCAGTTAATTACGACTCCGTGTTCGATAGGTTGTCTCAGTGAGAGGATGCCACATTTGGATTCTGCTTCGTCTCCAAATAGGAGTCTTTCTGGTCTATTCCTATCATTATCCCGAAGGAGAACCCTGGCTAGAAGCGTTCTGCGAAGCCGAAAGAAGTGAACAAAGAATCTCACCCACAATGACGCCCAACAATGGAAGCTATCGAAAATCCAGCATTCCTCGTGATGTGAGACACAGGGGAACGAAAGGGTAGGCAAACGGAACATAGCACGAGGAGCATTCATCACCAGCGAACCCGGCTTTGCACATCATAGAGCTTCCAGGAAAGGGATAAATTTAGATGCTAATAATAAGTACTGCGTGCGAAGAGATCATCCATACCCATTATCAATGACGAGAGCAGAATAATATTTTGTTTTCCTAAGCCATGTCAGCATCCAAGAGGACAAAACTAGAGATAAGGCATGTCTTACCTTCCATGGCGTATGAGCTAAAGCAGTAAACAGAGCCATTTGAAACAGTCGAGGCACCAGAGGATCAAATAAGAACCTTTGTCGATAGAACAAGAGGAAGGAATATGCTGCCTATGACCACCGCCAACACGTGAGACTGGAAACTAATTTGAATATACTCCACACGAGACAAGTTGCAGCGGAATTATTTTGGGTCATTATCGAGCTTGAATGATGGAAACCATGTATAACTCGGGGGCCCGATGCTCCAGTATACGACGACTTCTTATAATAGGAACTCTCCTTGAAAATAGATGAATATAGAAGAACTGGAATGCAGTTTCCTGACCTGTTTCTGTGCACAAAATACTCAGACTGAAGAGAACACTCTTTTCCCGTCATTAAAGCTTTGTTCTTTAACCCGGAATACCCTACTCAATCTACTACCTCAAGCTAGCAAACATGTCGGTATGTCTCCAAATTACATTTCACTCGAGATTATACTCAGTGTTGCTTTATTGACGAAATTTCTACTTTCAACAGATGTCATCCGAGTATGTGTCCAAACCAAACGCCGACCATCATCCTCACCGAGAACCATTCTAACCTCGATTAATCTCCCAAAAGAGTCACAATAGCAGAAAAATGCTTCAGTCTTCACCAACCTCCGTTCGCGAAGCGGCATTAACAAGCCCAAACCCACCATCTACAAGATCACGGACGACCGGAACACTATCGTCCTCGAGTCATAATCATTGGAACAAGACTACGAGGTTTTCCTTCAGAAGCTCTACTCCGCGGGTGGACCCAATTATGCAGTGTACGACGTGAAATTCGACCTCGGGGCGGATGGGAAGCGGCACAAGACGGTTTTTGTTGGTTGGATTCCTGGTGACACGCCTATTAAGATATGCCAAAGTCCCATTGAGACGATTCCATTGCTTTGTCTGCGCAAGGTCCTGACAATGTGTAGCTATGTATGAACTATGCAGGCACCAAGGAACAGTTAAAAATGCCTTGAACGTGAAACTTTTCATTCACGCTGATAACTTGGAAGAGATTGAATGGAGGAACATGATGAATGTGGTTAGCGAAAGCAAGTGTCTACGAGGGTGATGGTGATGTTTCGTCATCAATCAATTGTATACAAAATGACATATGTCAAACCTATGCATGTACATACAATACATACAAAACATCCAATTCAAGTCTATCATTCAATTTCCAGATGATTCGTAGAGAGCGTTTATGCTTGCAGCGACTTGGGCAGAGTAGCAACCTTCTCCTTGAACAGATCCTCGGCCTGTTTCCAGACGCGAGCATTTGCGCGGTCCTTGAGCTGCAGCAAGCTGGGCATCAAAGCCTCACTAAACATCTCAGAGCTCTCACGGGGGAGGAGCGAGGGGAGGTGGTCAATGCTAATCACACTAAGAGGGGGGCCCTGAGTTCCAGCAGGCAAAGTAACAGGCACAGTGGGCTTGTCGAAGGTGGTCGTGATGTCGTAAACGGGGACTGGGTTGTTAGGGTTGGTACTGTTTCGAGTGGGCAATTAGTTAAGAGCCAGGGAAAATCGGTGGGATTTGCACGTGAAGAAAGGTACTTACGTGTCAGCGCTCACGTCGCAAATGACAGAAAGACGACGGTTGGGCGTCGAAAGGCTCTCAGCGCTGACGAAAGGAGGGATCTTCGCAGAGAGGTAGATGCAGTTGATGAAGATATCAGCATCCTCAATAATCTCCTTGAAGGGACCACCTAAACAGAGTTAGCATATAAAAACTCCAATGAAGCATTGGGTAACAAACCCTTCTTGGTCTCTTCAATATCCCAGCGGAAGATGTCCGAGTCCGGGATACCAACATCCTTGGCCAACTCCACGGCACCACTTCCGCAGCGTCCAAGCTATGCAATGTTAGCCCTGGCACACTCAATCCATTGAAACGATGTGACTCACAGCTCCAATAACCAAGATCTTGGGCGATTTACCAGACTGCTTCTTGCCAGCCTCAAGCGATTCCTTCACAGACTCAATCAGAACGTTCTGGTTGGCATAAGGCACCTCACCAGGAAGCTCCTGGCCGGGGTGAGTCAATTGCCATGCCCAGTTCTTAACAGCCAATGCAGAACCAGCGTAACCAGCGGACCAACCGAAGGCTGCAACGCATATTAGCACTTGATCAAGCAACTGTTATCAGCGCGAGTACTCACCAGCCACTCTCCGGCCAACATCGTCAGTGAGGAACTCCAAATCCAAAAGAGTACCACCTCCACGGGGCCACCGGCTAAGAACATTCTCCCAACCACCCTGTTGCTTGTAGCAGTGTGCAAAGGAGATGTGGACGTGTTCCAGAGGGAAGTCGTCCTCGGGCAATTCCTTCAGACCCAAGATGTAGGCATCCTTCGGCGCATCCTTTACCCAAGAACCTTCCTCGACGAGCGGCGCACCGACCTGTTCAAGTATCGCATTAGAAACGTCAATTCGAGCGTCGTGTAGGGAAGAAGGAGCATACGGCAGCAAACTCATCATCTATCCACATAGGCCAGAAGTGTTAGCATGCCACTCTTGAAGTCAATTCCAGAACCAGTGACAATCTTTTCAGTCATACCTTCAAAAATGCGCTGGGTCGAGCGCTCAACTGTCACATCGTAACCGGCATCAATGAGCTTCTTGCAGGTGGTAGGGGTCACTGTAGAAAGAAAAAAAATCGATATCATTAGTCCCTATCAATTGGAACGCGGGGTCAATTCGCATGGATTTTTCTTGTCTTGTAACTTACAAGCTGATCGTGCTTCAGCGGGCTTGGTTTCGGCGCGGAGCCAGATCTTGTTGCTCGACATTTTTGATATAATTTTAAACTGCCGGGGGGAAAAGCGAAGTTTGGAGGCAATAGAACGAATAGATGCGATACTTATCAATGGCCTCTGACACAGAATTGCCCCTCCAGTGATAGCGCGCCGGATGTGTGATTGTTCCGCTCCGAGAACTGACTCAGCGGGGTATAGCCTTTTTGGAAATGGAAGGATGGGGGAGTGAAAACTTCGAGTTGAGTTTACCTTAGGCCTTCTGGCTCTGGCAAAGAATACCAGAGCTCTTGTATGGTGAGATAGTCGCTTCATTGTCTCACGCTGTGTCGTCTTCCCGTAAATTGAGGCACACACTCCATCAAGAACTGGTCTTATATCTCTCTTCATTTCTTCCGACAGTGATGTGAATGAGCAGACTGACGAAAGTGTCCAGAAGCCTATCAGAGTCGATAGGTTTCCTAGGAATGTGCCTGACAAGGTATATGTACATATGAGCCCCATAACTATTGCTTTATAAGCAGTGAGTTAGACGGTCCAAGCACTGGTACTACGATGTGATAAACACAATCTAAATCCCAGGAACTTGTCGGCCAATTCATTGATACTATCTCGAGTACCAAGAGGTGGGTAAATTCTCTAGGAATTTTAAATGCTGCAGCTCGGCCTACAGGAAGGTCCCAAAGTTCAAAATGTTCAATAGTGATGGCGAGATTAAAACGGTAACTTGATTTTGAGGAGCGTCAAGCACGTAGCGGCCATGATCTATCCATCTATAGCACTTTCAGCTTCTCTTGCTAAATATGGCCGCATAGCGCCAGTCTTCGCATTCACACTTAGAAGATACCGAAATAGCCTGGTTAAACCGCGTTTAGCTTCAAGTAATCTTCCCCCAAACAGAAATTACAACCTCGTGAGAAGTTCAATTGAAAAACATCGTCTTCTGGGTATTCCTTCGTATGAAACCTGGGAATAATATCGGCTCTGAAAATTTCACCGGCAATATAGAAATCACATCCATAGAAGCCAACCACGTAGATTTCCCGATCCCCTATATTGGAACCTCCGTGTCGTGCATCGAAGCTTTTAGCGAGTTGGCCCAGCACCACGCTGAGTGTCTCCTCTAAGAATTCGCTCCAGGCATGGTCTTCGTACCACTAATAATACTTAGAAGATGTCCGTGCGAAACAGACATGCAACACCTACCCCAGAAAAAGAAATAATCGACAGACCATCATTGAACAGGTCAACTATAACCATACCTTCTGGTCTAGTCCTGAATACTTCCACCAAGCACATACTTCATTCTAGATACTAATGCGAGTTCTCTTAAGGATCATCAGCATGAAGTCCCGCGCGCCCATAAGTGACAACCGACTTATCTAAGTCTAGGCTCTTCTTTTCTGATTTCAAAAAAAAAAGTAAACGAATCTGATCAAAAGCCTCAACATCGATCCCTGCGTGCTTATAGATTTTGAATAAAGAACGTCCTCGCGCATGCCCCGGCTTTTCTTAGGCAAGATGATTATCTCGGTTGATTTCAAGATATTCGTGATTCCGATATCCTGAGAGTCGAGATCTTTCCATCGTCGAATGTCGGGATAGTACTCAAGGTTATCATCAAAGAAGAGCCAGAATCTCTTTTCTTCATCCAACTAGTTTTTGGATCGGTGTTTTGTGAATTGTCAGTGTGTTGGAAGAGGTGATTAGGTCCTCGACATCCTTGCCTGATTATGTGTCAGCGATTAATGTTGAGACTAGGACGGGTTATCTTCTCACCTTCGATCTCAACGTCGACAGTCCTAGGGATTAACTCGTCGAGGTCGACGATTCGAGAGTGGATTGTTGCTGACATGCTATTGACTGTAATAGGTCTATCTGCAGGATATGAAGTGCTACATCATAATTAGCGCAGAGCAAATTGTTCCTCTCATGTCAACGAGAGTCTGACTAACCCCTGCATATGCAGACAACATTTGTATGTTCCTGAGGACAAGACGACATTCGGTGTAGACTAATGCTTACGACTAGTGGTGTGAAGTTTTGGATGATTTCCATGGTTAGATTAAGTGAGGAATAGAATATTACACCTTATAAAATCTTGGCATCCAATTCTGATTTCTGTACTGCATCAGCTGGTGTCAAAGCATGAACTAAATTACATTGAAAACATGGCTAGTTCCATCGTTTCACATCAGTAATGAACATGCGCATGGTGTAACATTCCAAAACATCCGTCAGGGTTCGTTCATAACCAAGATAAAACAAAAAGGGGAATAAGCCGTCCAGAAAGCCTACACAGACAGTAGCCATCTAGATGGCAGCCTTGGTCCGGCTGCGCGTTCTGCTACCGGGCCCGTCAGTGGAAACCGCCGGCTTCGCAGCAGGGATCTTAGCTTTCTTGCCTCGACTGCCCTTCTTCTCCTCTCCATTGGTTTCTTCCTTAGGGGCAGCGGTTCCGCTCTTGGCCTTTGTAGTTTCGCCCTCGTCGGTCTTCTGCTTCTTAGCCGTCGGCTCGCTTGATTCCTCTGCGGCGGCCAGTTGCTCTGTTTCAGCAGGCTTTGTGGTGCTTGTTTCATGTTCACGCTTGTCGCCTGCCTTGGGCTCCTCTGCCTTGTCCTCTGCTGACTCTGGAGCTTTGGCTTCCTCAGTAGACTCAGAGTCCTCCGCGGGTTTCGTCTGGTCCACTGCTGTCGAGTCGCTGTGGCCATTGGTTTGGTTCGTGGTTTCAACTTCTGTCTTGGTGTCGGCGCCTGCGTCGTTCGCGTTCTCTGTAGGCGATGCACGTCAGTTACTGTGGGAGCGGGCGATGCCATTGCGTGTATACGGCCAGAAGCAGTGGTAAACGATATGGCGCTGGCTAGCAAAGAGATTGAATGCGCAAGCGCCTAGAGTCATGAACGTACCTTGAACGGCAGGCACAGTTGGAATCTCAGTCCCTTCAGCAGCCATTGTGAGTTTGGAAAGGTAGGTGGACACGTGCGTTTCAATTGAGAATTGATTTGTTGAGACAGTAGAAAGTGGTCGCGAACACTAGGCGATTTCAATTATGATAAAGATGAAATCTACAGATGAAGGTGAAGTAAGACAATGGGATGGCTTGATGGACAATCGCACAGCGCGAGGTGAGGTTGCCCAGTGACGTTGACTAAGACGGGTCCTTGGAGACGCTAACCCGATTCAAGTGGAACTCAATCTCTCACTCGCATCCGGTTGCAGGAACACAGCAGATATATTCCTCAACACACACTAAATATTGGTCGGCATAAGCAATCTTTCTTTCTTTTTTTTTTTTTTTTTTTTTTTTTTTTTTTTTTTTTTTTTTTTTTTTTTTTTTTTTTTTTTTTTGGTGAACAGTTTTTTCCGGAATTTTCTGAGATGCGAATGATACGGAAGCTTTAGTTGTGTTCAGACAGCTTCTTGCTCTAAATCTTGCCAAGAAGAGGTGATGGATAAAAAATTCCCCGACTGTTCCGATCTGAGTGGAGAGTGAAATATGCGGAGTAGCAGCAATACAGCAGTCTTATGCACATAGGGCATAGACATTTTGTTGTACGTAGCTGGCGGTAATTCGATGCTAAATGAGAATCTCGTGGCGGTGGTTGGAGACAACATTTTTTCCCCAAGGTCATGAGACATTTATTGCAAATCGGGTAGCCCCTTCACCCCGCTTCTGAATCGAGTTGGCGATCCATGACGTCGTTAATGATGAATAAAACAGGCTATGCTGATCAACAATTGAGGCAACCTCAAGTTAATGAGAATTGCAAACGATCAAGAAGACGTTCTTCCTCATCAGACACACGGTAGAAAGCATCTGATGTCGTATCTGTGGCATCTTCACCGTTAAGTAATCGTTGAATGTAGGGCGCAAGACGCGTAGCATCGCCAAATCGCTCCTGGTCGATTAAGAGACGAAGGGCGTGAAACCCGGCCTGAATAAACATACCGCGCGCATTTTCGAATTGCCTTTTGATCCCGGGTTCTAGGAATTCTGATGATAACTGCTCCACTTGTCGAAGGAACGGCCCAGCATCCGGATGTGTGGGATGGTAAAGAAATAGGGCGTCGTTCAATATGTTATTCTGTGCCAGGGAAAACATGAATTCCATGTACTCCTCGTATGGTGAAACAGGAAGCTTTGTAGCTTGGGTGTGGTAATGTCCAACGACCAGCCTGTTTAGTCTGAAGCCTGCAAACTTGAGCTTCCTGCGCTGAGTTTCGCTGTAATCCCCGTTGGGTTTGCCGGCCAAAGTCGAGGCCAATTGGCATGATTGGATAAAATATGTCACAGCAGATCCCAAGCCACGACCACACTCAACTTCTGCGTGCAGAAAATCGGCCAGGCGGCTAAGAAAAGGTAGAGAATTGTCTGGATGGAGCGACCTGCTAGGCATCTCGTGGTCTGGGCCCAAAAACATCCTTAACCAACCCATAACGGTATCCTGCATCGCCTCCGCAACCAAGAATTTGAACAAATATTTAGTCGCTTCTCTCGATGCAAAAAGCTTCTCCCTCACTGCCGGTTCAGATGCGAACCACCACGAGACGACCTTCGAACCAGCTCTGGTAGCCTTCAAGGCCTGTGTGCGTTCATGCTTGGTATGCTTGCCCGTAGTAGAAAGAAGGTACTGAGACTTCAGACACAGTGCCAGCCTCCCATTCGTCATTAGTCCTGACGCAACCCATTCATCAAAAATGACCATTGGCTCTCTGGTAATTCTTTCATGATAGGCCGGCACTCCTGGCTTTCGTTCTTTCAACGGAGCCACCCGGAAGAGGGGATTCTCCAAGATGTTCTCGAAAAGCTTGTCGGCCATATGCGCGGCAGAGTCGGACCTTACGGAGTGCTCCCTGCCTTTGTTCGTCCGCTCGGGAGCGGCAGACGTGGGATACTCATGGTCAAGCTGACGACGAAAGGAGGATGTAAGGGCACCAAGGAGCTGTTGAGATTCCCGGGGAGTTCGCGGCAGCGGGTGATGAATCGAGGACCAAGTTTTGGGATTGAAAAGCGAGGTTTTTTTCATGGCGAGGGGTCGGTTGCAGGCATCTATGAGAATAATGTCGTAGGATACGTGGATCGAAGGAAATCGTAGTGAATAGTTTAGAATACTAGACGGATGTTCTGTAGTAGGCTAAAGATGGAGATTGAACCGCGACCGGCGGGCGGTGAGAAGACAGTGGTACACCTCACCACTGGGCAGTAGAAGATTTTGACAGGATACCCAGTGTGGGAGGCAAATACATAGAGGATTAATTACTACTAAAGAGAACAATTGACCTAGTAGCATAAACCGTAGCAAATAGAACAAGCAAGGGACAATTATTGACGGGTGCAGAGCCTCCTTCGTTCTGCCGCTCGCTAAAGGCGCCAAAGAAAGAGGCCTGATGAGTGTCATTTCGACCTCTCGTCTCTCTCGTCGTCCGCAAAGCTTAAGATCTTCTCTTCTTCCCTCTTCTCTCTCCTCTCTTTGCAACGCTCTACCACCATCCCTCTTCTTTCTCCCTTGTTTCATCTCCTCGATTCTGATTTTCCTCTACTGTTTCTTTTCTCTTTGTCTCTTTGTTCTTCCTCCGTCTGTGTGGTTTCTTTTGGTGCTGACCTCGATTCCAATTCGTCGTTCGATTGATTCGACCAACTGACACCACACTCACACCCACCCACACACCCACACACACGCACACACCCACACGACATTACAACCTAGCTTTCCAATCTCGCCTTTTTTTTCTCTTCCTTTTTTATCCACTCGTCTGTTCTCCTGGTTTTATCTCCATCGATAGGAGATAATCAGAGAATTCAACAGAAATCCTAATAAAAAAACGAAGAAAAAGAAGACCCCAAAATGTCTGAAGTTCAAACAAGGACACCTGCATCCCGTGGCAGAGTATCCGCTCGTGGCGGCCGTGGTGGTTACAGCTCGAGAGGTGGTCGAGGTGGCAGATCTGCAAACAATTCGGACAATGTCGCAGCATTTGAAGAGGAAGGAGAGATCGGGCAAATGAAGAAGAAATACGCCAGCACCCTGCCCATGCTCAAGGAGATGTTCTCCGACTGGTCAGATGAGGATCTTGTCTTTGCATTGGAAGACGCAGATGGTGAACTTGAGGAGGCAATTGAGCGCATCACCGAAGGTTCGTTCGTTCCTCTTTCCCCTCCTCCCTAGTGTTTGCTATACGAACCGTCTCTTCGAAACTACTCTTGCTAACTACGGCCTTTTCAACATTCAAACAGGTAACGTCTCACAGTGGGGTGAGGTAAAGAAGAAGTCTACAGACCGGAACCGCACCAAAGCAAAGGAAGCTCAGAACGTCCCGATCGAGACCCCCACAGCTCCTGTTCGAGGAGGCCGTGGACGTGCTGGATTTGAGAGCCGTGGACGTGCCCGCGGAGATCGTGGAGGTCGCGGTGGTCGCGGCGGTCGTGGAGGTGCTCCTACCAACGGGTTCCGTGGTGCAGAGAAGCCAGCTGTCGTCCCCACAGTCGCCAGCACTGCGGGGACCGCGACATGGTCATCTGTTGCGGAGGGAACGGCCACCAAGACAGAGAAGCCGAGTGAGGAACAACCTGCTGTTGCAGCAACCACAGAACCTGTGAATGAGCCCAAGGACACTGCCCCCAAGAGTAGTGTGATCCCTGAAGGAACAAAGAAAGGCTGGGCTAGTCTTTTTGCGAAACCTACACCGCCGCCTCAGCCTAAGCCAGCTGCTGCACCACCAGCAGCACCGCCTGTTTCCTCTGAAGAACCTCCGGCTGAGCCTGCAGCGGAGCAGCAGAAAGCGCCAGAACCCGAACCTGAACCCGAGACTACCCCCGCTGCTCCTGCGGCTACAGCTCCCGCTCCCGCTCCCGCTCCAGCTCCAGTGGAAAAGGCACCCGAACCAGCGATTCCCCCAGCGATCCCCAAGGTTGCTCCTCCTAGTGCTACTACTCCTTCCGCTCCTGCAACAACTACTGCCACAGACGCCGCTACTCCTGTGGTTTCTACCTCCGATGTTACGCCTGCCGCGGACGATTTGACGAGGACAAACCTCGAACAGATTCCAGATGCCTCTCACCCGGCCCCGACTGCTACGGCAGCTAGTGTTGTGGGAAGTGCGTTGGATCAGAACAACAACGCCACGCCTTCGCGGGGAACTCCCTCCATGTACCCCGCTAGTGCCGTGAAGAGCGGCCGTGCCCCCGGCTTCCAGCGTCGCGTCATGGAACAACAGGAAGCTGTCGTGATGCCTGGGAACCACGCCGTCGACCGTGCCGCTGTGCAGTTTGGCAGCATGGGATTGAATGGCGATGCTGCTCCTGTCGACGTTGATGAAACCAGAGAAGAAGCCGAAACTCGTGCTCAGCCCCCTCAACACTCTCCCGTTGCTCCTCGTGCCTCGTTGCCTCCCTCAACACAACCCCAGGGGCCAACTGAGACCCCTACCGTTTCTCGTCCTGCCCCAGGACTTCCCCCTGTTCCCCAGGCTACGGCCGGAGACGCCTTTGCCGACTTTGCTCGCTACACCGATGCCCACAAACCTTACGACCCCTTTAGCCACCAAGTCACGCAACCTCAACCTCAAATCCAGGAGCCGTTCGCGAACCAGGCTCCCATCCAGCCTACCGTCACGACTGGCAGCGAATATTCTCCCTTCTATGCCGGTGACCAGCGCCTTCCTTACAACTACTACGGCGCCTACGGCCAGTCCCAAGACGCCACTGTTGCCCAGCGAGCCGCTGCTGGATTTGGTGTCTCTGGTGCTGAGGTGCAACCTCACATCCCGGCCACTCAGCCTCCTAGCCGCTACGGCCATGTCGACGCTCCGAACAGCGGCCATACGACTCCCAACCCGACTCTTCCCGGTGCCGCTCAGACTCCCACCGCGCAGCACATGCCTGGCCAGAGTGCCGCTGCTGCCGCTGCCGCTCATGCTTACGGAGCATATGGCTATCCCTACTACTCCAACCCTCATTACGCTGCATATATGAACCAGATGAGTCAACAGCAGTACGGCAGGAACCGTCCGATGTATGACGATGCACGCAGGTACGAAGATCACTACATGCCTCACAGCTCCCAATTTGGCTATGGTAGCCAGTATGGACCCTACAGCAAGGCCGGAATGTACGGTCAGCCACACGCCTTCTCGTACGACCACGCGTCGTCTCCTGCAACGGCCGCCAGCTTCAACCAGGCCATTCCGGGTCGGGACTCGGTCTACGGCCGTACTGGATCTGCACAGCCGTCCGAATCTCAGCAAACGGCGGCTGGTGCGAATGCGTTTGGCACCGGTATGGATGTTTTCGGTCGCACACCCGGCTTTGGCCAGAGCCAGCCCATCACCCAGCAGCCCCCAGTCACTGCTGAGGAGACAAAGAGCTTCGATGCCTCCAAGGCCGGTGGCCCCAGCCCTTCGCTTGCTCAGGCGAACCGTCCCGGTTCCGCTACCAACAATGTTCCCGGTCAGCCTCAAGCCCAAACTGGCCTCCCCCCGCTGCAGGCCCAGCAAGGTCAACAGGGATTTGGCTCTTACCCTCACCTGAACCCTCAGTACGGAGGCTTGGGGGGTCTCAGTGGACACCAGGGTGCTAATCAGGCTGCTGCTGGCTATGGTAACTACGGCGGTGCGGGCTTTGCCAACTACTACGGAAACACTGGACGTGGTTGGGGAGGCAACTATGGCCATTAAGAAAATCCATGGCGCTGCGGATTCTCTTCTCTTCTTCCCATGGCTGGTGAAAAAGGGTCTTATCTTTTGCTTTTTGCTTTTTTTTAACGCTTTGATTTAAGGGCGGCAGGCCTGAGAAAAAAAATCTCGTGGCTATCTTTTCCCTCCATCTTATTTTCTGACGTGTTTTTCTCATTTCATTTGCTGTTCTCTTTTCATGTCAATGTCAATTCTTTCTTTTTTTTTTTTTTTTTTTTTTTTTTTTTTTTTCGTGTTTTTTTTTTTTTTTTTTTTTTTTTTTTTTTTTTTTTTTTTTTTTTTTCTTTTTTCATGCGTGTAATCTCTACTCTCAATGGGAGCTTGGCTTGTTTTTTTTTTTTTTTTTTAAATTTTATTTTTTATAATGTTGGAATTTTGCAGGATTATGCCCTTATGATGCTGTACTGAATCACAATGAGAAAAGAGAATGCTAAGCACCATTGTTGTTGGTTGACGCGAATCATGACATCTATGCATCATAATGTCTTTTATTTTCGTTATGCTGTTTGGCTTTCCTTGTTATATTCTAAATTTCCATCAATCGATCGTCCCGATCTCGAGACTCGTCACTACTTTCTGTTATGTATTTCAATGCTACGTATGATCAGGCTGCGATACGGAATGGGGGAAACCAAATTTACAGGCAAACTTCCTTTTTCTCCAAGTCCCAAGGTTGGGCTGTAGTTGGTGCGGTATATGTATATATCTTGGCGGCTACCGTCATCTTGCCACTGTCAATGGCAATACCCCGATGCTCGGTAGGCAACAATACTCCCTATCCTCCATCGACAATATGTATAGACTTTTTTGATTCCCCTCACAATCTACTGCATTCAATCCTACATACTTTACTGAGAACTCCGTAGTACGAAAGAGGGGTTGTATGAACCATATCACGTGCCCGCCTACTAGTTCCTAGCGGCAGATCCCAGCACCTTGATCGACCATCGGGGCAGCCAATAAAATCTGTCGGATCTCCACCAGGATTGCGCTTACTCAGATGCTTTGTGCACATCAGGGACTACCCCGAAGGAGTGAAGGATTTGATTGATCCAGGTGAGAACTTTAAATATGGGGTAGGGAAATGTTCTGTTGTTCCAAAGGACAAGCTATACAGTGGGAGGCAGACTTTGTACTCCAGACCAGCCTGTAAGTTGGGATTTGCGATGGTGAGTCGAAAGTATCGTTGCATAGAATGGAAGAATATAAAGAGCCAGGGGCTTAGCAGGAGGGCCCAAGTACAATTATCAGTATGATTTGTCACATATCAATGAACTATAGCATAGTACAACAATTCAAACAACCAGTAAATGGTCTCCTTTGAATTAAAAGGACT